CTGGACAAATCACTCGCCTCTGTTGATTCCGGAAGTTTGAAACCAATAACCATTGCAGATTCTACTTCCTGAATCATCAGATTCGAGTGATATATCTGATATTTAATTTCTTTATAATTCTGTATAATAACCTACAGTTGCGTCAGTTTTACTTGCACAAACTGCACGCTCAAAATGGCCAGTGAATTCCTTGTCAAGAACAATCTGCAACAACAATAGCGTGGCATCATTGTATGTATGTATTCCCCCTATGCTTCCATGTGTTATGCGTTGAAAGTAACATTATTGATATTTATATATACATATTATATATGTTAACTACAGGTGACTCCAACTCTTCCACTAGGCTACACACGTTATGTCGAGACACTCGTGTGTTTGTGACCTCATCTGGACGGAACATGTACCTTGAATTTCGTTCCAACAGTATTCTTGAGACGAGAGGCTTCCAGTTCCGATACTACCAGGGAGACAGTATGTAATTCCAAAGTCATTATCAGCCATTAAATATACGCTGCTCAATTGTTCAGAATATCACGTCAGGTCTTATGGCAAACGTTCACCCATGTATGCATACAGTTAACTCTTGACATATTGCACAGTTTCGACTATAGCTGTCCAACTTTGAATCCTTGAACAAAATATGTTATTGTTCGTGACTTGGGAATGCACGAAATGTATGGTTGAGTGCATATTTCATTAATAGGTACCTACCGTTCCATTGACGATCCTAGGGGATTATTCAATCAAATTATTACGCCAGTACTTCCTTGTACCTGTTTGGAAATATGAAGATGTTTTCATGATCACAAAACCCCTTGTGGATTTAAGTGAGAACATAGATCCCCAACTACCCATGTGTTCATTCATCCAATTGTAATTGATTCGAAGCATACAACTCCAAAAGAGCCCTATTTATGGTTCAAGCTTCAAGAGCTCTGGTGTTTATTAGTGTTGAAAACCCAAATAGGCTTGCCAAAGATTTGAACGCAATGTGATTGTTCTTCGCGAAGTAAAGTGAATGGTCATTAAAATGGTCAGTTGTGCAGTCCATGTATGAATAAAGTTGGTAATGCCACAGTAACTGTAACAGTTTAATTGTTATATATCTAATATACCATATGTACTTATGCGTATATATTGAATTATAATCTCGTCATCAGTAGAGTTAATCAGGAAAGTACAAGTCGATAAATGCGTCGTGAAGGTGAATTATTATTTTCCTCAGAAGCTAGGCCTTGCACGTTCACGTTTACTGCTACTCGGGATGTGAAGACCTTCAACTCACCTGGCTACCCCATTGCATACTTCAAGTAGGTTGTACTGTCCGAGGACCAAGCATGATTCATACTTGCTTTTATTGCAGTTGCATTCGTCCATTCATTAGCTTGGTGCCTTCAATGATACACTTGTTAAAGTTCTGTTCTGGTATATATTTTGATAATTATATGTCTCCAATTACTTCCCCGTTCTGATCAATATAACCTCGTTTGTATGACACGTTGCTGGGCAAAAACAGGTCAAGTCAACACTCATGTCTGTACAAAAAGATGTTTGTCCTTGGTAGATAACCAGTTTATCAATGAACTAACTCTTATGACGCTGTGAACTGATACCGATGGCACAAAATGTACAATAACTCAACGTACATAGAATGAAAATGTGTACAACATGAACACAGTTGTATAGTTACGTATATTCAATGAGTGATTTAATGTAGTGCATACATACATTGACGTGATCATTTATTCTAATTTAACGTTGAATTATTATACAGCCATTTAGATTAGAACTTTTGTATTTCAGAATATCATATTATTTGTTTTCCAGCGGTTTATCCTGTGAATATTCAATTCAAGCGGCCGATGCATCATATAGTCTGCAATTGGAGTTTACAGACGTTGATGTTCAATCATCTCAAACTTGTCGTGACGACAACATCAGCGTGGCAAATATAAGTAATGAATTACAATATTACCTGAACTTAACTTTTACCGGGTACAGAACTACATGTAGTCTAACCCTCCTAATTCAGTGTGGAGATACGTGTGTCTAATTGTGTCAGGTCCCGCTGGTTACCGACTGATTCGCCCTGATTGTGATCCGTGGTTTGTCGGCACCATCGAGATTTTTACTTGCCTTTGTCACGGGTGCCGCCGGTGAGACAGGATAACCTTACCTAGTCGTGAACACCTGTATCATCACCACCTGACGTACAATGGATTCTGCGTTTAGCAGATATTTCTTCTATGTGGTTCGTCGTTTTCCCCATCGTACATTTCCCACGCCATTGAATAACTGAAATATTGTCAAAGTTCCAAGTGGCAACAAAGGAGAAGTCATTAAAGTCGCTCATTGTATATATCATTAAAGTCGCTCAGAATATATCACTTATGGAATCTGGAACACTTATAGTAATACTATACAATCAAAGCAAACCCGATACATATGTTTGACTACAATGTGCCGACAATTGCAGCTATAGATATATTGGCTGTGTAACAACTGAGACACAAAGCACACTATCCGATATATGCATAAGTCTATGTTGACTTAGTTTCAGGTGGAGATGACCCAGTTGCCACAATCTGTGGTATGCCGACCTCCTCTTATCAAGGAGGAAACAACATGAAGGTCACATTCACCTCAGATGGGTCGAAGGTCAATAAAGGATTTTCAGTTGGATATCGGAGCGTCCCGAGTGAGACATTATTAATTCATTAGAGTAAATCATAGTTATCATGTTTTTTAAACGACACTTATGAGGGTTTTTTATATTAAAAAATGTGCCGTAAAAATGTCTTATCATTGCCATACCATAAAATCATTAATTCTTATGAAACATTAGTTGTATTCATTATGCATTTTCTTTGAACACACTATGTCATTTAGAATGTGGTCTAATGTAACAAATGTTATTGGTGGCGTGAAACCTTCTGAGAAAAGTAACAATTATCTTACTTCCGTCCTGGATTCGAACCCATACTGCCAGACCGAGGCACCTAATCGCGGGCACACAAAGTCAGCGATGCTTTTTCTTGTTTATTTACTTGTTTTCCTTTTCCATAAATTACATTACATAAAGTACATGTTACCTGGTAAGTCTTTGGCATGGTACACCTGAAGAAAAAGAAACATTTCCAAAATTGGAAAGAACATGGACAAAATGACCTTTCCATCATTCAATCTGTGAAAATGTGTGCAAACTTCCAAAAGTAAAATTTAGAAATATCACCTTTCCGAGCTTTTGAATAGGGTCTTTTCCCTTATTACAATAGGAGGAAATGTTTGGAAAGAGATGTTACAGAAGGTGTTAACATTGTACATAGCAATGGAAATCTATAATACATCACGTTTATTTGATATGCTTCAGAGGAAGAATGTTCAATACACGTGGAGGCCACAGATATGGACTCGTTTATCATGTCCCCAGGGTACCCGAATCAGTACTTCAGGTAAATATTGTACAGGAACATTATTTCCCATGATCGTTTCTTGTCATGTTACCTTCTTTATAACACCTTCATACAAGCGTGGGGAATAATAATAAAACTTACATTTCGTGGTTCAACTTATAAGTGAAGGAACGTATGAATATTGTTTAACACCGCAGTCACATTAGTATTCCAGCTATGTCGCGGCGGTATGTCATAAATGGAGTCTGGACCAACCCAATTAGTGCCAGAACCACCGGTCCCTCCTTAATTGATTCAAAAATACTTGTGGAAGGACCACAAACACTGTTAAGAATAATTTGCATGTGTTTAAATACTACTGTCTTACATTCTTTTGGAAATCTTCAGAAAATAGCCAATCTTCAGCCAAACGAAAACAAAAGAACATAATACATCTAACAAAAACGAAACGATGTGCTTCAAGAAAAATAAAATTGATAAATAAGATACTCTTACATGTGGTTACAGCTAAATCATAGTATAGGGTTTACAATGGTGCAGATGCTATGGTCTAGGGGAGATAATTCCAGAAGTGCATCAACATGGAAAAGATCAATCAGGAATATCCCAGTGTTGGTATAGGAAAAGAAATCATACGTAATTTTAACACGCAGCTATGTACACCGTCAACAAGATAGATACAGTTCTCAGTACATGTATGTCAGTTACCATGGAACCTAGAATATACAAGGCGAGTTTATAACATTTGTAATTGGGGGACTATTTTCATCAGCATGAGCAACGACCAATCCTTAAACCAAGTCCCACATTGCAACTGTATGATACCTATTTAAGTAACAAACCTGAGGTACCGATGGACAAAATGCATTCGGCCCTGGGGTTCCCAGGTGAATACTTACGGGAATATAGACGAAAGATTAATTTAGAGAAATGTGAAATTACTCTTTTCCGTAAATGGCATATGAATGTCCATGAGAATGAATACGAGTTCTTCTGGACGGATTATCTACAGATAGATCAGTGGATGATTTACGCGATGGATGAAGAATAACATGTGGCGATACACCTCGATTCAATAAGTAGGATTCAAATTTTTCTGTTTATATAAAAATGTATAAAGGTCATATGCTACATGAATGAAGGATTTTATAGATCGGTGGATACATGTGGTGGTAACTTATCTTCCCTTATGTGAGTAAATGATTGATCTTTAAACGTTTTATAGGCGTTCCCGCAACTAGGCCCTTTTATACCTTGCCCACGATAAAGGTTTTCTAAATTCCTATATAAATATTATAAAGTCGAGAAACTGCCTCAAGCTATAATATAAGCAAGAATTACATTTTGAACTTCATGGCGAATGATAGTCCTAGAACATAATTGTCCAGCCAATGGGAAATCAATATTGAGAACTGTATGAGACGCCACCATTTTTATATTTTTAGCAATGCAGTAAATACTGAGCCACATTGTGAAGCTGATTACAAACTGTACGATTTGCAGAAATGTCGAGGTATGCACCATTAATTAATAAAAAGCTCGATGCCATAGAGATATTGTGTAAATGAAGCTTTGCTCCTCCAGCAACATGAACTGCCGCTGGACCATCGTGGCGACGGATAACGATGCTACGGTCGAACTGGTTGCTGTCATCTCCGACATTGCCGACACTTCCCCATCTTGCAGCAGTGACAGAGTGTCTGTGACGGACTGTAAGCTTCTATGTTAATGACGTTAATGGATAATTAGATTTGATAAATTTAAATTTAAAACAATATTCAAGAAAATGTCAGTTCCGTAGGTGGTAATATGAACATAAGAACATAAGATCAGTATCGGTTTTCTATTCAACGATGTCACTCAATGGTTGGCTGGGTACTTGCCGCGTTCTCAGGAGTTCGTAATTTTTGGCTAACTGTGACAAAACAAATGCACGATGCATAAAGACGAGAGAAACGAGGGATCTCGCAGTTTCGTTCTTCACACACATACACATATTCATTATATACCGGATTTTGTGAATGCTAAAAAGAAGAAATGTGAAATGTGTTGAACTATGTTGAAAGCTTGGCACATGTACATGTGGCATTGTCTTCCCATGAACAGTTCAGCTGATGAACAGTGGGGTCATTTGGTTGAAACATTTTGGTCATGTCGAAAATTGTGACACACATATACGTGTAAACACGTTCCACCGGATTTCATGAATGAAAAAAGTGCAACTGTCAAATGTGTGAAATGTATTAAACAAGTTTTTATTGTATTACCATCTTCAGCTGATATGACAGAACTGGGGATATTCTGTGGAACGAACAAACCTACATATAATAGTACAGGACCAAACGTGACTGTTGTCTTCACGACTGATGGCACCAATCAGGCAACAGGATTTCGTCTGAAATACAAGCAGAAACGAGGTAAGTCGTTTTTCATGGGTTACACCACATTATTATAAGGTCTACTCCGTTCTGTTAGTGAGAAGAACAAGGAAAGAATGAGTAGAACGTGTTCAAGTTATCACAGACTGTATACATCCACTGCATTTCATCTGTTGAGAGATTCTTATGTATGTGAAAACAAGACACGATGGACAGCGCAAGTGCTCTATGAAATCTCAATCAGATATGTTTGTAGAATGCTTTTGCAAGGTTCAAATGTATTTACTAAAACAATTTATAAAGTAATTAAGATTCCAATCATCGTTGCCTGCATATTCGGACAATGGTGTACTCTTGCGATATTGTAAAGGAAAAACGAGTGCAGCAATGTGTCAAATGCAGGACTGGTTTCGCGTTATTTAATTTATATATTTGTATTAGAAATATAATACGATTTTGGTTTAAATGTCAGATTATTTCTTGTGCAAATGTGAACCAAGAGAACGTAGTTGCTAGTATAAGGGGTGGAGATACGTACTGTGACTATGGTCCGTTTACAGCAATACAGATTGTCAGACACATTCATTCCTTACTTTTTTAAAGTTTTTGGCCGTGCATCTTCTAAATTTAAGAAACCCAACAAATTAACGTCTTCTCCCAAATTATCAACATCCCAATTCTGGTCCAGTATAGTTATATATTATACGGGGACCTGGATGGACTGTTGCATTCCTTTGGGGTACGAGAACCGATTGCCGTTGATTCGAGTACAATATTCTCTCTGCTTATGTTACCAGGTTTGTCACCACCAGAGTCGTGCCCGTGTGTTTTGCCATATAGATTACACTAGTGATTTCACTATGTTTAATCCCCTTGTGTTACACGCATACTTGGCGCAAACCGTGTGCCTCCCGTTGGTCACTCGTGTGGAACACGTGTGCAACGCCAATGATGTTACAAAATCATGACCCACGCACATCGGAGGGGACCAACTTTTGACACTGTTGACCCATGTTTGGCTGATAGAGGGAGTAGTGATTGCTGTATTCCTGAAACGAATGGTATCAGGTGTATTTGCTGATGCCTCCATTGTAGATGAGATGTAGTGTATTTGGCGTTATTTGGTTTTGACATTTGCTTCAATAACATAAGGTTAGGTGACAGCTCAGTGACGTGGTACTTCGTGTTACATCTTGCGATTGACCAAACTTAATCATACCGTACTATGATGTTTGCAGCCACACTGTCAACGTGTGGAGGGGCATTAACAGCTTCAGGTCCTGAGGAACTGCTTTCGCCAGGCTACCCAAGAGCATATTTGAGGTATGTTACAAAACACTTAGTGGAATAAGGGTCTCTGAAATCCTCAAAGTGAGGAACAGCTAACTGCATTCCAGTCCCCCCAAAACTCCCGCTATCAGCAGGGGTCCTCTTGCCAGCTTCCCCGGGGTGTCACATCTGATTAATGACCACAAGCTATTCTGTAGCAGACGACATGTATGTGAGTCCAGAAAATAATTGTCTTCTTTTAAAATATTGATATTTGGTTATTTTAAACTCCTTTCGAAACATTTAAATGTTCTGCAGATAAAAAAAAAGATATTGGTCAACTTGTAGACAACCCATTTAAATTTAAATTTATTGTGCGTAACATAATGGCCTTATGAGTGCTTTCAAAAGCAGGCAAGACATATTACAAAGTATAACTCTTTTGCCATGAAACATTTATCTAGTCAGTTGTGTACGAAAATATCAAAAGTACAGTACAGACATTGATGAATAATTAAAACAAATGTTCATAATTAACAAATCAAGTGGCTTTTTTACATGAAGCAGAAACAGTATATACTAACTGGATTCAACATTTGACATAATAAGAAATATCTTTCAAGAGCTATAAGCGTGTTCATAAACCTGCAGGTGCAATGGACATCATGTTACTGCCCAGTACTGGAATTGGTGCACGTGGTCTTCTGGTGACATTCATGTAGATGCGAGAAGTTCAGTTAAAACAAACTATATTGAAATAGTTTCATCTTGGTTTTCCTTTCATGTAAATACCTTAGTCACCGCTAATTCTTCTAACTTTGATGGCAAAGAGTATATAAAACATAAATAAGTACAAAGTAACAAATGTCATATTTGGGATAAAACTTTCTCTGTAAAGTGCAAACCCTAGTAATGTTTAGAGTTGAGTCCCATCTGGGACAAAAATGGAAGTTTGACAAATGGTACTCACAAACTTCGTGTACCACTCTGACAAGTGTATATTGGCACGGGTACAACTATGCAATATGTTCGCTACTTATTAAACCCACTAATTATAAAGTTTAAAATTTTACCCATCATATTATTCTTAAAAAGGCTTGAGGAACCATTTTACATTGCTACGTTAGATTTTGAGGAGGTTATTGAGGCATATAATATCTCCTTTTAATAATCTGAAGTGGCAGTCAAACATAACAAATGTTATATTTGGGATAACACTTTCTTTGCAAAGTACCGTTTCTCCGGGATTCAAACCCACACTGCCAGAGTGAGGCACCAATCGCCAGCACACAAAGTCAGCGATCTAACCCACTCAGCCACCGAGGCTTCCACACAAATGAAATTCGGACAACTGGTAGTCTAGATCACGTACTTTATGTACCCCTCTGACAAGTGTAAATTGGCACTGCTCCCATGGCCGAAAGCTATGAACACACAATGCCATTTAGAAATTGGTCAAATGTAACAAATGTTAGATAAGATAATATTTATTGCAGAAATATTTATTGCAGAAACGTTCCATTACGGGACAGATGCAATTTTAAAAGACAACATTTATATGTTATACAACATGTTATATTTGGGATAACGCTTTCTTTGCAAAGTACAGATTCTCGTACTTTTTTGGGTTGAGTCCCGTCCAGAATTCAAACCCACACTGCCAGAGTGAGGCACCTAATCGCCAGCACACAAAGTCAGCGATCTAACCCATTCAGCCACCGAGGCTTAAACAAAAATGAAAGTCCGACAACTGGTCATGGGAGTCCTGCCAATTTACACTTGTCAGAGGGGTACACAAAGTATGTGATCTAGACTACCAGTTGACTACAAGTGTTATCCCAAATATAACATTTGTTACATTTGACCACTTTCTAAATGACATTGTGTGTTCATGGCAGTCAAACAGTTTTGAACATTATTTGTAGTGGCGAACATATTGTAAATTTGCTCCAGTATAAATCAATTTTTAAATTTTTCACTGAAAGAGCAAGTTGAACAGAATACTATTAAAACACTAGTCTGCCTCACAGAATCTCAAGCTTTTTAGTTTCCTTTCTGCCTTCCCCTTACTGAAATGGTATAGCCCTAAAACATGAAGCAAGTGTAAAATTTTCTAAAAGCTGAATCTCTCATCTCAGTGTGGCTCTTTTTCAATTTATTGGCGTTATTGGTTTCTATCAAAATTATATAGACTAAGGGTTAGTCTACTAACATACCTATGAGTATGAGCCTAACCCAAAACTACTATCATTAGTAATGGCTAATGAATTGCCTAATTGGGTTTAAACCCGATATATATAAATGCTTACCCCGTTGAACATGATTTAAATATTGGTCAAGGGATGTCAGTTTCCAGTGAATAGACACTTTATTATAATTATTACCTCCAAAACGTTTTTCAAAGAGTTGATTTGGTCACTGTAGTTTCACTGTTTTGTCTTGGAGTGTTATGTTTCAATCCTTGAGTGTCAAGCTGGCCCATGCCATCAGTGCCCTAAAGTAAACAAACTTGGACCAGCTTGCCCATGCCTGCTTCACTGGAGCAGGGGAACAACTGATAAGATCATGGCTAAAGAGAATCAGATTCAGGGAGAGGGGGGATGCTGACAGGGAGAGTTTGGGCTTATGCCACTAAGTGAAAAGGTCAGGTATTGCGGTGTTTAATTGATCAGCAAATGCTGATAAGTGAACGGTTTGGGAGATAAGGTAATTTCAATTAATATTTATTCACAGGTATTTGTTTGTATGGGCAAGCTAGATTTTACGCCGTCTTAGCACTGGAATCGTTTTATGGTGAAGGAAAGCTCAAAATAACACGCAAATGTTTACCTCTATGGAAAACCAATAAGTATAGGTTTGGAGCTGCCAGCGTGAATCTTGGCTTTGAACCTCCGTGCAAAGTATCTTAGCATGATTAAGGGACGCAGTCTAGTCTGTTTGGCCGTCGACGGGTTTTTTTCAATGACGAGATTTGTATGTGAACAAAATGAACAAGCAATTGTCAAGTGGAAGTTGCTTGTGTCCTATCAATGTGACCTTCATGTTACAGGTCACAAACATGCATATGGACAATTACAGCCTATAATGAGAGCTTCGTCAATCTCAAGCTTGTTGACATTGATGTAGAAGTTAGTGATCGCTGTCAGCCGGATAGCCTCAAGATATATGACGGTAACCATTTGCATGACCTTGCATCATACATACTCCAATCGTAACTATAATACTATGATATCAATATTATCATTAAGAGTGACTTTGCATTAATGGCTTTGTATATCATCAATGGTCTGTGTACAAGGCAAATCACTTCATGCAGAAGTGTGGACTAAACAACTCCAGGCATTACAACATGACTTCTTCATTATTAACAGGGGACAGTTCTGCAAGTCCTCTTCTGGGAACTTGGTGTGGACAAATGAACGGTTACAGGTTACAAAGCACAGGGAATGTGATGACTCTTGTCTTCAACACTGACGACTCCAATAACGGAAGAGGATTCAACGTCAGATATACACAAGAATCAACTAGTAAGTTTGTTTATTTGAGTAAATCTTGCGTATAATTTCGACAGTTCACCAAATGTTGACGTAGCAAACCTTGTGTTACAAATTCGAATTCCAAAGTATTGTCATAAAGATCGAATACAGTTCTCTCTTTTAGCGGATGTATAAAAGTCATGGAAATTAATGTAACATGGCTATAGGGGTCCACAGATATAATGTAGTTTTATTGTCTTTCAAACAGGTATGGTATGCGACCAAAGATTTGAAGCTACAGACACATATTCCTACATCACCTCGCCGAACTACCCGAATTCTTTCCCAGGGTTTGTAGTTTTAATCTAGAAACAAGACATAATTACAAAGGTACTGGTGTTCATTGAAACCGTGTTTGTCCGTACCCAGTTCATCCTTTCAGGATGTGACTGCTGGTTCCGCGTGCATATATACACAGTGACATTACGCTAGAAACATGATGATTCAATATTCCGGACATTCATTAATTCAGACGATTTCAGTGGGAACGCTTGCGTCTAGATTAACCGGATTTCATTGTATTCGGTTTATAATGGTTGTGTAGTATTGTGCTTGTTTTTTGTACGATGTAGCTGCAATGTTGGTTGGCCTTAAAAGACGCAGCTGAAGCATCAATTGGGACAGCATTGTTTCTGAATATGAAGTCAATTCGGTGAACATGCTTTCACTGATTCAGTTTCGGATACAATTTAGAGGTATCACATTTTGATCTCCATTTTACCATGACAAAAATCTGCTATCTATTTCGTGATACAGAAAAATAAAAGTAAGCAACATTGGATAAATAATATTTGTTTTGATTCAGTGAACAATGACAAGAAATAATACCATAAATCCGCATATTTTTTCAACAATATCATGATCTTATATAATACTCAAATCACTCAAAATAATTTGCAATTTGTTCTTTGAATAGACCATCCTATAGAAATGTGAGGCTAGCCACTGAAAAGTTAAATAATCAAGCACACATCTCCAGCATGATGTCATAATGTAAAGACATGACGTCGAATTTGTGAAACTTTAAGTATGACGTCACATTATCTAGACTAACAAGCCATAATTTTCAGATTCTCTGATTATCCTAAATTTTACAAGCGTGCATCACTCTAGTTCTTCTATTAGGGTATTAGGATTTTGCGTCTTAAATGTTTTGAAACACTTAGCGCTATCTAGCAACCACCACGTGTATTGGTATCAGTGAATCAGTGTTTGAAATTGAAAAAAATACGAAAAGATGACAATGTATCTATACTCAAACCCTGAAGTGAGTGAGATCACATACATCTATTGATAACTCTGAATGATGCATATAAACATATAGATTGACATTAAAAAAAGAATTGTCAGAATTGACATGTGACAGATCTTAAGCCAAATGGGACAACAGTACACTTAACATCGTTAAAGAATGTTAAAGGAAGTTTGTGTTGTCTGCTTCAAACTAATCACAATATGATAAATATGATTACCTTTTTGGTAAATGATCTAATTATGTAGGTCTTTGGAAGAACTATCACTGTAAGAAAAAACCTCATTAACCCAAGCTTGAAAGAGCAAGGACAAACTTAAACACGTCCCATTTCAATTCTGGAAACCCATTTGTCCAGAAGCTCTAAACGCGATATTTACATGGGTATGTACTAAGGAAGAAAACACTGAAACAAAAATGTTTCGAAAACTTAAAAAAAAAATAATACTGTCGCTTTTCTCACGACACGCCGAAGACCCGGGTTCGATTCCCCACATGGGTACAATGTGTGAAGCTATATTCTGGTGTACCCCGCTGGAAAATTGCTAAAAGTTGCGTAAAACCAAACTCACTCACTCACTATAATTAACATTGCCTGGTTATGTTGAAAAATCATTCTTAATTCGTGTTCTACAGTTTGAAACGTTTCAATCCTGACCGGTTATCAGAGGGCACTCCGCTCATTTTCGCAAAACCCTATGTAAACTGCTTTGGTGGTCTGCGCGCGCAACTCGGCTGTCAACACAATATGCGGCGAATATGCAACTGAAGGGAACTATTATTGACGTTAAGCCTGTTTACAGACAGACAGACAAATTCATTTTAATACAGTCTCTGTTTTTTCTCACTCTGTGCACGATTGGTGTGATTCACTCGTATGTGATTTCTTATGACGAAATACAATTTTTTATCACGTTATCTAGTTTTTCACGTTTTACGATAATTTCTCCAGTTTATCTAAATGAACTCGTCTAAAATGAAACAGTTGAATGGACTGTGTGAGATGTGGTGATATGACCGAGATACAAGGCTGGTTACAAGAGAATTTGCGTAGGAGAATGATTGGCTTCATGCGACCGAAGCATATTTATAGTGTAATCTTTGCTTTGACACTGGCTTCTAATCAGGTCAGTGTGGTAATTAGTAATTTGTAACTCACCCGTAAGTAAGACACATGAGCATTCTCTTCAATTTGCCTATGATGAAAAAAAACATTGCTGACGCCAGTTTACTCTGCGCAGAGCTTGCGTTGTCGGCTTCGCTGTGCGGAGTTCTATTTGTTTGGTTTGAGAACAGAATCTGGCTAAATGACAAGAAAGTTCATATGTAAATAGTGTGGTTCCCGTTATCACAGATTGGTTTCAGATGCGCTGTGAATATACAATGGTTGCCCATACATACTTTCCATTCAACTTCTCAACGCAAATTTGCATGGAGACAAACTGTCTTTTATACTGACCATGTCCTCTTCTTCGTGTATAGATTCCAGGGTATATAACCCTATTAATGTGTCGTTATTCACGTGATGCTCAGTTTATGAATTTAATAAAGATATCGATGTTATTGGTGTCAGTACCACTCTGCCATTTTGAGTGAGTGAGTGAGTGAGTATGGTTTTACGCCGCTTTTAGCAATATTCAAGCAATATCACGGCGGGGGACACCAGAAATGGGCTTCACACATTGTACCCATGTCGGTAAACGAACCCGGGTCTTCGGCGTGACGAGCGAACGCTTTAACCACTAGGCTACCCGACCGCCCCCTGCCATTTGTGAAGATCCGGGGAAGAATAGGTCTTGCTTGTCGTAAGAGGCGACTAACGGTCAGGTTCCCTGACTTGGTTGATGCATGTCATATCGTATCACAATTGCGTGGATCGATGCTCGTGATGTCAATCACTCGATAGTCTGGTCCCAACTCGATTATTTTACAGACCGCCGTCATATAGCTGGGATATTGATGAGTGCAACGTTAAACAACAAACAAACACTTAGATTACGTAACAAAACTATGTACTATTAGACCGCCTCCGTGGTCCGGAGAGCGGAAGGTTCGGGGTACAATCCCCGGCCGCGTCATACCAAATGACGTTAAAAGATGGTACTTATTGTTACCCTGTCTGGCGCTCGGCACTAAGGGGCTAAACCAAGGACTGGTCGACTCGGAGTCAGTATACTATGTCTGAGTTGGGTATTCATGTTAAACTGCGGCATGGTACATATCTCAGTGAGCTAGCACTATATATCATCATCAGTCCGGACTAGTACAAGCAGCCACACAACCACACATACGTACATGCACGTCGCTATGTAAGTGCAATAATCTTGGACGCGACGTTAAACGCAATTTCACCTCACCTCACCTATGTACTATTAAAACCTTGATGTTTGGTATATTTGGAAGCTGGCGTCTAGACATGCTAGACATTTGAAGCGGAAGAACCTCCCCATAGTGGAAGGGACTTTCCATTTCCTTTGTTTAGTTTTCAAGGAAGCTGAAGACTGATTAGCTGATGTCGACTTCCTGATTTTCATGAGATAAAAAAACCCATGACATATCATTTAAATAGTTCATGTAATTTATTCAGATTAACATGTTTGAAATAATCCAATTTGAGAATGTTATTTATATTTTGAGTTATTATTATAAGAAGAACAAAACAGCAATAGTGAAGATTAAAGTCGATAAACATATATATTTTTTTTTTAATTTTGAGCCTGAATTGTTTTTAAGAAACACCTTGAACAGTGTAATTCTAGTGCCAGGCCATTTTTTTCCAAAGTCTGAAGCAAAATTATCTTATTCAATTTTATCTTTTATCATTTGTTCCATAAAATCGAGCCCCATGTAACATCAAATGCCATCTTATAACGTCTTGTGGTATGACGCGACCGGGGATCGAACAATTGACTTCCTTGAGTGAAATATTGATCTTTATAAAATGTCCAGAAGTTGACATTAGGCAATCTTTCCAATTCTTTGGATAAGATATTATCCTTTGGAAATAACTTTTATTTCACATTGCCAGGTAATAATAAAACGATTTTCTGCAAGCCAAAAACCTTATATAAATTTACATTAAATCCTAGTTGAAATTTGCTTGACCAATGCTGTAAGCTTAGAACCAGCAATGAAAATTAATACTTGACAATACATGATTACGAGTTATTTATGTCATATGGATCCAGGAAAAGAAAGAACTAATGATGTAAAATCTTTTAATTTCAGTGTTTCTGGCTGTTCGTCGTACAAAATAGAATGCGGCTTTGATACAAGAAACAAGCTCGAAGTGCTGGAGTTAAATCTCCCTGAACGAGTAAGTGGCGAGTGTACGAGTGACTACATAACAGTACATGACGGTGAGTGGATTTCCTCACTTCATTTTTACCACTTATTGTAGATCCTTTAACTCGTATGATCGTTTTATGGATTCCCTCCACACTGTTTTATGCAAGGAAAGTATCATTTTGTTGTATTTAGAGGATTTATCCTCGTTTGACATTATGTTGTGTGATGTATCCTACAGTAGAACACGGATATCACGAACACGGATAGAGCGAACAAACGGATACAACAAACTGTTACAAAATCCATATATATTATGACATAAAATATACGCACATAACGAACTCCGCGAAACAACCGCCTCCGTGGTCTAGTGGTAGAACGTCCGCCCGGGGAGCGGAAGGTTCGGGGTTCAATCCCTGGCCGCGTCATACCAAATGACGTTAAAAGATGGTACTTGTTGTTACCCTGTCTGGCGCTCGGCATTAAGTGGCTAAAACAAGGACCGGTCGACTCGGATTCAGTATACTGTGTCTGAGTTGGGTATTCATGTTAAACTGCGGCATGGTATCTCAGTGAGCTAGCACTATGAATCGGCATCAGTCAGGACTAGTACAAGCAGCCACACAAACACATACACGTACATGCACGTCGCTATATAAGTGCAATAATCTTGGACGCGACGTTAAACCCAATTTCACCTAACCTCACCTATGTACTATTAAAACCTTGATGTTTGGTATATTTGGAAGCCTGCGTCTAGCATCCAAATCAAATGCAGTCAGAGGAGACAGGTCAGGCCTAACCGGTCAGGATTGAAATGTTCAAACTGTGTTTCACAATTTAGGATGACCTTTTGAATGTAACTAGACAATTTAATCTATAAGCGCACCTGTTTTGCATGACAACATGTACACATCTATAGTCACATTAGATTTAACTATTTGTTACGAATCCCGGGAATGGACATTGATTCTTCAGGGATTGACTGCAAGGAACATTCCACAGTATTTTGCAATGTTAGCCAGATGGTTGTGACTTGAGTTACATGATGATAATACCATAATTCGCCAATTAGTCCGAATGGCAAGCTCGGGCGCGGCTACAGCCATGAAATTCAGTTCGCCTCAGTCCCATATTATGCAGTGGAGCTGTGTTATGCTCGGGGTAAGGGGTCAAGCAAATCGGCCAACTCCGACACTACTCACATAAACGCTAGGATTTAATCGTACAGAGTTACGTCCCTTACGTCTCTCATCGTATCCCAACTGCGTGGATCGATGCTCGGGATGTCAATTATTAGATAGTCTTTTCCAAACTCGATTACTTTACAGACCGTCGTCATATAGCTGGGATATTGATGAGTGCAACGTTAAACAACAAACAAACACTTAGATAACTTAACAAAAACTATGACATTGTACTATTAGACCGCCTCCGTGGTCTAGTGGTAGAGCGTCCGCCTGGAGAGCGGAAGGTTCGGGGTTCAATCCCCGGCCGCGTCATACCAAAATACGTTAAAAGATGGTACTTGTTGTTACCCTGTCTGGCACTCGGCATTAAGGGGCATAACAAGGACCGATCGACTCGGAGTCAGTATACTGTGTCTGAGTTGGGTATTCATGTTAAACTGCGGCACACACACACACACACACACACACACACACACACACACACACACACACACACACGTCGCTATATAAGTGCAATAATCTTGGACGCGACGTTAAACCCAATTTCAGGAACCCTGCAGAGTCCTTCGCTTGGATGAAGTCGGCTGGGCTGAAAAGTGAAACAGAAGGCTTTCTATTTGCTGCTCAGAATCAGTCACTTACCACTCGAAACTGTCAATGTGTGATTTTGCATCAAAATGTAAATATGAAATGTAGATTATGTTAATGAATTTAATGAGACTGTCCAACACATTGTCAGTGGATGCCCAGCTTTGGCACAAACACAGTATCTTAAGCGACATGATGGTGTTGCTGGATCATTCTATTACACGTTTTGACGCTAATGTGATTGACAAGATTCAGGAAAAACATGGCAAATATGCGGACCTCGCTTTCGAAATGTCACGCTTGCATCCCAACTACCCAGTTGTCCGACTCCCCATTGTTCTCGTTGACTTAGGTTTGGTATCTCCTAGTATGTTGACTGAGTGGAAGAGAGATCCATAGTGAACAGCGTATTGGTACGAAGGAGAACTATAAGACTTGAGCCTGTATGATGGGATACTGAGTAGGAGTTGATTATGGAGTAGAATTGCATGGACACGCCATCAGATCTCGGAGATTTTACTCCGCTGACGCTGAGTCATGGCATTTATTTGCCTGACTCGATTACGTACAGGCTGCATGATGCACATTGCAACGTGAATATTACTGAAAATACAATTTATCATCCAAAACTGGCTCGGGTGAGATAGAGAGGTTATCACGCGAGTGTGTTTGGGGATGGTAAATATCCTGCATTAGGAATAAACATTGTATTTAGCGAGCCTTGGCGAGCTAAATACATTGTGTTTATTCCTAATACAGGATATTTACCATCCCCAAACACACAAGCGTGATAACCTCTTTATCATATAATGTCATTCTTTAATTCTGTGCTTTAAAATCGCTCTCCCACAAACATTACCGAAACATTGCGAATTTTCCTGGAATGCGCGCATTAATATTTATTACGTCACAGGGTAAGTGATGTGTCAGTCGGACAGTGACAGTACCCAATATAGTTCCAACTGAAATCTGTTTCTTATCCAGTGGCGAAGCAACATATACGCAAAACAACAATTGTTTTTACTTTCCTTATGCGACAATCAATCGGTCGGTCCGCTAGAGTAACTGCCCTTTTTCAAAGGGAAGCTACTCTAACCCTAGCCTGTGAGACGTCACGGCCACGTTCAGAGGTTGTTGACAGTCGGCCTGTCCTGTCATAACGTTAAGAAGTGCAGTCAGATGTACACACAGCGACAAAACGAAACAAGGTAACAATTCAAACATATTTCGGCCAAATCCAGCTATTTTAATTTGTTGAAAAGGGATTCAAGCGGCAGAGGTCTACAAGCACATATATGGCTACTGATCCCGCCTGGCTAGGCCTCGTGCCCTTGCAAAATTGTTTCGAAATTTATATCTCCAAAGCTGCCAAAACTTATAAAATGCCTTAGCTACGTCACAGTTAGAAACTGTTTTTCAATATATTAGACTGTTCTTTTGATAATGGTAGCAATTATCACTGTAGTTTATCCAGATTCCCGTTGGTAATTCTGACTCGATCGCCGACACTCTCCTACCCAGAGTTCCATGCGGCCGGCAGCCAGCTAGCATAGTACCTCTGCCACAGGCCAGCGCCATGTGACGATTCGTCACATCTTTCACAGTCCATTCAAGATATTGCATATGCTTTTCACCCGTTTCATGTTTGACAAGTCTACACATTTTCATAAACAAATGTCAAAGAATGGTTAACTTTCATTGAGAAAGTATGCAAATATGTAAAAATCTACTTGATTTTGCGTGGTTATCCTATGTTTACATTGGTTGTACGGCTCCACGTGCTGTCATCGAAGCCCAACGGAGAGCTAGCCACACGGTCACTTTGATGCATAAATATATATTGTCATGCAACTCACTGTCGCAGTTGTAGTAGCATATCTATATAGTTATGCAAAACAATATGTAAAGCGCCCCCAAATACTTGCATTAGTCTGTTCTATACTGATTTCTGAAAAAGCGCGTTTGTTTACAAACAAGAGAAAAGTCCGGTCACGTGATATGCAAATTAGCCTGTGGCAGTGGTGTTATGCTGAGTCACCACTGCGACGGAGTGTGGATCGCCGAATGACAAGGGCGACGCCATATTTGTTTATAAACAGTGAAAGTAGTCCCTACTTGACCTTTGATATTTGCATCTCTATCCGCATATAACCCCAACGGATATCGTTTTTATCCGTTGGCTTTATCCTGCCGAGAAACCTACCCATTATATGATGAAATTGCATCACAATGCTTGTAGACCATTGTGACGTCATTAGTCACCATGACGTCACAATCAATGAAATCACTAATGGCTCGGCTACTGAAGCTGTTAGCAGTACTTTTTACATTTAAGACAATGCTTATTACTGTCTACAAACTGAAAAAAATGGAAGAATGATGTTGGATGATAAATAAAATCTTACCATCGTGTCTTTTGATATCAAATACATCAACACTCGTTGATAAAAATGGAAAAAACTCCTCGGCAAGTCTTTCCTCTTTTTTAACTAGTCTTCATATAAGTGATGTCAAAAGACTCGGGTGAGATTCTCTATACATCACTCACTCTACACAGATGAATACCTTGCATGATTGCCTTGTGTTTTATAGGGTGGTACAACACATCCATACCACTCAAGTCCATCAACACCCAAAATTTCCGGTTCTGTGGTAAGGAACTGCCGACGTTCGTGAGCCCCAGGTTCTTCATGTTTGTCCAATTCCACAGTACACAAGCAACAACAACCAGCAGCTTCCGGATGAGATATTTGGAAGGAATATTTGCGGGTAATGTGAACCTTTCTTCAGGTTTGCAGGGTATCTTTGGTTGGGAATTTCATCACTCAGTTTCAAGTCACTCAAATGGTCATCAACAGGTTGTATACTCCGTAAATACATAGGGCCGCGTTGCAGTGTTGTAGATATTTTTTTATTACTTGCCCGTGAAGAAATCACTCGTGTAATGAACATACAGCTGTATTACATATTGTGTAATACCAAAGCGCGTGTTAATGCACTGCGGGAACAAGTTTCACGAACAAATATTGAAAACTCTCAACATACCTAGGCTTATTCAACGACATTGCGTGTAGAGATGAGAGATCATTGAAAGGAGCTTATGCACACTCGATGACCCCAACAACCCTGTTGCTAGGCTGACGTCACATGGCATTGTTTCGCCGAGGGATCTTGCAACAAAATTTTACAAATTACGTCATCGAGTATTGGGACGTGATTGTAAACTTTGTGGTGCAGGACCCCGTTCCACAAGGCGATCGTAACGCCACGACACTTGTACGTCTTGGTATATAGAACGTATTGATAACCTTAGCGCTATGATAACGTTTGTGAAAGGAACCCTGAATTCTTAAGATGGATTGTTTCATGGTATTGAATTAATACGTGTCAACGTTTGACGTGTTTGAAGTATTTTTTTGTTAAAATCAATTGGATTATGCTGTGGGTCGTGCAGATGTCTGCCTATATATATTCATACACGACATTGAAATTCTAAAAACAGTTTTAAACGGCAAGTAATAAATAAAATACTAAACTCGCTCGTTAACGTGTGTCATACCCTTTCGGCCTCTTCAGCTGTACAATGTATGTATTTACAGGGGATGAAGGAATATTGACAATGAATGTAACTCTATCCCTCTGGTCCAATTCAATGAGAATATTTAATCCATTTGGAAGTTCCTGGAGTAGGATGTGTGAAGGTCTCCGGCCAGTCCCCCATGCATGTCGTACATATAAACTTTGACTAACGAGGATCGAGATGGTTTTATTGTTTGGCGTTGCTAATGCAGCCAGTCACCATTTTGCTGCGTCTCAATTACTTTCAGGTCGTCTTGGTATACATGGAGCTGATTGCGGTGTAAAACAGCATTCACTCACTTATTCACTTAATCTCAGACCAGTAATAAGAGGTCACATGAAGAAACGAATGATCCTCTGATTTACAAAGGACACTGTTTGCAATCGCCCATACATAACCTTCCTATTATATTGTATTTATTTCGTCTAAGTTTCACACAGACGTTTCAAAAGTTATAACTACACCATACTCGGGTTTCCTATCGTTTCTTCCTCCTTGTTATTTGGCTTACCTTGGGATTGAATGTTTGAAATGAGAACGAAACGAAATCGAATCGCAACATCGTTTTAGCCCCTAAGGGACGGCCGGGTAGCCTAGTGGTTAAAGCGTTCGCTCGTCACGCCGAAGACCCGGGTTCGATTCCCGACATGGGTACAATGTGTGAAGCCCATTTCTGGTGTCCCCCGCCGTGATATTGCTGGAATATTTCTAAAAGCGGCGTAAAACCACACTCACTCAATTAAGCCCCTAAGCGGACAGATATATTCATTGGTACACCTGGATGTATTAGTATACATTATTATAATAACGTATTCCAATAAGTTTATTTTGGGAGCATTTCGACCGAAGATAATGTCTAGACACAAATTAGTGACTTGCCTCGAACAGGGTCATTGCAACTGCTGATGTGTAACGGGGATATTCCGTTTGTGTATCAGTCAGTGTATATGATACATTTTGGATTTACAGTGACCAGGGATTTGAAAATGTTTAATCATACAGGATGGGACAGAGAACTGGACCATTCCAGTCTCCCTTTAAACGATATAATGAATATATAACTGTTATCAGATGCTTATATATTTATGCCATACAAATATAACTGCAGCAGATGAGTTATTAGTAGTATGTTAAAGTTATGCTTACTTTAATAACTATATGTTTTGTAATTCAGATGAATATGTGTCTCCCTGTGGCGGGTCACTGATTGCGACTGATGGAGTTCAGAACATTACATCACCAAATTATCCAAACAATTATACAGGGTAGGCCTCTTATATATTTTTTTATTATTTAAACTTCACATGTTCCTATTGCATTTTGTCCAATGGCATCTCCAATTGTCATCTCAAATTGTAGATGCAGCTCACCAGACTGAACGACAAGCCTGCTAAACCCGTCACCCGTCGTCCCTTGTTAGCGATTTTGCGTTTGTAATTGTCTCCTTTTTTGAAATATAACACAAATAATCTACATGCTACATGTATGTTGTAGCCTTTAAAATGTTTTACTTGACACGGGTTCACAACAGTTACACTATGGCTAGATTAATAAACCCACGGTAATGTACTGTACAAGTCTGGGTTGAAATTATTTAGTTATGTCAGATTGTTGTATTCACTGCAAGGTAACAATTCAAATATCTCGTGATTATACTTTGGTACAACACTGTTACATACTCTCCATTGGAGGTACGGGATCATGACATATAAATGTTGTGATTGTAGTTAGAAGAAAGATCATCTTTGAAAAATGACTGCCTGGGATAAAACGGTTTTGGAACCAAAAACTAACGCTCCAACATACCCAAAACATTGCACATGGATTATGCAATTTCTCGGTACACCTGGCCATGCTTGATTTTGACACTTCTGTGAAAGGTGGTCAAATCGCTCTGAGCCAATAGTATTATTAGTTTTCGTAATCCACAATAACACGTAAGCTCCCTACTCTTGCTTTAATGCAGTATTTGTGATAAGATTGTGAAAAAGTCTTCTACAACGTGAAGAACGCCAAAGGGATATTGACATTCTTCAAACTGGTATAACTCAGCAAGAGGTAGCCAATACGTTCAATGTGTCTCCGTCTGTAAATAGGTTCCTGCGGACACAAAATGTTCCTAATCGGTCCCGCACAGGGCTTCCTAAGTCAACAACACAGGTCCATGGTCGATTAATCAGAAACCAGGGTTGACGAAATCGACCCCAAACGACAATCAAAACTTAGTTCAGTGGCGCAAGGTCACCGGAGATCAAGTTACTGTCCAGACGATGCATGCTGCTAATCTGCAGGTTCCGCCACCACGTGTTGTACCACCGTTTACAAATTGACACATTCTAACCAGACGCCAATGTGCGGGGAAATTATGGGAATCGCCGATGGTTTCGTGGGCGTGTTTGAAGGCGTCCTAACGAACGTCATTCGACCGTCAACGTAAGGCAACGGGAAAGAAATGGGAGTGGGTCTGTAATGATATTGGCGGGATCATAACGCTCGTGCCAACCGTACACGTATTGTAACTAGCTACTTCCGGCAGCAAAGCATCACCAGAATGCAATGGCCAACATGAGTCCTGACCTTTCCCCTATAGAGCAAGGCTTGGACATGATCGGACATGTACGTCAAAGTCAAGGCCGACGTCGAAGGCCACCAGCACTGCAAGACACGACTCCCTCGAGAATCTTTTGGGAGATTAATTCGGACCATGCCACGCCGTAACGGCGAGTCAAGTCATAATCATTTTGCATCAATGTATTTTTTTGCGGCAGGCAATTTTTTTTAAGTCTGATAGATTCTCAGCCCTCTTATCCCTCGCGCGGCCCATTGCATCAATTGTTACATATCTAGCGACATTGTTGGAAGTTAATGTACTTGGTTGTTTTCTATCTGCCAGTTGGTTCTCAATATTTCATAAGAAGTATTTCTTTCACGATCCGTAGGCTGACCGTAACGTGACTTTTGAACTGTTAAAAAATTACCTGTTCCGGTGAGCTACATGTTGTTATTACTGCATGTTACAAGGACGTATGTAATTTTTCATGTTTAATGTTGAATGACTTTTTCACCAGGTTCGTAAATTGTACATGGACCATTACAGCAACAGATAGTACCAAGATGGTACGGCTCTTCTCAACAGACTTCCAACTGCTTAAACGTCCTTTTCCTTATCCTAATTGTGATGTTAGTATTCATTACTTAAGAATATACGACGGTGAGTACATCTTTTTTATGTGAGTGAGTGGGTGAGTTGGGTTTAACGCCGCTTTTGACGGTATTCTAGTTATATCGCGGCGTGTCAGCTTAATGTGGGAGGAAAGCCCGACGTTTACCACTCCGGTGAAACCCACGAAACCCACCCTAGAAAAATAATCTTGGCGAACCGGGATTCGAACCCACAATCATAGGTTTCTGGCGTGCCCAAGGGACGCAACTCTGCACAGCGAATTGCGGCGCCTTAGACGACTGGGCCACCCGTGCCCCCTTTTTTATGTAATTTTCACTGAATAGATACTGGCACGGCATTCTTCGGTGAGTGAGCATGGTTTTACGCCGCTTTCAAAACTATTCCAGTAATATCACGGCGGTAGACGTAGACTTCTGAAATAAGCTTGACACATTGTATCCATGTTGCGAATAAAAAACTTGGCCTGCAGCGTGACGATAGAACGCTTTGTTACAACCCTTAATGTAAAAAATACTCTTAATGTAAAAATGTTTACATTAAGGGTTTAAGTTAAAGAAAATATTTTTTTACATTAAGGGTTATCACTATGAAATAATACTTCGCAGATTTAATTGATCGTTACTTTGTTTAGATGTGCAAATGACTATATTAATCATTTTTAGATTCCCTCTCAACAACGACCACCTGGTTGTCATGTTCATGCTTCATAAAACGTTTTATGACCACTGACCCTTTTAACCGATTTTTATCAAACTTACTGTTTTACAAAGGTTATTTTTTGATACTCTGCAAGGTAACCTCGTTACTATCCTAATACCTTAACGACGGAAAGGAGGACTCAGCCCAAGCAGATCAGACCAAGTTGTAGATGATGGTTGGTTGTTAGAATCGGCCATTAACAGAGTTTTAGGCATAAAATAATGGACATTTTGTTGCAGTATTGCGGATATGACAGTTAAGCATACACCAGAATCATATGCTTTTACAAACGACAGGAATTGCAATGCAATAATGTTTGGTTAAAAAAAGAGCCCTCAGGTTTCCCAAGTACCGCGCCGAGTCAAATACAGCCACTTTCAGTTAATATGTTTCGGATATGAAGTCTATACCTTTTCTATAGCAGTTTAGCACATTCTGTAGTAAGACCATAGTTGATTGAAAATAGCGAAACAGAACACTAGGCATACGGCCTGTAGAGTATTTAGGAACCACGATCTTCTGGGTGAGCTGACATAAGCTCACCACGGAACTTCGTACCAGGTGAGCTATATATGCTATCTTTCGACATATTTTATCAATATATCGTATTGGATTGTGAATAGATTTCGCATGACGGATGATGCACGCCGTACAAAGGCGGATGACAATACGTCACATAAGCCTTTCGGACATCTTGCATGTATGGATAAAAAGTAAGCTAACTAGAACTGTCCTATGGGGAATTAATGAAGGCATGTCGTACAGAGTCCGTAGCTACACTTACGTACATATCTGAAAGAAATCGATGTAGTAGTTTAGAAGATGTCCAGACACATTGAAATAAAAAAGGCAATAACTCCGCCCAAATGAAACAAATAACAATTGCAATGTGCCCAACAACATGTTGAAGTGACCACGTGTACAAAGTTTAATTGAAATCAGTCAATTAGTTTGAAAGGAATGGTTCGGAAAGTTATTTTCCACGGACAGATCGACAGGCGGGCTGACACGCTGATTCCATTATACCCTCTAACTTCTTTGCGGGGTACAATGAACTAATACTCCAATGAAATGATATTCACGAGAGTTTTCAAAAGGAATTCATAAAAAGATATTTACTCATTTAGATGATTGAGACCTATAAATTACAAAATGGCTACTGTGAGACCATCTTGGATTTCTGAATGAGGTTATATTACTGCATGTTGTGCTGATCATCCACACCTAGTTTCATAAAGAACACATATTAGTGTTGTAAAATTGTCTTAAATAGGGTTAACTATCTAAATGCCGACCAATCAGACAACTCCATTCCGTTGGTATTGTAATAAATAATAATCTTTCTAAATATCCCTTTTAACGCAAATAAAGTCATATTGTATAGTGCCCCTAGATACAACTTTGTACCAAGATTTAACAAAATCGCCAGTTATGACCCATTAAGAATACCTGTAAATAACGACCAGGTTGTCGTTGTTGAGAGGTTGTTGGAATATGAAAGGTGCACTGCACTGACTCAAGTTCCATGGCTCTACTTTTTGTTGTTTCTTAGTAAACGCGCACAGTTGAAGGAAGAATAAATTCTATTACGAATAATTAGTCTTCACTAAATCCAGGGCCTTTTTGTACAAACGAAATACAATTTAGGTGAAAATAGTATAAAATACAACTGTTACACATAACTTTGCATTTTTGAAAAAAGCAGTTTTGACATAATTGCATATTATCAAAGTTGGAGGATAATAATTTAGACCAGGGGCGAATCCAGGATTTTGTGTGAAAAAAAGGAGAGGGGGTCCATTCGGGCCATCTGTAACTTCAGTGTCTGTAAGTGGGATGGGATGGAGTGTGAGGGGTGGAGGTGGTGAAATGTCCACCCAAGAGCGTACCCACAAAATCACAAACACTTTCTGTGTACCATTATTTATATTACTCTATGAAACAAATCAACATTTTATAACGGTAAGCAATGCGCATACAGAGTATCATCAGATGTAAAGCACCCCAAGACCACCCCACTCCACCTCCCCTGTACACCGTGCAATCAGTGCTTCATTAGGCATTTATTATCAAAGAGGAAGAGTCGCTTAGCATGACCATTTTACCATTTTGTTTTTACAACCTGTAGCAAAGTAGTTTTTATTTCATTTTAGAGAACAGCTTTGTAAAACAAAATTCCAATGACATTCTTAGATTATCAAATGGTCGGACAACTGGAAATGTTTAACTTAGCATTTGTTCATATTGTTTTTACACAAGTATTGTGTTCATTTAGCCGCTTGTTCCAGGTGGCTACGACAGTAACTACGTTGCAGAATGTCATAAACAGGCTTTGATGCAACACCAGAGCACCCAAAACAAAATGACAGTGGTACTAAAAGCGTTTGCTCATACAAATGCATTCAGACTTCAGTACACCCAAACAGCAGGTAACTACACAAAATAATTGTTTATCATTTATTAAAGATTAAAAATGTAATACTATGTATTCAATGTATGTGTGTTCACACAGCAATAACGGATGTACATGTATTACTTCCGGATGAATAAACGCGTAAGTGTGGCCCACTTGAAGATTTGGAAAATATATGTTGACGTCGAGCTGGCGATACACATGTTTTGCAAAACCTGCAATCGACCGAAATCTGCACCCCAGTTTTTGAACTGGATGCCGATTTCGTTACGCGATTATGGTTAGACTATGGATAGACTCGTTAGTCCATCCAATATACAACTCCATAATTCCAGCCTACTTTGACAAGAGTGGAAACTAGACTCAAAAAGTCAGTTAACTCTCTTGCTTCGGGAAGATTTTGGGGTACGATGAAACGCTATCACCAAGCCATCAACATACCTCCTGGTCATCCATCAAAGTTCGAGATAGTGTTTATGTGGTGTTTATAGAGTTAAAGCCCTTGCTTTGGGAAGATGTCCAGGACTGGCTTTATAAGCATCTGTCAAGTGTCTACACCATACCTCGTGGGCTTATCAATGAAACGTTTAGTCTATGGGATGTGATCTCATATTAAACTGACGCGAAGTGATATAATAACGGAAATTGTTTTATCAACTCACTCAGTAATAATACATTAAACACATATGTACATACTCTGTGTCTCTTTACATGTACACCTGTCAAAATGCCAAGCGCCACACCTTCTTTATTCTCAAGTATCATGACCATCAATGTAACATCAGGTTCTACATTTGGAAGTGATTAGTTTTAATTAATGTAAGACGTTTTATGTTTCTCTAGAATGGTCGGGTCACTTCATTTTATATCAAGAGTGAGTGAGTTGGATTTAACGCCGCTTTGAACAGTATTCCAGTTATAACACGGCGTATCAGTTTGATGTGGGGGGAAAGCCCGAAATAATGCAGGTCTAAGACATTTACTTCTTTGATAAAACTCACGATCACGGGTATTGTGCTGACAAACTAAGAAACATATATTATATATCTGAGGGAAGTTTGGTAAAGGAACGTTGTGTTCGTGTCGAATGGGGGCGGTCGGGTAGCCTAGTGGTTAAAGCGTTCGCTCGTCACGCCGAAGACCCGGGTTCGATTCCCGACATGGGTACAATGTGTGAAGCCCATTTCTGGTGTCCCCCGCCGTGATATTGCTGGAATATTGCTAAAAGCGGCGTAAAACCAAACTCACTCACTCACTCGTGTCGAATGATCGTAGGTCCTGGGTCACTTCATTTTACACAAAGAACCCGAGGAGGCAGCTGAACGAATACTTTAGTCTAATAACTATTGCAATGGAACAGCATCGAAATGTTTCACAATATAATCACTTTCGGGTTCTGTATTTCAGTGAGAAAATGTCACTTTGTGAATAAAAATACATGTGTTTCGTCGAGAATTAAATATTGAGAAATAACGTGTTAGTCTTAACTTATTTTCGTGTCTATGTATATATAGTTGGTGTCTTCTAGAAAAGATGATAACAACTAGCGATACACATTTTTTTTTTCAGATCTGTTGTCATGTGATCATGTAAAAGACATCGGCGATTACGGTTCAATTAAGTTTCCTGGAAGTGTGGAGGGACCAGTGCAGTAAGTATAATCTGGATAAACCGTGTTCACATCTGGGAACATAATTCCACTTCGAATATCAGTCTAATAATTGTTTGTTCAGTGTAATTCCTGAACACTGATTAGCTGAATGGGTTCTATCTTGTCATATATTTCCCATTTGAATGAGTGAAAAACAATACGTGCACCCACCAGCAAGAACTACTCCCACAAAAGTGGAATGTCGTAAGTTGGGTGAATTTCCCTGCTGTCCCACTGATTCCTATGCGCCATAGGCCAGTACCCTTGTACAACGCTTGGTATACCACACATACAGTACACTCACTTCATGTCTGACATATGTCACAATGTTAAATGCAGTAAATAGAAAACATCAGGGCCAGAGAATGTTCAGTCCTGGTATCTACCGAAACAAATTCCATTGGGTGTGAAAGGGCAAAATAGCGATGAAAGGTTATTTACTGTATAATGAAAGGATCACTGACAATCCAGATATGTTATCGTAAGATATGCCCTGTTTAATGAGGGTGAAACAAGACCAGGAAATACATCCAGGAGAAAATATAGAATGTATCGAGGTCGTGGAGATACTAGCTGTTGTGTAGTGTGTATTGTGGGATGCACAAAGTAAGCTCAAATAAACTGTAGTGAACATGCAAAAAGATCTAATGTGTGCTGATTATGATCATTATATTACTCTAATGATGGTAGAATCTCAGAGGTCAGAGCCTCGTTCAGAGGTTTAAAATTGTTCAAACGGGTATCAATGGTGCCGCCCTTTTGTGCTCTCTCTGTGATGAAAAATTAAGGTCTTCGTTACACTCCAACCAGCAATCATATCATTTGTCAACAGACCAAAGAGTATCTTGAACATAAAACACACCATAATAGTTAAAAACAGCACCTTTTGCCCTCAGTCGTCTGAGGCACCGCAATTCCAGTTGCGTCTCTTGGAAACACCAGAAACCTATGATTGTGGTTTCGAATCCCGGTTCACCCCGATTATGTTTCTAGGTTTGTCAGCACCATACCTGAGCTCGTGGGTTTTACGAAAGTGGTAAACGTCTCAGAAAGAAATTTCACTTCCGACTTTTTTCCCACATCAAGTTGTCACGCCGTGATATAACCGGAATACTGTTCAAAGCGGCGTTAAACCCAGTTTACTCACTCACTCGTTCCATATGTATCCAAGCTAAGCGTGATGGCTTCGAGATTGGTCACATAATGATTTTCATGAGAGGTCACAAAAATGAATGTTCTTTACGTAGCTACAAATCATGCAGCACATTCGCAGAAGCAGAATTTGCGAGACGTTGTGGTTGACATTATGTTTGTGTCCATCAATAGCGTTATTTCTCGCGTATCATTTGGCATGTCGATTTTGAAAAAAAAGCTTCGTCAGCTGAATAATTTATGAAAACGACGTGTGTCATAAACTAGCCATGACTTGCACGTGAAAACTGCTTTCTAAGTTACCAAAGAAAACGAATCATGCAACCGTTTTGTGACAGATTATCGATAATCTGTGTGTCGTTTCTACTTTATATGGTTTTTAACAGAATTACCGTAGTAGGAGTTAACTAATTAATATGTTTCTTCACATTCAAACTATTTCCAGAGGCCGTTCCTGCTCATGGTTGTTGAGAAGAACATCGATGGAGGACGACAGATATCTTAAACTGACGATTAATTCGACTGCTTTAATTCAAAGCCCGAATTGTACAAAGGATTACATTAGGGTATACGATGGTATGTTATATATATTGAACAATAATATTATAATATTAAACAAGAGAGAGAGAGAGAGAGAGAGAGAGAGAAAGAGAGAGAGAGAGAGAGAGAGAGAGAGTCTTTATCGTCGCACTATTCCAGCTATAACCCTGCTACATGACCGCGGCCTGAAAGTTATCGTGTCAGGAAACCAGGCTATCAAGTCATCGATAATATGAACAATCTGGGTACATCTTCCCGACGCAAGGAAGTTAACTGAAAGTCCAGTTTCCACCCTTGCCGAACTAGGCTGGAATTTCGGGGCCAGTGGTTATTAGAAGTTATGTCCCTTCTATGTAACCCCTTTTGACCAATCAGATTCCACCTCTTATATCACTTGCACATGATTCAAACAATATGGCGGCGCCAAGACAAGACGATCTGATCGATAATCAAAATTTATATTGTAAAGAACGTGTCTAACTTCGCAATGTGCATCAAATCACGTGAGCACCTTGATTAAAAACATGAAAAGATTTGGAAAATATCTGTTGACGCCGAGTTGGTGCATTGCAATCGACCGAAGTCTGCAAGGCAGTTCACGAACCGAAAGTCGATTTCGTTACGCCATTTTGATTTGACAATGAGTCCGGTCATTATATAACTCAATAATTCCAGCCTCGTCCGACAGGGGTTGAAATTTGACTTACATAGTCAGTTAACTGACTTGCCTCCGGAAGATGTCGGAGTACGATGACACGTCATCACCATATATCATGGTGATCGATCAAAAAGTAGAAAGTAAGAGAGAGTGTCGATGTGGTGATAAAGAGGTCGTTGATGCCGAGAAAGCGAAACAGATAGACAGAGACAGACAGATTGAGAAACAACGAAGCTTTCCATACGACCGCACAGGATCATACATGGAGACGAATGTAACATGTTTTGGATAATCTCAATATGACACGTTTCTTTCAGCAAAGTGGATATTTTATGTTTATGTAATTTGTGTTTTCAGGTCAATCATCATCAAGCCCTTTAATTGGACGCTTTTGTGGTGGGAAAGTATCAGAGCTTTCTATTTTCGGAAACAATGTCTTTATCACTTCAGCCATGTCTGGTCAAGGATTTTTCGATATTGACTACAGTTCAGGTTGGTTAATGAAAATATACTTTTGTAATTATGATATGGTATTTTTGTCATGCGATAGAAAGAAATCCGAGTTTGTTTTTTATGTAATTAAAAAAAAAAAAGAACTGAATATGCCTACTTAACAATTACTTTCTCCCGCAACAGTTTGTAAAAGGAATCTGTTGCTGGGTAATTTTATGTAAATATAAATTAGTTAAGTGAAGACTGAGGTAAGAAATGAATTTGCAACCACATGCCCCCTACCATGTTTTGTGCCGAAAAAGGCTTATTTATTGTTTTTCATAGATAAGATGTCTGAGGTACCCATCAACAGTTGTGTATTTTGGCAAAACAAAATGTAAAGATATAAATCAAAATATATCTTAAGAAACGTGACACTGTAGAAATATCCTTTCAGTGCTGACTCAGCGCCAGTACAGTACATTTTTTATACGAAGAATATCTTACTTAAGATATTTTCACTCAAACATGAAAAAATCAATTTAGAGGAACAGTTTCCTTTGCTCCTCATTTAATATGGCAATTGAGAGATCACTTGTGACTTTGATGATCTGATTTAATAATATCAATGTTAAATCGAGAGATTATAATTTTTTTGCACGTCAGTCATATGATATGCAATAACGTCATAAAACTGAAATACCGTTCAAAGCACGCACTCGTTTCATGTGTAAAGATTTTATATATAATCTTGAAATAAATTGTTTCAGTATTTCTGGCCTCGTGAACAATAGCGCCAAAAAAGAAATAATTGTGTGTTCTGTAACTCTGCATCATGACACCGTTGTCTAAATTGCTTAATAAATAATTCACATCGCCAAACGTAGAAAAAACATGTAAGAAAGTAATATTCTCATCTTTGATAACCAGTTTACTGAACCGTTATCATCACACGCTCTTAACATATTATAACAAGCCAAATGAAATGATAATGTACGATACATTATGCCAATATACAATACATACATTATACATTATCATGTGTGATAATTGTTTCAAATAAAACATGCATTAACTCATTTTGTCTCATGACTCATGACGAAATATAAATGCTCATGTCACAAAATCACGGATTGCCCAGTCTCCGGAGACAGCGCAATACGCTGTGCCGTGTTGCGTCTCTCAGACGTGCCAGAAGTCTTGGTCATGGGTGCGAATCCCAGTTCGTCCTGATTATGTTGGTTTGTCAGCTTTATGCCTTCCCTCAAGGGCTTCCCCCAAACTGTAAACGTTTAAGACCTGCATCTCCAAACTATGATATAACTTAAATACTGTTCAATGCAGTTGTGAAGCAACTCACTTTGTCCTTCATGCACGCCACCAATGGTTAACACATACGTCTTTGAATGCATGTAACCTATACTAATAACAGATTTTGATTAATTTTCAGGTTTAACCGTTCTCTTGGATGAAACGAAGTACCTTTATCCCGACAGGAAGAGCATCCTAACATCTCCAAATTATCCCTTAAATTATCCACGGTACTTACATTTTCATGCAGACTGATCTAAATTTACTTCCCCACGAAAAGTGTTTGTAAGGTTTGAATTCTTACTTGTTCAACTGTTTCATGATAACATGATAATAGTCTTCATTTTCCATGGGAATTCAATGTTTCATTGCTTGGTTTTGATCACACACTGGTTTGCCTGGTCGAGACTTGATAATGTACATTCCGCCTTGATATAGACGGAATATTTAGAGCAACGTTCAAAATATAGTTTAATTAATCAAATATACTGAACAACAAAAGTTCCTGTGACATTGAATAAGATTAATTGCAAAGTAATGTGTTTTACCAAATCTGAAACTATTTCGGTTTGCAACAGATAAAAGACTTCTGTAAGCGTTCAAATGGTTTAATATCCATACTGACTTCAGAAAATGCGGGATTTCATTTTTAAAAAAACATGAGCCTGCCAAAATGTCAATTTTCAAATCAATAGCGTGTGTGTCCACCTCTGGTTGCGATGCAAGCAACACATTTTCGTCTCATTGAATGGACCAGGCGTCGCACAAAATCCTGCGGGATATCTGTCCATATCTGCTGGAGCATGTTTCGAAGTTCCTGGAGTGTCTGTGGAACACGTGGTTGACGTCGAAGGCGCAGATCCATCTCATCCCGCATGTGCTCGATTGGTGAGAGATCAGGGGTGCGAGCCGGCAAGGGGGTGACATTCACGTTGTTTTGTTGAGGAGAAACCTGAACAAGCCGAGCAATATGAGGCCGGGTATTGTTATGTTGAAAAGTAATGCCTGGGCCATGACGACGTAAAAAACGGTAGAACAACAGGTTCGATGATCTCGTCGCGGTAGCGCTGTCCATTGAGATTTCCCTCTACCACTATCAAACGGGTCCCTTGTCTTGTCGTAATCCCACCACGTACCCTAATGCTGCCGGCATGACACAATGATTGACGTAACGTTCATCGCTGTGGCTGAGGTGAATACGAGACTCGTCAGTGAATAGAACTTGTCCCCACTGCATGGCAGTCCAGCGTAGACGCCGTCTGCACCACTGTAGACGTGCTTGATGGTGGTTTCCTGTAAAAATGAGACGTCTGGCGGGTCCTCTGGCGACAATCCCTGCACATCTTGTGACTTAATTCCATGCATGTACTACAATATTGAAAACCAAACTTTACTTGTTTGAAAAATACACTAAAATATTGGTGTCACAGGAACTTTTGTTGTTGAGTATATATATGTCAACGCCAGAGAATACTTAGTCTCAATTATCTGCCGAAACAGGTTTCATTGGGCGTAAAAGGCAAAATAGTGGCGACAATTACATGAATGGATCTCTTACAATCACTGATAACGCCAGTGTATTCCGCTCTACAGGTAGCACTCACACACAATTTGCACAAACAAGTAAGTGTTTGTTTGTTATTCAGGAATGCTGAATTCTCTTGGACACTAACGACATACGTAGAAAAAGTTGTCGTTGAAGTGATGTCGTCACAGATAGAGATGTCAGAAGGCTGCGTCAACGACAGAGCTGAAGCATACGATGGTAAGCACTATCTGATTATCATTCAGGCAACTGAAGTACAGTAAACTACGGTTAAAACGAACTCAAAGGGACCACTAAATTTAGTTCGTTATAACCGTAGTTCATTTTAAGCATGTATACAGCATATCTGTAACAACTGGCAGGGACTAAAAACTACGTTCGTTATATCGGTCAGTTCGTTATAAGCGTGTTCGTTATAAACGTAGTTTACTGTAAAGAGTAATGAGTAACGAATAAAATAAAGCGACAAATCCTTATCCAGCATCATAAGACATCTCTGCTTTGAAAACGTTCTGATTTCTATATCAGCAACAACAGTGCTTTATCCTGAGAGAGCACATCTGTATCAATGTAATTTTCAAGCATACATTTAATGTAATGGGTTCCTTTGTATGTTTACATTTGTAAGTACGTCCACAAAACGATAATCCGTATGGTGAAATTTCCGGATTAATGAGGTCCGGACTGTTTCACAGTTTATTTAATCAATGTCTGTATCTATATCATATATGCCCATGTAGGGATTCTGTAGCAGAACAGGTGGCTCATGCGTGTTTTAGAGCTACCAGTTGCAAATGAGGCTCTATCGTGATTAAACGGCGTGACCTGGCTCATATTCTGTGATCACATGACTTTGCTCATCGTATCAACCACTGGTGTGTTCGACCCATTTTCTTGGGTGGCTATGACAAAACTGGAATGAATGTTAATTGCGGTGTGAAAAAGCATTCACTCTCTCACACATTTACAACAGCAATATACTTGTTCCAGGTGCGTCAAAGAAAGACAAACTTCTTGGAAAGTGGTGTGGCACAGAGACGCCATCATTTGAAAGTTCTGGAGAAAGTCTGACCATCGTATTGTTTAGCAACGACAACGAAATCGCTGGCAAGGGGTTTAAAATCAAGTACTACAATGAGAAAGGTATTTTTACTTAGTAGAAAAGACGATGGTGGGTAGTTGGGATCTCGACACAATCCGTGAAGTCCCTGAAATGGGAATTCATGCATAGAATTGATTACAAGTATCCTATGCTTGTCGAAAGAACGACTTGAAAGTTCAGTGGCGGTGATCATAATATCAACCACTGTCTTGTCTGATACAGACTCGATTATTTACAGTCGTAAATAGCTTGAATATTAATTGGTGTGGAATAAAAGTAGCAAAGAAACAAGGTGATGGACACCGAAATTATGTAGGCCTTTATATATTATCGCTTTTATTTTGTGTTGGGTGTTCACGTGATGGAGAAACACAAATTGTTTTTCAACAGTAGAGCGTTTGTATCACCGTGATTCCGAGTACCCAGGTACTATGTTTCCAGGGTATTATGATACGCAAGGGAAATGTATGTGCTAAGTTGGTCTTAGGAGTGATATAGATGGTGACGCTACTTCCCAAACGAAGCTATAGGTCAAGGGTATTTAACACAATAGAATGGGGATATGTATAGTCCACTGGATAGTAGCTGCTTAAGGCCTTAATCCCAAACCCCTTCAGACATTAACGTTTGGATAGACGATGGGCTAATGGTTAAAGCGTTCGCTTGTCACGCCGTACACTCAGGTTCGATTCCCGACATGGGTACAATGTGTGAAGCCCAAGTCTGGTGTCCCCCGTCGTAGTATTGCTGGAATATTGCTAAAAGCGGCGTAAAACCATACTCACTCACTTTGATAAACGACTAGAGGGGATAACAAATACGACGAAAACACGCCATAGTATGAGTACTACTTGTATTTCATTTGGATATTTCAGAATCAGATCGTGGATACATCATTGGAGGTGTAGTTGGCGGTGTACTGGTAATTTTAGTGATTGGAGCAGCTGTATTCATCTGTGTTAAAAGACCGTGTAAATCTCGACATAACATGGTACAAGCAAAGTATGTGTACAAACATTAAGTTACTAATAAGGAGCATGCCGTTCAGATATGACCGATACGAGAGAATACGGAGAACAGTTTAAATCTTAAAGCACAATGTACATAGGTTTACATCTGGTAGAATATTGAATTAATAGAGACAACAATTGTATGTTGAAGGACATCTTCCTCGGCAAGGGCGTTAACTGACTATAAAAGTCCAGTTTCCACCCTTGCCGAACTAGGCCTGAATTCCGGAGTTTATTTGGCGGGACTAACGATTCGTATGCATAGTCCAATCAAAATCGCGAACTAGACATCCGGTTAGTAAACAACATGGATTTCAAAGTGCAGACTTCGGTCGATTGCATTATTTGAAAAGCATGTGTACCGCCAGCCGGGCAAATCTTTTCATGTTTTAATGGAGGTGCTCAAGTGATGTGATGCAGATCGTCTTGACTGAGCGCCGCCATTTTGATGGAAGCAAATGCAAGTGATATGAGAGATGGAATCTTATTGGTCATTAGGAGGGACATAGAAGGGAGATAATTCACTGTTGGCGCTACTGGCAAGCTTTGAAATTCAAACCTAGTTCGGCAAGGTTGGAAACTGGACTTTTGTAGTCAGTTAACACCCTTGTCTCGGGAAGATGGTTACAGGAAAGAGGGGCCAAACCCCCCCGAACCAGTTTAATTTTTTTACTTTGTATGCACAGATTTGTCAGGTTAATTAGATAATCTCATTAAAAACAGATCTTAGTGGACGCAACACGAAAGTTTTGAGAACATCCCATTACTTGTCTTAGTAAGGCCTTTCGCGAAACAAGCCCCCCAAAGTCGACATTAGCCAATCAGAAAGCAGTTCTCTCGAACTTACGGCGCTAATATCGACGTAGCTGCTTTCGTTGCAGACTACGTTCTGAAAGATATTTCGACTAAGTTCTCAATTCATAATGTGAAAACTGAACAATAGAAAATTTTTGAATGTCTAATTGGTGGCCGTGATTGAACGGCAGTACTTCCCGCGGGCTATGGAAAGTCTCTAACGTTTTAAATGTGTATCCAAATGAAGCGAGAGATGGATGATAATCTAGCATTGTGAGTATGTTACAGCCCGTAACTGTCGTTCTGAGTGTCCACTTTACGTTTTCGAGGTTGCATGACGAGAACTGTAATGAGATGTCTTTTAAATTGTATACGCCTGCATGAACTAAGATCTGATTTTAATGAGTTTGTTTTGAGATGAATCGTGCTGAAAGTCTCACACTTATATGTAGATTCTCGTTATACAATTTGAAGTTTGTGGAGCGGGATCAGATCGGGACCATTAATAGATGATATGACAAGGGGCGTATTGATTCCCAATGGTATATGGTAATACTTTCACCTGTTTGCTTCTACTGAGTAGCATATTATTCACACGATCCCTACGCTTTTTATCCCCCGCCGGGCCAGGATGGCCGAAGGGGGATTATGTCGTGGCGCAGTCCGTCCGTCCGTCCGTCCCTCCCTCTATCCGTCTGTCCGTCCCACAGAGGGTACTAAGCTTGTGAAATCAACTCCTCCTACAGCTTCCAGAGAATATCCCTGACAATCTACACACAAGATGTCGACATGTTGATGATACGCCTATCGCAGTCCCGTTTCATTTCGACTAATTTTGACAGAGTTACTGCCCCTGTTTTACGGCGTTTCATTTGCCTAATTGTGAGAGAGGGTACTAAGCTTGTGAAATCAACTCCTCCTACAGTTTCTAGAGAATATCCCTGACACTCTACACACAAGATGTCGACATGTTGATGATACGCATATCGCAGTCCCGTTTCATTTCGACTAATTTTGACAGAGTTACTGCCCCTGTTTTACGGAGCTTCATGAAAAATACAAAGAAAATATAAACTCGTTAAAAGAATTCATGCGGGGGATGTTGTGCTCTCAGAGCACTCTTGTCTTAAATGGAATGGGCATCCAGTGCTGCATATGTCTGGAGAGACGTGAACATCAGATGCGACACCTGTCTGTAGAGACGTGGACACCTACAGCTACATTTGTCTGTAGAAACGTGTACACCTGGTGCTACACTTGTCGAACGAGACGTGAACTACTGATTCCCGATCTGTGTGTAGAGACGTGAACACCTGGTGTCTGTAAAGACTTGAACACCTTGTACTACATCTGTCTGTAGAGGCGTGAATACTTGACGTGACACTTGTCTAGACGTTGCTGTTGTATATGTATTTTAGCTATTATTCGAGATTAAATCGATCAATCATAATGTATATGTATGTCAAAATAAAATATCTGATTCAACCATTTCAAGGGTTTTGTTACGTCCATTTGATGCACTTGTAGAAGTCGATCATTGTATTTTCTGAAATTTATTTATTAAATATATATTTTATGTAATTTATCTTTGTTATGTTCTGCGATTTACGGTGAATTTTTGCACTAGAAGGCGGACCGAAAGATCTTTTATATGTCAACACACGTTTTTTGCGCGTATGAGTGAGTCATCATTCACGACGCCCTCGGGACAGTCAATGGACTAAAGATTTACAGCTTGAGACAGGCGGAAGTGTAAGTGATTAAGGACTGTAAGTGATTTGTATGAGGGGAACAGCAATCGCCTGTGTTGATAATGGATCGACTGTTCACTCGTACTGCGGGGAAGAAATTATAGCATACCTCCAGATAACACAAGCTGCGTATTGTGTACGCTATGCACAACACATCACCATGTGTCTCGTTTATTCTTGCTTGTATGGTTGTTGTAAGCTAAAGTGATCAGTCACACACTTGGGGCACCACATGGAGGCATCACTTGTTACTCGGAGGAGGGGGGAGTGACGGGGTTGAAGTGGGGTGGGGCTGGGTCAGGTTGAGGAGTTTGTGTAGAGTCTGGATATCTTTCAGCTTCTGCTGCAAATACGGGCTTTGATATATTTTGTAAACTTCTTGCAACAATTTGTTTTTGTGCTACTGTACACAATTTCTGTTTTTTTGTGTCCAACAACCTGAAGCATATTTATTTATTTCAGACAATTTCTGAAATAGTTTATTTTTTTATATAATCCCAGGTCCCCGCACCCATCATTCAATGCAACCAGGACATACTTAATACTGGACTAGACAAACCAGTGACTGATTTATGTAGAACATTCCACCCAGTCGGGACACGATGAGTCATCGAGACAGGCCACTATATTCAATTATTTGTCGTCTTTTACAAAAGCCACGTCCTAGTGTTATAGAACATTGGGTTCGAACTCACGTCCAAGAATTATAATTAAAAAAAGGGATTTGAACTGACGCCCAAGAAATATATGCAAAACTAATGTGGGATTCAAACTCAGGGCCAATAATTGTAATCAAAAGAAATATGGAATTCGAATTCACGTCCAAGAATTACAGTCAAAAGCATTATGGGATTCGAACTCCGGGCCAAGAATTACAATCCAAAGCAATATGGGATTGGAACTCACGACAACTGAGAAGCGACGCCTTAAACATAGACAGACCACTGGGCCACATAGCATAGAAATATACAGACATTTCTTAATTAATCTCATTATGAATCCCTCTCACAAGGGTCGCGTTAACATTCCTTGTGTTTTAATTGGGATAATGTGCAAGTTAAGTTTGAGGGGTTACCCACTGTGAAAATGATATTCTTTAAGACAGGGCTTGTAAGTGAGTTTGAATCTGTAATGAAACCAGTTTTTAACGAAAAGGGTTAGCATGTCCTGTTCTACAGGAATCACCCGTCTACGAGTACGCAGTGTTGCCGTGCTGACGAACACCAAAACAACATCAACAGGGCGAATCTTGGATCATAGGTTTTATGGGACGATTCCTAATTAAGTACTAGGCATTCCCATGGACACCAATTGTATTTCCCTGCTTGTTCGTCAGCTTCTTTATGCTTATTGATTTAGAATTTCCTCTAGGATTGGCAAAATCAAAACAAGGGAATTTGGCCAAGAAATTAAACTTGAGCTTCAGGTATATCGATTATCATATATAGTTCAATAACGGTCGAATAACCAAGTCTGTTCCACTGATTTATGCACCTGAACTTAAAGAATATGAGACCAGTGAACCTGCCTCATGTTTAGACCTATGCACGTAGATTATTTTTAGTGACGAAAAACTCACCAGAAGACGAGCGATGACTTCACGTGTTCAATATGCAACTTAAATGTATGTCGAGCAATATCCTAGATCCTCCAGTCTACATTTCACATTCTTTAGGTGCAACCGAGCATGCTGTCAGAATCGTACAATGAACTCTGCTTTCAAGAGAGCCTTCTGATTATTACGGAAATGTTTTGGTCGCTTTCTTTTAATGATAAACAAATATCTCCTTACAGTTGGAGATGAAGTTTACATGTTTAAATACCAAGTGGCAACATGACGCTTTGAAAGCATCTCGAAAACAAGTATAGTCAATCATTTTGTCATTCATCACAATAAAGCAGATTTCATTTTATTTTTCTCCTTTGATAGATGATAATGTCCTCGACGGATGACATTTCACAAAATGATGAATGCGCGCCGCATTCACGTGACAGTCATGTATAATCTTGAGAATTTAAACAATATTGCTTCATGTACGTTAGAAACCAATGAAGCTTTTCCTGACGTCATTTGACCAATATATTTGACATCTTTGATTTATATGCACATAAGTTGTCAAAGAGTTGGTTTTATTACGATGTTTGGACATATTTCAGTATTACCATGTCAATAATTCATTTGAAAAGATTGTTGCAAAACTATCCACCTGATCTATTAACATTGAAATATTATTACAATTACTGTAAGGTGAGGTTTCCTTTGAAGAAACAACACGTTCTTGTAGCTGCAGGCACATATCTGTACTCGCCAAAAAACACACATGTATACTTTAGTCATATCGAACTTTCAATGGGTTTCTGCAATAAGAAGTTCTACAAAGGAAAACATTCATCATAATGAACACAGAGAGAAAGACACCTGCACAGTCACACTGATGACAGATAATCTCAGGTAGTCGACGTGGTCGCTGGGTCATGCAAGTGTTAGCATCATGCCACTGACAAGGATTTGCCTTGCCTTCCTGTTGGGTCTCTGCATTAATACAGGTAACTACATTTCAGAAACTCATCATACATTTTTAAATGACATCATCTTTTAATTTTATATCTGTCTGAAATGGGGATTTGGTACTTATTAATTAATGTGGATATACACTGTAAGGCAACATCATGCAAAGTATGTTCATATTATTATATTATATTATTATAAGTTGTATTCGCAGAATATTGGTATATTTTAACTGACGACTAAACTTATAATGGCTAACAGCTAGAGGGATGTTAAACTGTCCGTCGTCGACATGTTCATATTGTACAATAATTGAACAATATGGCTGAAATACTGCCCACCTGAACACAACTTTAACTGACTTACTCATTAATATGGATAAATGGTCTATTAGAATTGTCACATTACCCTCTACAGCAGCATATTAGCAAGCCCGGGTGACAGTTTTAAATCTAAATATTAATATTATGTCAAGCAATCGAATGCACGCCAAACGATAAACACGTTTGGCTTATTCATTAGCCATAAGGGAATTCCGGAATTATATTAAAATAAACTTCTGTCCATAAAGCCTGTAATTGTTTATTAACACACTACGACATGATTATAGTTTTACTTATTTCGAATTCCCTTATTTATGTCTTCAGTACAATGATTTTTATAATCAACTGCAAGGTGTAGTGGTGCTGTTATACACTGGAAGTTTCCTAATGTTAGATATATGACAATATAACCCACATATAATATATTTGCAGGGATTTCATGATCAGTGACACTATACGACCTTTACATTTACAAGCTACGTATTAGGCTTGACAAGAAGAGTTTTCAAATGTACCGTTTATAATCTGAGAATATGCAAAAACACAGCACTTAATTATACAGTTTAAATGCACTGGAAGCGGAAATGCAGGACCGACGAGGACAAGGACATTGGGCCTGCCTGCATGTCCTGGGTCTGTCCACTGTCTGCCATGTCTGTCGACAGCGTGACAGGAACCTGGTGATTGTTACACGAGTACAAACAACCGCATCACACCCATGGTCCCTTCTGACTGTTCTGTCGATATACATGGCATTTTAATGTTGATTTCTGTACTCATTATGTACTGACGAATAGAATGAGCTGGTTTTATACCCATATGCATAATGTCCTTTTACACGGAATTCCGTGAACTAAAGGAAGGTTGACAGTTGCACCAGTGTCCACTGCATTTCCATATATAACTTTACAAAATTTTGGAACACGAAATAGTGTGCTTGTTATGGGCAACAATATTAATTATAACAATACAACTATTCATAACATTCCCATGTTTATAAAAATAACATCCATTAATTCTTAATTTGTGGTAGGGGTTTTGTACTTAATCTTGTTTTACTTTCAAGCACACTACAGAATGAATGTTTGATGTAAATAAATCATGAAACTCATGTCCAGTTGCCTCCATCCATTGGTCCCATTGTGATGCCGTTGTGTTTGCCGCCTCGAAGTTCAGCACAATGTCAACGCATCATGGCCCGCTGTTTCTGAGGTATGGTGTAAGCCAAATATTCTACTTTCACAGACGTAATATTATGTAAATGTCTAATTGATGTATAATGTGCAACAAACGAATTGCATGTCAATCCCCTTGGGGCATATATTCTTCGTGCTCAGAGCTTGTCGTAATAACCGATTACTAGTACTTAGGACCGATGGTTAAAAAAATCTGTAATTGTGTATGAATGACTGCGTATATCGGTGTTCATGCTATCAACCACAATGTCGCCATAATAAGCTGTAATATCGCTGATTATAGCGCAAAATAATACCCTTTTACAGGAAAGTTGATTCAGAATAGCAGTAATCTGGCCATGTAGTTATGAAATAATTAATATATATCTTCACTGGTGTGTCGAACATTTAAGGTGATACACAATGATAATTAGCATTGTAGCCAGCAGTGGTGTTTGCGAATGGAAGATATATGCCAGGCCTGGATACAGAGTGCTGATGGAGGTTGTGGAATCGTCTCTTCCTTCAAGATGTGACGCCGTTTACAACATAAGCGTAAACGAGGGTATGCATTCGTAGAGAGTGACCAAGTACATACGATGTTCTTAATATTTATGTTTGGCTGTTTTTTTAACTCAGCTCAAAGACCTGCATCACTTCGGGATTACCTCCCACATGAAGCTGACAAGCCGTGTTAAAAGTGAAATATTATTCAAAACGTCATGAAACCAATAGCAATCTCACTCACTTACCGTAATAAAAAAGCAAAATTAATCTGATTTCTACCCCCTGTATTGTATCATAATAATGTAAATTCGATTGTTTTCTTTGTTTATGAAATCATAACATTCTGAGTAATATTCTCTGTATATTAAAAGCATGCAATTACAATGTAGCTTTCTTAAAGGCACTCTTGTGTGGCGGAACCTTCTCGGATCCTGGTGTGGTCAGCAGACTCCTGCGTTTCAATCGTCCGGCTCGACTATGACCATAAAGTTCAACTCTGTTATTATCGACAGTGATAATGGTTTTTCGATCCGCTACAAGCAAATATCAGGCAACACTGGGAGGGTAAGGTCCCTTTTGCCGGCAGCTTATGTTCGCAAAACTGCATGGAAATCTCCAAAATCACGGCCTCCAATGCAAACAGTTGCTACGACCCCTTCTAACAAAGGTTGGTTGATCCTCGTAACAGTCTTCCCAGTACTAAAATAGAAACATTCTTACACAAGTTGAGTTGAAAACCAAAAAAAGTTTAATGATAGAGATCATAGCATCAAGAGCATTTTGTTGTGTGAACCTTTATGTAATACTCAGTTTATCGTACTCCAAAGTGGTTAAGTATTCTGTTATGGATTCAAACTTCTTTCAATATTTTGATGCGATTTTCGTTAGTTTGTTTGCTGTATAACGTTGAACCCGATCGGCCGATCTAGTAGGCGTCTCTTACGACAAGGTTGCTCCGTGCCACTGATTTTTACCCAGAATTACCAAGATTCGATGCGGCTAACGGTTACTCTGCCCTGTGAGATTCCGGGTTCGAATACGTCTCCAGCGCCCTGTGCGAGTCGTGAGACCTAACGAATCGGGAGGACAGGCTCGGTGACTTGATTGACAGCGTGCCATCATACCCCACTGGATTGTCTGGTCCAGATTCGGTGATTTAAAGACGCCATCATATAGTTTGGATGCTGCTGAGAATGACCTTCAACAACATACAAATATATTCTGGCACCTTTACCAAGCAAGAGACCGGCAATCGTGTTCTCAATATCCAACTTAAATTTACTCTACAACATCAGTCAAAGATTAAAGTACATGGTTGTTTCAGAGGAGACGTCGGCTTGTAGTCCTTCCCCATTGACTGTCGCTGTCACAGAACAGGAGCAAATCCTTCCTTGCCCCTCTGGTCAACCGTGCGTATCAGTTTAACTGATTGACTGGTGTATATCCACTGGCTCTGATAGACTTTATATGAACTGTCTCTAACTGATTGTATCCACCGTCTAACATTGGTTGTATATCCACTGACTCCAACTGACTGTATATCCACTGGCTACCAGTGACTGATATCCACTGTATATCCACTGTATATCCACTGGCTCAAACTGATTCTATATCCACTGGCTGTCATCCACTGTTTATCCACTGGCTCAAACTGATTCTATATCCACTGGCTATAATTGAATGTATATCCACTTCGTCTCATTGATTGTATACTGCCTTTTGTATACATGTGGAATAGCTGTCCTAAAGTTTTAAACTAAAGTTAATCTGTCGATTTGTTAAGCATATATATCTGGGTTAGAACCAAAAGACCATTTTACAATAAATAAATATGCGTGTATAAATTATTTCATTTTTGATAAAGTGTACATTGATTTCGACCGTTTTGATTATTTGAAGGAACATCCAGTGTTTCTGGCGACTGACGACCCAAGCGCTAAACGATTACAATTTAAAGGTGCAAGTTAACATTGTGTCTGGTAATGATGGTGAACGTCAGTGTCCGTGCAAGGATGGCCATCTTCAGGTATTTGATGGTGAGTACATATGTCGGTGAAGGCATTGTATTTCCATTGTATGGGCACGTACAGCACAGGATGACTTTTTGTCATTTGTAATCACCAATCTTGATAACCCGGGGCATTATATCTGTATTCGGTGATGCTAAATACCCTGGACTCATTCGCCACCATCGTCTCTCTTTGAATCCGGTTCGAACGACACGACGTCAAAAATAACCGACCTGGGTGCTCGGAATTCCCACATCTTAACATACATGTAGACTTACGACAGTTTGTAGCGTTACGATTGTTTTGTACAATGGCATCCACTTACATCAAACTTTCAGGAATGAAACAAGCTGCGGTATCACTTTACTCGACTCACCTTTACCTTAAGGACTTCGCTTCCTTGTCTTACCACTTATGGAAATATCACTTCCGGAAAATAAATCATTTATAGCAGTGAGTTGGTTCGACTGTATATGGCAAGGGACTTTGAATTCGCATTCAGAAAAGGTATATTCTATCTAAGGTTACTAAAAGGAATAATATGGAGACATAGATGTGACCTGATTTCTGAAACTACTCTCCTTCGATTCGTCACATCTTACACAGCCCCTCAATATATTGCATACGTTTTTCATCTGTTTCATTTTTGACGAGCCTCTACATTTAGATTAACATATGTCATAAAGTGTTTAACTTTCATTGAGAAAATGTCATAAAACGTAGTTATCCTTTGTTTACATTGGTTGTGCGGCTCCACGTGCTGTCGTCGAAGCACGGTCGAGATCTGGCGATACGGCCACTTGATGAATGAAGATAATTGCCATGTACCTCACTGTCGAATCTATATTCAGTTATGCAAAACAAAATGTTAAGCGCACTGAAAGGCTTGCATAAGGCCCGTCTGTTGCGATTTTGGAATAAGAGCGTTGTCTAAAAGAACAAGAGCAAAGTCCGATCACATGATGTGCAAGATGAGCCTATGGTTGTGGTTAAATGCTAAGTCATCACAGCACCGGGGGGGTTCTGAACGAAACTATCCTGATGAACAATTGCAGGGTCCCCGTGGGTATACTGGAGAAGAATGTGTCCCCTGTATCCGCGTGATTGCCACAAGAGTCGCGTGGTAAGGTGATTACAATGTTCAGTTTGGATGGTTGTAAGTCATCATACCCGACAACGTAGAGTTTCTTCCATGCAGCCAACCCGTCGTTATAACATTGAAAAAGTGCTTACTGCAGCGCAAAACAACATTCACTCACTCTCAGTCTACAACCCACAACCATTGGTGGGGTATTCTATTGGTTTAAGTGTTCGTTCCTGACGCCAAAGACCAGCTTCATTTCCTCAAATTAGTATAATCATATGTAAAATCCTCTCCTCTGGTTCCCCATATATTGCTCCAGTTCTGCTTAAAGCGGAGTAAACCCTCAGTCACTGATATTATCCATCACTGATATACATCAAGAGATATTATAAGCTGAAAGAGCACAGAATAAAACTTATTTACGGGTTTAACTGTCTGGGTAACCCTGATATTAGTCCAACACCAAAGCGTTTCTTTTGTTGCTAAGGTTCACCATCCACATCGCCGTTGCTGGGGAGGTGGTGTGGTCAAGCTATTGTGACGCTGGTCAGTTCAGGACAGGACCTCTACCTCGAATACACTGCTGGAAAATCCGTCTGTGACCATGACTTTAAGGTGCTCTATGTGGCGAGCAGGAAGACACCACGTCCATCAACGGGTAATTAAGCTCTCTATGAACGGCATTTGTAACTTTTAATATAAAGTCGGACCCGGTTGTCGCGAGACTTGTTTTCTCGAATCTACCAATATCTCGAACATTTCTCCATTCCACCCGTTTCCCTTTATGAGTAAATATACATTTGACCGCTTATGTCGAACTGGAGATAAAAAATACATAGGACAAACTTCCAGCTTGACTTTGTACATTTATCTTCAAGTTTAGATTTGTTACAGTTTTGAGAAGCGCAAATAACCGTTTCAAATAGGGGTGAGCAATTCTCACATGCAGACACATCTGGTACCTTTCCTCCAACAATCATCTAACATTACAGTTAAACTACACTGCAATTTGAACTATCTGTTCAACTAATATCACTAGTATTCAGATAAAGCGTATTGAATAATTATTATACGTATTTGTACACCATAGTTTGATCATTTTTCAAACGGTGAATTTCTTCAATGATTGTTGTGACCTTAAATCAATCTGTACTAAGACCACTAGTAATTGTATTCGGTGCTGATTGGTGAGCTATTGGATTAATGTAAGGTTGGATTAAGGTGAGGAGTCTCCTGTAAACCCGACAGAAGACATTTCCTTCATATATAATTATGATGCTTGATAGGAGAGGGGGTGTAGGGTGTGGGTGGGTTGGGTGGGTTGGGTGGGTTGGGTGTGTGTGTGTGTGTGTGGGGGGGGGGGGGGGGGGGGGGGGGGGGGTCGCATTCATATTGAGTCGCATTTTTGGCTAGGGACCAGCGGTGGTATTCTTTTATTCTTTTGGAGACGCATTAATTTCACGATTCACAGTATATAAGATACCTTTGATATATATAATAATTTCTGCAAGGTAGTTTAAGCTACATAAAGATTTTTGGATACATTTGTCTCAAAAGCGAGGAGGAGATAGGTAGTACTTAAAAGTACTTTATATCTTTTTTTTGCTAACTGTGATATGTCTTATATTTAAAAGCATTACTGCACTACAGTGAGTGAGTCGAGTTTAACTCCGTTTTTAACAGTATTCCAGTTATATCGCGGCGTGTCAGCTTAATGTGGGAGGAAAGCCCGAAATGACGCAGGTCTCAGACGTTTACCACTTCGGTGAAACCCACGAGCACGAGTATGGTGCTGACAAACCAAGAAACAATCGGGGCGAACCGACTACTGCGCTACAGTGACGTAAAGAAAGAGACATTTTTAAACAATCATGTGTAATTAGGATCACTTAGATTTTAGCAATGTTAAGAGGATGTCTAAAGTATAGATACAGGTACGAAAGCATAAAGATGAAGATACTGTTCTCAAAAGTCTCATCGACAATGTCATGCGCCTCCCGTGTAGAGGACATCCTCCAATAATCTATTTCTCTCTATTCGTCAGCTTCCCGGAGAACTTCAGTGAATTCCATAGCCACCGTGGTAGGAACAGTATTTGGCGTTGTGGTGCTTCTCCTGATTTTGATAACTGTTATTATTTTCTGCACTGTGTACAAGAACAAGAAAATGGCAACGTATGATCCACAACTTGAGACCGATCCCGTCTATGCTGTCATCGGTAAATCCACAACGAAGTCAGCCTTCTTCATCAACCTGCCAACTGTTTCTGAGACAGTTTGTCAACCCACTCTTCCGGCTCGAGATGGTTGCTCTGCAGGTACCACACTGACAAGTTGTTGCCATACAACAGTCGAGAAAGATGGCACGTCTGAAGCTGTTGACTGTGATGATCCTGTGGGTCAAGGTTGTAGCAAGGCTACTTCGGACGAAGGAATGTGGACCTCGGAGAGAAAGAAATCCTTGTCCAACGTATACGGCGACCTACCCACCACTCACCAATCAACTACAACGTGTTGATTTAACGTAACGTGAAGATTTTGAACCAATAGAAGTACTAAAAACAACGCGAATTAATTTGAGAGCTGTCAGACAGGTTATCAAGGATATTTTATCAACTTTCTGTTGTTTTGAAAAATTAAATCCACTCATACCCACAAACAGTTTTGTTGGTACTTGTAAAATGATTGTTGATTGTGATCACTATGTATAGAACTAATGATCATTTACATTAATGCTGCCTCAATTCAAACCCAGTGTCTTGCGTACAGGCCAGACGTACTTTTGACATGGCTACAACTGACAGTGAATACACTGGCGAGTGACAGAAGCAAAATCAAAACCCTGATGTATTATAACTTGGATTCGAACGTGAAATAGTGTCCCCAAATAATGACAGGATCTTATAATCAATCGTAGAAGTGAAACAGTCATGGAAAACTGAAAACCTTGATTCAGTTAACTGAATTCCTTGTACTTTTGTCGCTAGACGTGGAAATGTACGTTCAGCATGATTACAAGATGCACATGGGTATAAAAAAACATCTGACAATTTTTGTCAATGCATAAGTCCAGAAATAAACATTAACAAGCCACGTTTAAGGACAGAACAGTTGGAAGAGGCCTTTGGTGTGCTGCAGTTGCTAGCCAGTCAACACCATCGCTTGTCACTTTAGTCACACTCATGCAACAATCACCATGTTGATGTCACGATACCGACAGACATAGCAGACAGTGGACAGACTCAGGTGACGCAGATCACGCATCACCACACCCAACGAAGATCGTTATTTATGTATACTTCATTTGAGAGACCGCGTGTTACATCCGTCACTATCCTGCCTGCGGTCAGTAACGTCAATGTTTTACTTTCACAAGCTCGCTGACCAATTAAACACTCTGTGAACATCTTGAACGCATATGACCGAACCTAGAGACAGACAAACAGTTAAAAAACATTTGATTTTTCAACGTGTACATGTATACCCTGTCCCATTGGAAACATCTAAGGAGAAACTTCATTCCTTGATCCACGGGGATTTTGTTACAAAACGTGGTTGCATGTCTGTCTGAAGAGGTTCAGGTCAATTTGTTAAAAATGAAAGCAATGCCATCTGAAGTTCACCGAGAAAACAATATGCGTAATCCTGTACTTTCCTCTTTGATAACATCCATGTGACATTTGGAGATAATACATTTAGGCTAGAAGCAGGCATCCCCTTGGGCACCAACTGTGATGATCTTTGTTCATATGAATCAGAATTTCTGCTCGGGTTGTCAAAATCAAAACAAGGGAATGCGGCCAAGAAGTTGAGGGATGACTTCTACTTTCCAATAGTCAACTTTCCCTTTAGCAAGATTTCAAAGAGCGTCACACAACTCTTGCTCAGAAGTTGTTTGATCATGGTTACAGTAAAGCTTTCAAAAAGTTTATGGTAAACATGTTGATGACATTTCGAAATTTAACGCATCGGTAACAAAAATGATGTCAGATGCTATTCCCTATTTTGTCTTTGACCGTGATTTCTTAAGGTGAACAACTGACTTGCCCTTGCATGCGTTTGAGACGGGTCCAACCAGTGGAGAATTTGAACCTATAACCATAGGTTTCAGGTGTACCCAAGGGACGCAACTCCGCACAGCGTATTGAGGCACCTTAGACGACGTGTGTTCACGCATATTCTGTGTAGATTTACATCCGCTTAGTAAATATCCTTATTTTTTAACTATGCGTTTCTTTTTTTTTAAGAGTGTAGCTTTTCGATATCCTACCTCATAATTATAGGTAATCTTCTTTCGCTATACATTTTGTTACACGGAGATTCTAAGTTACCTTATATACTAGTATGTATTAACATGTACGATTTAAACACACTCGTGCGGGACTCCCATGCCCCCGCCAATCTAAGAAACGGGTATACAAGTACTTCTTATGATTCAGTGGATATCCAGGATACTGCAAGTACAAGGGTGAAGAGGATGCCGACAGGAGAGTTTCGTCCGCTAATAGTGTTGTACTTGATGAGATAGACATGCACAATTACAAGAAGGATTCATGATTTAAGTCAAACAGGAGCCACAGGAACAACATGACTCGGCGGTTTCTTGCTGACAAAATCAGATTGGATGGCCAGACTCGGTGGTTTGGTTGATTGGTGTCATCGAATCACTGGTTGTCTGGTGCAGACTCGATTATTTATAGGCCGCCGTTATATATCTGAAATATTATTTCCCGGGCGTGGCGTCAATAACGAACGTTATAAAACCATGCATTCAACAGTTATCGATTACTGTATGCACACCAGCTACCTGCATATATATGTATGTGTTCACTGTCACGAAGCGCTATTATGTAGTATCATGTTATGCCCATGTGACCGGATCGGTAGCTCTATTTTCAATATTGTATGTTACGAATTGACGACGTTAAAAAGAAATATTCTCCTCAGTCTGGTGTCTAAACGTTGGACTAAAACGACTTCAAACCGAAACACAGTGTGTGTGTAAACAGAGTAGTCATCATCTACTAGACTCATAAACATCATAAAAGTTGAGTTTGCAGATACATAATTTTGGTTTGAAATTTCTTGGATCAAATTTGCAGGGTCTAGCGTCCCTCTAAATACAGGTACTCTGAGGTGAGGTGAGGTTAGATGAAATGGGGTTTAACGTAATGCGACGTGCATGCACGTGTATGTGTGTGTACTAGTCCGGACTGATGCCGATTTATAGTGCTAGCACATTGAGATACCATGCCGCAGTTTAACATGAATACCCCACTCAGACACAGTATACTGACTCCGAGCCGACCAGTCCTTGTTTTAGCCCCTTAATGCCGAGCGTCCAAGATTATTGCACTTATTGCATGCACGTGTATGTGTGTGTGTGGCTGCTTGTACTAGACCGGACTGATGCCGATTTCTAGTGCTAGCTCACTGAGATACCATGCCGCAGTTTAACATGAATACCCCACTCAGACACAGTATACTGACTCCGAGCCGACCAGTCCTTGTTTTAGCCCCTTAATGCCGAGCGCCAGACAGGATAACATCAAGTACCATCTTTTAACGTCTTTTTGTATGACGCGGCCAGGGATTGAACCCCGAACCTTCCGCTCTCTCCGGGCGGACGCTCTACTATTAGACCACGGAAGCGGTCGGTACTCTGAGGGGTCAAGGATGAAAATATCCTGATATAGAATGAACGGAGAAGTTATGAACGGAGCTGCAAGCTGTATACCAAATAGGTATCTCTAAACGACAGAGTACATAACGCTGCCAAGATATTACTCTGACAAAGAGCATCATGGCATACATGTACTTCATATATTATGAAATTAATCCACTCAAAGCACTCTATAGTTTCTCAACATTGGGGATGCCTCATATTCTCTTTATTCTACACAGAACTGCATCAATGATTAACAATGTGTAACCATAGATACCAACTGCAGTATAGCACTTAAATAGAATGAAATGAGGTGAAAAGTTGATACAGGCACGAACTATGTCGTGAGGGGAGTGGCAATAGAATGTAACGTCGCCTTGAAGATTATTGCACTTATACAGTGACATGTGTGTGTGTGTGTGTGTGTGTGTGTGTGTGTGTGTGTGCTAGTCCGGACTAAGCCGATTTTATAGTACTAGCTCACTGAGATACCATGCCGCAGTGTAACATGAATACCCCACTTGGACACAGTATACTGACTCCGAGCCGACTAGTCCTACTTTTAACCTATTCATACCGAGCGTCAGACAGGGAAACATTTTTACTTCGACCAGCGACCTTCCGCTCTCCGAGCAGACGCTCAATTCCATTCCAAACCGAAAACTAAACAGTCGGCTTCATGCGACGACACCGATGGTATACCAACACACTCTCAAATAATATGTAAATGAGTGCATGCAAACACTTGTGATTACTGATAGCATACAATAACATAATTTGATATCCTGATTCGAGATGCAAGCTATCTATTTTGAACACAAATGACTCAAACATTGGATCAATTTCTGAGATGTATTTTCATAGATCGGGTTCATATTTAAAGAAACATTGTTGAATTTGTTAAACCAGAATGAAACAAACAACGAAAGAAACAAGACTAAAATGTAACAACACAAAGATTTAAAATTGATATATGTCTGTGAATGTCTTTGGATGTGTGTTCGAAGTAGAATGACTTGTCTTTCTGAGAAATTACAACACAGGGCTTTAATTTGACGTAAGAGAGTTGATTATGGGTATACAAAAGCGTAATGTGTAATGATTATGACTGGTCAAGCCGAATACATATATGTGGGACACCATGTATTTGTAATGTGTTAGGGATCGAGTGACGATAGTGTTTGAGAGAGAGAGAGCGAGAGAGAGAGGGGGGGGGGGGGGGGGGGGGGGGGATACAGTGGAAAAGTATGGTAAATGAACCTTAACTTTCCAGGAACCACCAAGAGTACTCATGTTATGATGCCAGACATGAAGGATTGGTGACCAAAAAGAATGGAACCAGAATGATATACACATGTATATGATCGGATGCCATGTGGCCGGGTTTTTTTTCTGAAAGTGTGACATATTCTTCTTATATGGTATGTTTCGGTTGTAGATACCATATATTGTTAAATCATATACATCTAATTATGTACACAGTTTATTGTTCATAATTCACAACTACGTGGGTCAAAGTGCGTTGGAAATTAAAACAATATGTTTTCTGTTTATACTGAGTGAGTGAGTATGGTTTTACGCCGCTTTTAGCAATATTCCAGCAATATCACGGCGGGGGACACCAGAAATGGGCTTCACATTTTCCGTTTAAAATATAATACACGCAGGTATATTATATGCGATGTGAAACAGTCTGGATGGAGTCGTTTGAAAAAACTTCTTTCACAATGGTACATCAAACAGCTAACCAATTATAGACGTGTGTTATTGTGTATTGTATGGAGATAATATGTAAAAGATTGAAAGGTCATCTTAACACACGTCGGCGTGTAATATTCAACACTGGTAACTATGCAGTCAATCAATCAATCAATCTTTATTCATGGTACTTATGAGGCCAAAGGCCTATAGTACAATGTGTGGGGCGTGTTACAAATTCATACATTTTCTTAGTTTCATGGCATGATAAATGAACATTGATAGATTTCTAATAGTTTCTGTACAATCACAAGTCATTAATTTACAAAATTTGTTACCGTTTGGGTTGCGGTAGAAATAGTTATTTAGATATTTTGCTCTTAAATCTTCATACACTGGACATACACATAAAAAGTGATATTCATCTTCAGTACAATCAGTTTTACAAATCCTACAAAGTCTGTGTTCTCTTGCAATACCTTCATATCTGCCTGTTTCAATAAACAGATAATAAACTATGCAGTCATGTCCACGTTACACAAACATGAAAATATACGTACAGTTGGCACATTTACCAAACAAGCAACACAATCTTTTCCATTTTTAGATGAAACCTCTGCAAAACACAGATTCAGTAGTATGATTCCGACTCTGTCATAGGGATGTGTTTATGAATCACTACAAGTATTATCCAAAAACGCAGATCATAATAATATTAATTTGAAGGACGACATTCAGTGTACGGGGAAACACTATTTACATGGAGAGGTTTACAATCGATGAATAATAATAATTTGAATTATTTTGAACAAATAAAACCAAATATCCGCCATCTACTAGTATATTCATTAGGAATGATATTATTAAATTTGAAGGAAAAAACACACAGGCCAAAGTATTTCATAAAAATTTGAAAATAATTGCTGTAAGACGTGTATTGAATCCTCAGATTTCCATGAGCAGTGCTGTGTCTGCCTCATAACACGGCAAGCTTATCATCTGGATTAATACTCAGACTTTGGTAAGTGGGAGGTCCTGAGGCAATGGCGTGGTCGTAGGAAGGTGGCAGTCCAGCTGTACCTACTGCAAAAGACGGATCTGAGACTTTCTCAGTGCCTTTCACGGTGCCCTTTTCCGCTGAGGCCTTACTGTGGCTTCTCTTCCGGCGGCGACGCATGCACACACAGATGATGATTAAGATAGCCAGTGCTAGGACACCCACAACGACACCAACAAAAATCGGATGACGGCTTATTGTGGGTCCAAATACTGAAACAAACCATGTGTACATATATTGTAATTTTCCCGTTGCTTCGACACACCATTACAGTACTACACGACAACGCAAATGCCTTATTCCAAAGAATTCCTGGAAATGCTCTGCAGAAACATGTTGGGTTATTGCAAAATATGTCCGTAGTTAGGCGGATATTTGCGGATAACAACTGCTCCTTTTATGGGGCAAATTATTTTTATAGTTCTTACTGTGAAGGATGACGAGTTCCTTGACCCCATAATGCATAAACGTGTTCTATGTTTGAATGCTTTTCGCTATTCATATTTTATTTTTATCATACTACGTACAGCATTTGTTTCGGTATAAATATCTTCAAAGTGCCAGGAGAACTGTACACGAAAACTTTACCCTACATAACCCAAGCAAATCAGAATTACCATCATGCTTCTAAAGCAACATTTAGCGATGCAGTATGTAGATATATCCCACGGAATCACCATTCATTTGACAAAAGGACTAACATTTGGAATCTTTAATATAGAATACTAAACGAGCTCCCGTGTAATACCAATTTTATGAAACGAGTGAATAGTTGTGGTATCTGACGAGCGAAAGCGAGTCAGATACCACAACTATTCACGAGTTTAAAATTGGTTTTACACGGGAGCGAGTTTAGTATTTTATTTATTACTTGCAATTTATAACGTTTTTTGAATTATACTGTGGAGTATGAATAGGCTGACACCTACATAATCCACGACATAGTCCAATTGAGTTTAACAGAATAATACTTCAAACACGTCAAAAGTTGAAACGTATGAATTTCATACCATACAACGGGTCTACCTTTAGAATTCACAAAATTATCGTAGGGCTAAGACTTTCGCATCTCACATACTTTAACTTAGACCAACGACTGTCGTTGCGCTACAATACGATCGCCTTGTGGAACGGGCCTTGCACCTCAAAGTTTTCAATAACGTCACAATACCCGATGACGTAATTTGTGGAATTTTGATGCAAGATCCATCGGCGAAACAATGCCATGTGACGTCAGCCTAGCAACAAGGTTGCTGGGGTTATCGAGTGTGCATAAGCTCCTCTCAGTGATCTATCAACTCCACAAGCAATATCGTTGAATAACCCAAGGGATGTTGAGAGCTTTCAATATTGGTTCGTAAAACGTGTTCCGAGAGTACATAAGCACGCGTTTTGGTATTACACAATGTGTAATAAAGCTGTATGTTTATTAAACGGGTGATCTCTTCACGGGCAAGTAATAAAGCATATTATGAAATGTTATCTGATACAATGTACTTACTACATATGTAGAGAAACGCATACTCTATCTCAAACGATGACCCAGCAGAGTTGGCGTCAGAGTGAAACTTGATAAACAGATACTCTCCAGAGCTGTACAAGGAGATATCACCTTCGCACCACTTTCCAAGAGAAGGGTCGGAAACCTGGTAACCTTGAATATATCAAGCACCTGCGTATGTAATATATACTTACATCATACTACAAAACTGAAATAACTTGAAATTGCTTTTGAAAAATCTTTTGTCAAAATATTTGAGATGTGTTAGTAAGTGAATTTTTTTTTACAAGGCTTAGAGCACCAATACAGCAAGGCAGGGAACACCAGAAAGAGCTTCACACTGTGACACTATACCATTCCCATTTTGGAAATCGAACGCTGGCCTTCGGCGAACGCTTTAACCACTATCCCTATTTGAGTGGCAGGAAGAGATGAAAAGTATGGTACTTAAATCCTGCAATAGTGTTCTATGTACATTTATATTGCAGCAACATAATTATATGTATTTATGCATTATTTTATTTTTAATAGCTTATATGTTTATCTTAAGATCGTGTGTAAAAAGGTTACCTACCATCAAACACTTCAATATAGTCTGTGACACATCCTTCAGAATATTGGACGTGTGACAAATTCATTCTAATATTAATATTTGAATCGCCGTTGCGTAATCTCCAAGACAAATCAACATTTCTGAAATGGAAAAGAGTAACAGAATTAAGTATTTGAGATTACGAAGACTGAAGTTGCATTCTTAAGACTAATAACATACATACATAAATACATACATGCACGCACGCACGCACGCACGCACGCACGCACGCACGCACACACACACACACACACACATACACACACTGGAATTAAACACACATCTATTGAATTTTAAACGACTGATCAACAAAACACGTGGTGAAATAGGTTATTCCAAGATTGAAAGTCGTAACAATAGATGATGGTAATGGCTTCTTGAGATATGTCCTAACACGATCACTCAATTTATGTGAGCTGATATTTTTATTCATTATTTTAGTCGTTCGTATTATAAGTATGTCCAGTACTAACTTGATGTTTTCGCGGGTTTGGGCTAGGGGAGAAATGGCTGCTCCGTAGCCAGAGAAGATGTCCTCATGACGACCCACTGTAAATGTGAAGGATCAGCTTTCAATTTAACACATTTGAAGATAGTCAGTTAACTTTACATTTAAAAGCAATGGACAATTGAACCTTGTTCGTGCAACATGCACGACTATTCTGCAATTGAATTATTTGTGCAGCACTAACCATGGTAATTCCCACTGTTGTACGTTAACTTGAACGTCCCTGTATTGCTTGTGTTGAATTCAATCCTCATATATCTGCCTGTACTGGTAAATATTTCCGGTTTTGATGTCCCAGCACAAACATCTCCCATCTTTTGATCACGAGGGCCAGTTCCTGAAATGACATGTCGCCACAAAATCATAACGCTTGAACACATTATAAGATTCATCACGAAAAATATCATTGAAGACCATTGTGAGATTACGTTGATCTTACCATCAAATATCCTCAACTTGTCCCCATCGCCTGTTTTGTCACATATCAGGACGGTAACTCTAATTTTTTCTGTCTCTTTTGCTTCAATTGTCCATGAACACATCAATGCCCTGTGAAAGTAAGAACAGATTGCCTGATCGACGAAACAATGACAAAGCCTTACCATGTGAATATACACCGATTTTAACAGTATTGCTGTTATATAATGGCGTGGTGATGTTTGATATAAAACGCTGACGAATAAGCATTCTCGGTTTTTCACAGAACCAGATTCCATTGGGTGTAAAAGGCAAAATAGTGGGCAACATAATATGAATAGATCACTGAAAATCAGTGATGACACTAGGTGTTCGCGAAAAGGAAAACCTGGTGACGTATTTAGTGCGCGTTGACCACCATCTGAAAGCCACAAGCACAGGGAAGAAGGTACCTTGAGACTCGGGATCATAACGGGGAGAAACTGCGATTCAATCCCACAAACATCTCCATCTCCAGATCTGATAAATGGAGTTTAATGACAGACAAATATGAGTGTTGATCAGTTAACATACTTCTCGAAATTTGGTGGATAGTCAGACGAGCTAAGCAACTTGGGTGTTTCCGATGCCGAGAGGAAGTTTTGTCCACAAATGCTGGATGTTGTTGTCTTCGGACCAGTTGTGGTTGTAGTTGTAACAGGTCCTACAAACACATATTTCGAAAAATGATTCTCAATCTCCAGGTAGGATTTACCTTCATGCACGCAAATTATTAATCAATCTAAGAACCTTTTGAACATTCAAATGGAATAGCAAAGTGAGGTCACAATTCAAGCTGTTGTTGACTTGTAAATATTGATCATTCAGATTAAGATCCAGATTTACAAAGAAAATGAGCTTGGTACTGATGAGTGAATAAACCAGTAACATTTCAGATGACATGTCAGATCACGCCAGCTTGATTACGGTGAATGAATCTACAATAGAAACATCGCTAAATGCAATGCACCAGAAGTTGTTATCCATAAAGTTGTATGTTTTCCTTCCATTTCAGGTGTTTATAAACACATGAAAATATAAAAGCAGTATTTACCTGGATTCACAGCTGGCACTGGAACAAAAATTTAAAAAATATACGCACATATGAAAATGAATAAGTGATCATGAATGTTCAAATTCTCCCTGGCTTCGATGTACATTGACTTGTACTATAACAAAGGCATAACATCACGTCAAGAATGACACACTTTCGGTCTTAACACTCTTCGGTTTTATTTGTTTGTTAGATTAGATTATTATTATTAGTGTAGTAATTATAAGTGTATCTTTCATATCAATCTCGCAATGGTACTTTTGCATTACACGTAGCCATGGGTAGAACATTTGCGTACTTTCATGGGGCATATCCATTTTGTTTCTTGTGTAACGCCGCACCCAGCAACGTTCAAGTTATGTGACGACGGCCTGGACATAATCGAGTCCCATTCTGCGATCAACGCAATTGGGACACGATGTCATGCACCGTTAAAACAGCATGTACACACTGTATATATGTAATGTAATGTATTGTTCAATGTGGGCATTCACCTGAAACCCATGAGCACGTATAGGTGAAACCCAGGGTGATAATTCAGGGCGGAGTTGAGGAGTGCACATGGAATGGAGGCGACATATACATCTGAGAAGCGTGTAATTATATAAATAGATGAGTGTATAATAGCATCCGTCGATATAGTGGAGGCCAGGTAAGTAGCGACATCGATATCTAACTGAACTTTAACCAAGCTCTTGCCCGTTCCATGGTGTTCTTGTAAATGGGTTATACTACGTCGTAGCCAATGTCTACCAGCGGGTCAATTTGACTTACACAAACAGGTCGTTATTTGTAACATCAACGTCCCCAACAACATAAACATGACATGTTCTATATCGTGACAGTGACTGTGGTACTCACATGTAGCCGAGACTAATATGATTCCACACAAAATAGTCGGTAGCGCCATCCTTGGGGGTATGTTGTAGTCAGAAACTGCGCTGTAACGAATCAAGGATGGAAATAAAGACACGATATTATACATCCGGGTCACACTACATTACTTAGGCGAAATGTATGTCAGGCACATTCGATTACCCGCTAGGGTAACCATATATAGTATGACTTGATTTAGTGTTGTGTTACAGTTGGGTGCGTTTCGGGAATATATTTACCAGTCAGTGACAGTACGTGAAGAGACGCCAACGTCAGTGGGACAATGCACAATCGATGACACATCGAGCTTTGACAACAAGGCTTTTCAAAGCTAAATGACAGTGAGTATGCGTATTGAGCGGGTCTGAGCCTCGCTAACAATACGCTGTTGGTATCGCGTCTATGACAAGCCAGTCAGGCTCATATGCGCCGGCTAAATACATGTGTACATGCATTGATCCGTAAGTAGGACAGCGTGAACTGCTTCACGTTGGTTGTTCTGCTGCTTTTCACTCGCTAAGGGGTGTTATAGGTTTCAAATGTATGAATACATTCGTGTGTATGAATATATGAAACTTTTAAGGACGAGAATATTTTGCGGGGCTATGTCTGTCAGATGTTGAGTTGATATGTACATGCGAATGAGTGAGTATGGTTTTACGCCACTTGTAGCCATATTCTAGCAATATCACGACAGGAGACACTATATTCAGTCAGATATGTTTACACAGGGTGGGATTAATGTACAAAGATAAAAAAGATAAATTGAATGACAGAAAATTGTTAAAATTTGTTAAAGTCAATTTCAGCTTAGATGGCAACAGGACGATGTAATGGCTAGGATAAAGATGCGACAGTAATAACGTGTCCGTTGGGTGGGAAGTAATGGTTGTCTTCAGTAAATATGTTTGTCGGGATGTTAATATGTGACCAGAGAAGGGTAACACGGGTATGGGGTGTTATGCCACTCCAGTTACACGCATGTTCACCAACACATCTTCTATACTTTAAGCATACTGGGAAGTATCTTTAACATCGGCATGTGGGTTATTGCAAAGTGTCATTGTGGCATTTTGTCTAAGGTGCTGCTTATCTGCTGACTGGAGTTTGGTATTGGATGCAGAATGAGATAGGTGGTGGGGAAGCGTTGGACCTTAGATCAAGTTGCTGGGTTGTGAGCTTCCCTGATTTCTGTGGCTCTTTCCCAGTGCAGGAGGACAGGTTACCAATTTGCTGTAGGCGTCTGTGAAGAGTTACGTCCCTCAAGCGTGGTAAAATCAAATTAATGGTCATGGGTTGGAATCCCTGATTCGCCATGTTGTATGTTTTATGTTTCCAGGATTGTCAACATCATACCCATGGTTTTCACGAAGTGGTAAACGTCCAAGTCACATTCATGAAATAGTGTATAATAATGTAAATGTTTCAATGTAAAGGTCACGTGACACTTTATTCTTAGGGGCCGATCATTCTTGGGAACCTGGAATTATATGGACAAAAATAAAATGATCCCGAAATTCTTGAAAGAAATAAGTCTCATTTGCTAAAAAAGAAATTATCTGCCATAAAAAAAATCATTGTTGAAATGCGTTTTGGGGGAAAACAATAGTTTGGCTCATATTTTTATTTTTTAAAATATCTAGTTTTGCAGCTGAAGCTGACAAAATATCTGGTCTCAATACAAAATCCCATTTCTTGCTACGATTAGGGAAGCAGGTCTTGGGTACGGTCCAGTTTCAATGGCTGATGGCACTGAACATCTAGACTGGGCTGATGTCTTTCGCTTGAACCATGGTAAAGAGCATTTGAGCTAATGCTCTCTAAATTCGAGTGCTTTAAAGACCACAGCTGATCATCAACAATAACACATTTCTGCTTTATTGAGTATATTGAAGTTAAAGCGTTCGTAAAATCAATATCGCTGGGGCGTATGGATGCAAGGGAGATAATATTTGATTCCCGCGGTTGGTTTATTTCACGATAGAACATTGTTCTATCATGACGTCATTTCTGACGATTCTGGAGATTAGAACATGCGCTCGCAACTTGATGACATATATTGGACGACGTTATGTTTGAGAGGGAAGTTTCTAGATCTAGTACGTTATTCCCCATAGATGTTGCTGGCCAACGCAGACAAACGCGATAGCCGAACGATCGAATCCAAAAGCGGGAGTGATATGACAATCGGTATTGGGAGAAAAGGTACAGGTAATCGACGTGAGGATTGTGAGAATATGCGGGAAATATCCACCTGGGCATAAAATGGACATTGCCGAGGTTGGATTCTATACGGGTAATTATTTTAGCAGATATTTCTTATGAATATGGAAAGGGTTTTTGTTGCTTTAAAATACATCGGTAGTGAATGAGAGTAGCGTCGCGACCTTCTATAAACCATCTTTCGTGACATGAAATTGAGGGGACAGGAAAATGCCAATAGTTTTATCCATTTCAAGCATGTAAGCTGACATGGTGAATTGTTTTGGTATTCTTATAGCTTAACCTTTTTAGTCGTTAACATATTATATATATTCAAATACTATTAATAACACGTTTATGCAAACTATTTTTAACATTTTAACAATATCCCAGTTATACCACGCTGTGTCAGCTCAATGTGGAAGAAAGCCCGAAGTGATGCAGGTCTCATACGTTTACCACTTTGGTGAAACCCACAAATAGAGTACGATACTGTCAAATCTAGAAACAATCGAGACGAACCGGGATTCGAACCCACAATCATAAGTTTCTGACTCTTCACATTGAATTGCGGCGCCTCAGACGAGTGGGCCATCCGTGGCTAATGTATCATGTAACTTTTCCTCTCATGTGTGTACTTAATTTGACATGTAATTCATGGATTGAGTGGGTATTGTTTAGCAATATTCCAGCAATATCACGTCTGAGTACACCAGAAATGGGTTTCACGCATTGTGTCCATGTCGAACCCGCTTGACCAGCGGACACTTTAACCAAAAGGCTACCACACGACTTCCAAACTAGCTCTAAAATTACGTAATTTCTTGTAAATATAGTTCGTAATATTACTCGAAAGTCTTTATCAAAGATTATGTTCATGTCATAATATGCACATCGCTATATAAATGCAATCTTGAACGCAAAGTTAAATCTCCTTTCAACTCACCTGAGTTCTAAAACAACAGTGATGCTGTGTCTGAATATGATCCACCCGTGAAGATGGTCTTCTGCAACCCATGCTGGTCGAAAAAGGCGACTAACGGAATTTGGTGGTCAGACTTCCTGACTTGGTTGATGCAAGTCATCGTGTCCCAATTGCGTAGATCGATGCTCATGATGTCAATCACTGGATTGTCTGATCCAGACTCGATTATTTACAGACTGCCGTAATATAGCTGGACAATTGCTGTACGCCGCGTTAAACACATACAAACAGCGTAATTATTTTTTAGTTCCTTTTGACTTGTTCACATGGGATACTTCTATTGTTTACCGTCCATCCAGATGAGCCATCTATCAATGAGCATCGTCAAACGAATGTGGCTCTCATATATTAACCTGACATCTATATCGGAAACGATATTCAAATAGGCGTGTCATGTAGCGAGTGGATGATTGAGTTAAAAACCGCTTTGTGGGAGGAAGTTCCGACTACTTTGGTGAAACCAACCAGCAGGTTACAAATTTACAGGTTACAAGTCAGGGAGAAACGAGATTCGAAACATCGATCATTGGTTTCGGGCACGCCTAAGGGAGACAACTGTGCATAGTGAATTGCTGCGCTCTAATAAGACGACTGGACTACCCGTGTCCCCTATTTGTAATGACTCAAGTAAAATGTATAACTTCGAAATGAGTCAGTTTTTTGTTTAACGCTGCTTTCATCAATATTCTACCCATATCACGATGAAGAACCCCATCAATTGGCTTCACACTACCAATTAGCAGAATCGAACCCGGTAGGATATAGCCTCAGAACATCCGTTTACATACCTTTACATATGTCCAGACCCGTGAAGATCCCGGGTAGAATGGGTCTTCAGCAACCCATGCTTGCCATAAAAGGCGACTATGCTTGTCGTAAAAGGCGACTAACGGGATCGGGTAGTCAGGCTCGCTGACTTGGTTGATGCATGTCATCGGTCCCAATTGCGTAGATCGATGCTCAATCACTGGATTGTCTGGTCCAGACTCGATTATGTACAGACCGCCGTCATTTAGCTGGACTATTGCTGAGTGCGGCGTTAAACAACAAATAAACAAACAAACAACATATGTCCAACCTACTCCTTTCCCTTGTCTCATCCCAAACAGTGATAGGGGTGCGGGATGCTCAGTGGTCTAAGACATTGCAGAATTGCCTCCCTTTGTAATGCTCATGCCGCTTCGAATCCAATATTTCCTCTTATGTTTATTAGATTGCTTGGAGTTTAGCCTTGCTCGTTACACGAATTTGATTCACGTCGCTCCTGCTTCGCTTTTTGGCATTCTAACTCAATAATAAATTCACCATCTTATTCTTCCAGATGGTTCCCGATGACCAACCACGTGACATATTATACTTCACACGAGAATTACAACTTGTCTGCGCACGTCTCTTGATATATGCCATGTAGAACCAAACATTTAGCTTCTTTATTTCACGGTTCTCGGTACAGAACGCCAGTAACCTATGATGGTCACAAGAGGTGACCAAATGAATAGGGTGGTCGGTTTGGTGACATGGTTGACAGTAAAAGGCGACTATGCTTGTCGTAAAAAGCGACTAACGGGATCGGGTGGTCAGGCTCGCTGACTTGGTGGATGCATGTCATCGATCCCAATTGTGTAGATGGATGTTCATGGTGTCAATCACTGGATTGTCTGGTCCAGACTCGATTATTTACAGACCGCCGTCATATAGATGAAATATTGCTGAGTGCGGCGTTGAACAACAAACAAACAAACAAACAAACAACATGGTTGACACACTGTCATCGTACACAGACGGCTGCGGCCGTTGCTCATATTATCAATCATTAGATTGTCTGGCCCAGACTTGAGTATTTACAAGCCGCTGTCATTTTGCTGGGACATTGCTAAACAACAAAATAAAGCAAACAAAACACATAATAAATATAATTTGGTAATTTACACTATATAGCCATTGAGCGGCAACGTACATAGAGGATATTTTTTGTGTCTTGTAAAATATGATGTTTCTCTCATGGAGTGACGTGGAAAAGAAGCTGTTTGGCGCAGACTTATGTTGCTGACAGTACTTTTTTAAAAACAAATTATGCAAAATGTAACTTCTCCCTCCAATACACATTGAACATTTCACACATTGCTCCCTGCACGCAAACAAGAAAAAGTGAAAATTTAAATAATAATATGAATAATAATAATAAAAATGATAATAAACTTCATACAATACCTGAATTCATTTGTTTTTAATTTACGAACAGCTGAAATTTAATTTTACACCTTCTGAATTAATAAACACTCATGTTAATTTTCAGGTATTTAATCTAACTTACAAGCACATTAAAATATCACATGTTAAACAACAAACATAGCGCCGAACGAAAACGGGAGGCTCGATCGCTTAGCAATGCATTAATTTTGAAGTTTAGCTGTTAAAATAGGCAGTTTCAAACAAACAACGCATAAGAAGAACTGTTATCCAGTAAACCTTTTACTTGGTGTAAAATATTTTCACTGTCACAAAAATGTTCCAAAGCCAGGCTAATGCAGTATGCGACATAAGAATGGGCGGATGACTTTGCTTCCGCTAGTTCCAACAAACAGTTATTTTCACTGCAGTGAACGTATCACTTTTCTGTCACTGCTGTGAAAATATCTCCTTTCTAAAATTTAGAAATCTCAGTTTTTCGCACTTACAGATATAATATAAGGTCATCCTAATCATTTACTGAATCTCGTGAAAATCACATCTCAGTACTAAGATCTTATTTAGATTGTCATATCCATGTAAAGCAATAAGGTTGAAATAACATTTGGTATGGTATCTTCTTGTTTAGTCCAGTATTTCATATTTCAATCTACGTGACATCTTCAAATTAGCACGCACACGCATGCACACTCCCAAATAGCTGTTTGTTTATCACCCTGATAGGATATTGTTACGTTCACGTTTATATACACCAGGGTGCCGTTGTACAAAGCGATCTTAGCGCTAAGACGATCGTAAGTCCCATACCTTAAAGGGCAAGTTCACACGGAAATGAACCTATTTTTCTTGTACTTTTTCCACATTAAAAGTGTTAACATAGAAGTGTCATAGACAAAAATATAAAAATATCACAATTAATTAACATATTTTTCGCATTAAAACGATTTATATTTTTCACATTTACCAAGTGTTCTATTTCCACAACAAAAACACCATGGCTTATGCCCCTTGCAATATGACGTCATTGGTGCCAATTGATAAACATTATGACGTCATCATGCTTTGTTAGAGCCGCTTCACGTGGTGTAGGTCCAGGTGTGTGATTCTAGCGTCTCAGATGCCAGCCAGCATAGTGTTATGCTGAGTCACCACTGCGCCGGAGTGTGTCGTAGGCCATGTTGTTTTACCGCAAACTGGTACTTGATATCTTTTGCGTTGAGAATAGACAGGGACCCAGTTGAATTGGCACCAATTACGTCATAATCTAAGGGGGATAACTCAGGCCTGTTTAGCTCGAAAAACGAAGGCCTCATAACGGCATATCATTTTCACACTATTGTGAGCTTCCTACGTTCACTGTGAAAAAAATGAGTGTATATTTTCAAACACAGATACTAATTAATTCTAAAATTGCGTTTTGTTTAGAAAAAGAAAGAAAGTGATTTTTGCGTGTACACTTCCCCTTTAACATAGACTTACGACAGTCGTAGCGCTTAGGTCGTTCTGTACAACGGTCCCTAGGTTGTTTAAGAAACCAGTATTTTTAATTAGTCCAAAATACATCCTATCACGAAGGCATTCAACGGTGCTGTTTAAGAAGAAAGCCCTGATACCTCTTGAAGAAGGTGTTATATCTTCCTTGTGGGGAACTCGAAACGTTTATGAAGACACGACTTGTTGAGTATGGTTCAGATCAGTATTTCTCACTGTTCGGTCCAAACCCCAGACTTTCGTACGAGGGAGGAGGTAGGGTTTCATCAACGCTGGTGTAAGGTGGCAATTCTATTGTGCCTCTTGTTCCCGTAGAAGGCATCACCGCCTCGGGGTGGGGAAAGTGTACTGACTCTATTGGATTGGGAGACATTGCAGTGGCCACTGTAGCACGATTAGTGTTTGGTGCACGGTTGTTTCGTCTCTGGCGAATTTTCCAAACACTGTAGGTGGCCATGAGAGCTATCGCAATCACGCTACATGTCACGATTACAATGGAGGGTACACTGGCGCTCTTGCCAGGCGCTGCAAAAAAATGAGTATACATTTATATTTTAGTTCACCATATTCTCTATCTTGATATTAAGTGAGTGAGTGAGTGAGTGAGTATGGTTTTACGCCGCTTTTAGCAATATTCCAGCAATATCACGGCGGGGGACACCAGAAATGGGCTTCACACATTGTACCCATGTCAGGAATCGAACCCGGGTCTTCGGCGTGACGAGCGAACGCTTTGACCACTAGGCTACCCGACCGCCCCTTGATATTAAGAATATACAATATTAATGCAGTAAGAATACTTTATTCATCACATAATTATTAATAAAAGCGACAAAGCCCTTTTATCAAAGAAGTCTTTGCTAAAATTTGAATCCAATGTACTAATCCGACTCCAGCATAAGCATGACTGTGTTTATAAAACACTATAGTCATGATTCCAGGTGTTTGCGAAAGGTGCGCGTATCCTAACCCACCAATGGCGTATTCACAAACAAGCCATAAACGCAATTGGATAAGATTTGTTTGTTGTTCAACGCTGTACTCAGCAATAGTCCAGCTATAGGACGGCGGGCTGTAAATAATCGAGCCTGGACCAGAAAATCCAGTGATTGACATCATTGAGCATCCATCTACGCAACTGAGATACGATGACATACATCAACCAAGTCAAAGAGCCTGACCACCCGGTCCCGTTAGTCGCCTCTTACGACAAGCACAGTCGCATGAGTTGCTGAAGACCTGTTGAGAAATGTAATAACACATGAAGTACAGTACGAAATACCTGTTCTTACCCGGTTTCGATACTTGTTTATAACTGATCACATATATACCACGGCTCGCAGTACCACTGGCATGAAACTTTATAAACATGTACGACCCGGAGCTGTCTTTATAATTAGATGGACTCTCGTCTCCGCACCACTTTGCCAAAGATCTGCTTGACGTGTCATAGCCTGCAACACGTCAATTAAAGTGTGACTCGTCTCGGGCCAATTGGCAGTCCTACATGTAGCAAGTTTATATTGCATTATAACACCAATCTATCCTCGTGGCCCAGATACAATGCAATTCCACAAGGTAGAGGCCCATATTGGACCCATCTACAAGCCTCAGAGCATAGTCCATCTTTAAAGAAGTTTATGAGCTGACCCGACCATCAGTATTTGTACCAGTCAAATTATTATTATTATTATTATTATTATTATTATTATTATTTCTTATTGTTTTGTTGTTGTTTTTAAAAAGGCAGAGGTACATGCACGTGAGTAAGGTCAATCTTAATTTCAACTGTCAAGTAAATAATCTACATACGTCTACATAACAATAGGTTATTGATTGGAGAAAGTATACACTCATGTTTGATGGCGACTAAGAATGAATCAAACAAGAAATGGTTTCGGCGACTGTTTTCGGCCAAGTAACATTTTGGTGATGTTTGAAATGTTTTGGTCGATTACAATTTGTATTAGAAAGTGTATACTATCTTTTGCCCGGCAGTTTATGAAAAACGTATGAGTGACCGACCATTTTATACCCAGGGGTAAGGCGAAGAGAAAGCTGGGTTTTTTTGTTTCACGACATACAATGTTTATTTCTGAAAGGAAGGTCAAAACCAGTATGTCTAGACCCGCAACACACCCAACATGTCCAGTGAACTACTCGATGACAATGTTTTTGAAGCATTTTCGGGACATCTTTTCAAATCACAGTACTACCCACCACCCAACTCCACCTCCTACCCCTGAAGATCAAATGGTCAGCCCCCCATCATACTAACCATCGTATGCTTCCAAGTAATCATTGGTACACTTATAGTTGTACGGAAGATGGGATTGTCCAACAGTCATACGAATGACGTTTGCCAATGATCCTGAATATATCCTCCAGGTAAGACCGAAATTCCTGCAAGTGAATTAAACATTAAAACTGTATTTCGCATATCTTGTTACCTGTTTGTTCGTTGATTAACGCCGCTCTCAGCAATATTCCAGCTATACGACGGCAGTCTGTTCATAATCGAGTCTGATCCAGACAATCCAATGATTGACATCGTGAGCATCAATAACCAAGCCTGACCACCCGTTCCCGTCAGTCGCCTCTTACGACGAACATTGGATGCTGAAAATCAACTTTAACCCAGATCTTCACGGGCTACGCACCGATGCGTCAGCGTGATCCTAGGCCTGTTGCTGTTGTTACCTGCTGTTGATCAGTTATGTAATGACGAGACAGTATCAACGTTCCTAGTCTGCACCTCTAACAAAAGTAGAAACTTAAATAAAACATAAATGGTTTTATTGTGATAATTAATTCAACATTAAGACAGAGTTACCTACCCTTCGTAAAACCTTGGGTAGCCAGGTGACAATATACTTTGAATGTAACTTTTGGCAGTAAGATCACCCTGTCGGTTCACTGTGCAATAAATAGAAAAACTACATCGTCCAGGTACAAAATGATCACGTTATTATGAAATTACATCTTATGACTATCAATTGAATCAGGCCCACCTTTTGATAAAATCGAACAAACGTAAATACCAGTTATATTGACTTTGTCATACATTCAAAATGCGGGAGCATGTTAAACATGGCATGGCATCTCAGTGGGCTTGAGATGGCGAGCATCAGTCCAGACTAGAACAAGCAGCTACATACACACCTGCTTGCACGTTGCTAGATAAGTGAAATATTCTTGAAGGTGTCCTCAAACCTGACTTCACCCACCAAACAGTAGAGTGGCGACACATATGTTGTCTCCCTATGACATCCCCTCTCCACCCATCCCCCCCCCCCCCCCCCCCCCCCCCACCACCCCCATCCCACACACACACGCACACACGTGCTTGAAAGTCGCTATAAATGTATAATAATCATGAACGTGACGTCACTCACTCAGGCACAGAATCACACCTTAATTAGTAAATTATTTAAAAATCACCTTGAAATCTACCACCAGTGTATATCAACTTGAACCCTCTGCCAAACACAAGGAAGTTTGTTTTCAACTCAATCCTCATGTATCTTCCTGAACTAGTAATGGTGACATTTCCTAGTCTGAAGCGACAAAGAACTTCCAGCTGTGGACTGTTTGGGGCGATTCCTGAAACAAAGGATTGGATTAAAATAACTAAAACTGACATATCAATTTATCCTTATAGCGATCGCAAAATTGAGCAAAGGTTATTTTCAGACATGGCCCGTTGAGATTCCGGGTTTGAATTAGTCTACAGCAACCTATCCTTGTCGTACGGTTGCTCAGGCTATGTTGCTCATAACATCAACCACTGGTTTGTCTGGCACATGTATGTATTGTTACGCAGAGGTCACCAGAAATGAGTACGCACAGAGCTAATTTGTGAAATCACCACACAAGATCATGAATAGTTTTAATTTACATCTGAAAACAGTTTTCGGCTTACTGTCAAAAAGTCAATACAATGGGTCAAATAAGTGGCAGCACAAATAAATAAAAGCCCCAGAATAAATGTTAGTGCACACGAATGTTCAGAGTATTGTCACTGTTGATTGTCTTGAAAGAAGCCCGCCCCCGTTCTTGAATCCAGAATCGTGTTGGCACTGACATTAATTCGGTGTATCCAAACAGACCTGTAAAACTATCCAAACTGCACTTGCAAGAGATAGAACACAAATCAGAAGGTCCTCTTGGCAATCTTATATATGTGCAGCCAGTCTCTCCCATCCAGAAACTTAGAGAACGGTCGAGTCTACCCCATTCGCGTATGTAACAAGAGTGCATAACTCCAGTTATTGTACAAAACATTTAGGAATCTCCACTCACTGCCACTGACAGCGGTTCCCATCAGTTCAATCATTTGCTGCCATGAATATTCGATATAAATAAGAGTTACACCACTTTAATTTCTCACACATAACAATATGCTCACAAACATTGACGATATGTACCTTTTCAGGGACAATCGTAATATCCAAATATCGCTGCCATTACCATACTTGAGGAACTTGAGGTGGATTCTTTAGTCGCACAACACAGCTATGATCGAGAGTTGGTATCCCTCATGATGTTTGTTGGTTCGTCAGGGCAGAATCCCTACCTCTCTTCCAACTTTCCCAACACACCAGGCTGACACGGCGTAATATAGTGTGCAAACAACCCCATTCACTGACTCATGGCACGGTCGTGTACTTTACCAACTGAATTGCTGAGTGGCGTTAAACAACAAACAAACACAACCAACTGAATAATATTTCAGTATGTTCACATACCATCATAAACCTTGACATAATCCGTCCGGCAGCTGGAAATATCTAATATGTCGATATCAAGAACGACAACTTGAACCCTCTCTCCATCCCTAGCGGTGACATCCCACTTGCAATTGAGGTTTCTGTCATGAACAAAATATATCATGATGAAACATATAAAACAATTATCTTTAAGATTGAATATATTTAGACTTTAACTATGGAGTTCAAAATTGTTTTCCTCGTTTTTTAACGTCGCTGTCTGCAATATTCCAGCTTCATGACGGCGGTCGGTAAATAATCGAATCTGGACCAGACAATCCCCTGACTGACATCATGAGCATCTATCTACACAATTGGGATACAACATTAACCAAATGAGGGAGTCTGGCCACCCGATCCTGTTAGTCGCCTTTTACGACAAGAATGGAATGCTGAAGATCAATTCTAACCCGGATTTTCTAAGGGTTTGTTGGATTTTGAAGTTACGTAATTGCAATAACACGGCAATAGACATGATCTTCAAACAGTGAGTATGACTTGGTGACAAAAGGGCTAGACTGTAATATACATATATACATACTTCTTGATATTGCTGGGGTAGCCTGGTGATGTAAGGTTTCTGGCTTGAGATCCAGCGGTTAACTGCAGGGGGCCGCAAACACCAGGAGTGGTTGTAGTGGTTTCTGAGTGAACTTTGTCGACAAGAAACGAAAGTATGTTTATATCTATATAATAATATGCTAACATTTTGTCTGTAATAATACTATTGTGACGCAGTTTCACAAAATAACATAGTGAGTGATTGAAGTTTATTTTACTCCACGTTCAGCATCCTCCCGCGGCAAGGGAGGTAACTGACTGTAAACGTCCAGTTTCCACCCTAGCCGAACTAGGCCTGAACTTCTGGGTTCGGTCTTAGTGCCACCAGTGGCTATTACGAGTTATGTCCCTTCTATGTCCCTCCTATTGACCAATCATATTCCACCTCTGACATCACTTGCATTTGCTTCAAACAAAATGGTGGCGCCCAGTGAAGACGATCTGATCAATAATCAAGATCTATATTGTAATAAAACGGGTCTTACTTCGCGAAGTGCATCAAATCACGCGAGCACATTGATTAAAACATGAAAAGATTTGGAAAATATCTGACGCTAAGTTGGCGGTACCAAGCTTTCCAAATCCTGCAATCGACCGAAATCTGCACGCCAGTCTACGAACCGGATGTTGATTTCCTTAAGCGATTTTCGTTGGACTATGGATAGACTCGCTTGTCCAGCTAAAAATAAAATTCCTTAATTCCAGCCAAGTTAGGCTAGGGTGGAAACTGGACTTTTATAGTCAGTTAACTCCCTTGCTTCGGGAAGATGCACGTTCAGATATCCAGCACAGTGTTCTGTCACCGATCGTATAGGGACCAGGCAAATCAGTGACTGGAAGCATGAATTAGTGGCCACACCATCGGCTCATGATGACATGCAATCCGTGTGGTCACCGAACCTGACCACCCGATCCCCAATGTAGTCGGCTCTTACAACAGTAGAACTACCAATAGAAATACATCCATTTAAGATGAACTCTGATAAACCTATCTGCTTTCATTTTGTCCGCTGGTGGAAACATGCACGTACACATGTGCACACATAAATTATATATATATATATATATATATATGTTTTTGTAACAGTTCACATCACGATCACGGATTCATAAACATCATTAAGGTTACAAGGGACAGTGTGGTAGCCTAGGGGAATATGTGTACCCTGCTAACGTTTAAGATCCGGGTTTGAGTCACCAATGTGTTAAGCCACATTGAAGTCCCCTGTCGTGAATTGGCTTTGATAACGCAGCGTAAAACAATATTCACTCATTTAGCATGTTTTGACGACATAATGTCAGCTGATTGCTATTTAGATTCCCCAACAGCCTATGCCGGTCGTAAGAGGCGACTCACTAAACCAGTCTGTCAGACTCGGTGACTTGTTCGATCTCCTGTCATCGTACCCTGACGAGGCGATCGTTGCTCATAATACCATTCACTGTATTGTAAAGATTTAATAATGTACAAGCGGCTGTCATATAGCTGGAATATTGAGTGCGGACATGGATATCACAGGTAGCCGATCTGTCCTCGACGTTAACCTCGATGGTGGTGCGGTTTAGTGGCTGATACAGAGGCAGGTCCGGGTAGAGGTTGAACTGAGGTTTACCATATTTGTGGGTGCAACTATTTATGTTCATACATCACCCGTTTGAATGTTACATACTGTAGGACAGATATGCATTAACCTGTCAAGTATACTATCAACAATGTCAGAATGTACATACCTTCATTGGCGTTAACATACTTGTACCTATGTTGTTTATATACAACATGCAACATGCAAGCTTACCAGCTGTTGAACACAAAAGTAGCCCGTGAAGAACGAAGTGTAATCCATGTCGCCATGTCCTATCCATGGCAAGGGAATGTGGATGGCGACGGTTAAGCGGGCGTTGTCGTATTCTCTACTCCAGACAGGGAAGCAGAGTTTGGAGTCCATGAACGTGAAGCCCAAGGGTTTAGTAAACATGTATATCAAAAGACTGTTGTGTGGAGGTACACATTTTAAAGCGGGGCAAAATGTGAGACGACGTGTCTATTTTTAGAACAAGTAAACACTGGGGTGGATATCATATTCTGGCGCGGCGAACTTCAGTCACGTTGAACAAACACTGAACAACAACATACTGGCTTGACCTACATTCGTGACAGTGACAATTCCTGTGACAATTGAATCAGCCATGTTGTATGTGTGACCTGTGAAGAAGCGATTTACTCAGTTGCATATGTGGTTTAAATACCTTACTTTCATCGCACCCCGATTGCGTGGATCGTTTCACCTGGTATATTGCTGACTTTAATATCACGGCGTCCTGTGAATACTCGTCTCTGAATCAGACAGATCACAGTTCAAAACCTTTCTCTTTACAATAAACATATCTATGACCCTTTGTTCATGAAAGTTGAATGTCGATCATCGCTTCAAAATATGTAGGCCTTTATGGTTTCACATTTATTTTATGCATCAGTTGTATTCACCTTTAAAGATAGATTGAATCAGAGACCATATAAAGTTTCAGCAGATCGTCAAAATTTTTGTATCATTTTATTTATTTTTAGAGTACACAAACAGAATACACCTCACAAACATTCTTAAATACATACAATTTACAAAGTATATCTGTGGATAATAACAAACAAATCTATTCATAATAGCAAGACATCTTTGTTAGAATTTGTATAAGTTCGTGGGTTTACTCGAATAGATGGTGACAGTGACCCAAACTTTACGAACTGTGTGTATTTACATTATGAATATGATATATTTCTGTCGATGTAATAAAAGTTGGTTTTAGTTATATTTTGATGTGTTGGGAATATGGTGTGGTCAAAGGGAGACAACTCCGGAATTTCTACACTTGTATTTTGATTTCATAGCCATCAAAGCACATGCGTGACGTCGCTCTAATGTTTGGTGGCTAAAGTGTGGTCTAACGTGACGGTCGAGGTCAAGGTTATTTGTTGCAACGTGCATGAGTGTGTGTGGCTGCTTGCTTATAGTCCTAACCCACTGAGATATAATTCCTCAGTTTAACATAGTTGCCAAACTCTGCCACATTATGAGCCGTTTCCGAGCCGACCGGTTCTTATTTTTACACTCAATGCCGAACAAGATTACATCAAGTAACGTCTTTTGGAATGACGCGGCCAGAGGATCTTCCCCTCTCCTGGCAGATGCTCTATTCACCAGTCCACTCTATTTAGTGTTTGAAGACACATTATTGCTCACAAAGGGACAAAGTTGGTTGTCATTTGTCCATCATCCCTCCATTATCTTAAAGCCACATTTCAATGCATTTACATTTTCAATGAACTGATCTTTATTTTGGCTATTTTGATCGGGAAACGTGTCGCATTATATAATTTGAAGACGTTACGGCGAAACATGACGGAACGGTGTAACAATAACTGTTAAGCATGTTTAAATACTTGTATAATCCTTAAAGGTTAAGGAAATAATGTGTATATGTTATGTTCAGAGTAACGTAATAAGATAACACTTGATGCGAAAAACTAAATACAGGAGAAGCATATGTCTCCTTGTTCATAGCTCTAAGATTTTTTATACTTTCCGTCAGCATATTCTCAAAACGTGCAAGAGAAGTATTAATACTTGTATTGGGGCCCATGAAATTATTTCATCACACAAAAGATCAACGCATCGGATAGAGGCAAGGCTGACTCACACAGTAGATATACAGACAACATACATGTCTTATGAATATTTCAAAGTCTAAAAGTAACCATGTACTGAGAACAACCTTGTGATGTTAGCTCGTGAACTTGAATCAGTGAGTGTGATTGGATGAGGGAGTTTTAACGCTGCTTTGGATAGCATTTAGAGATAACGAAAAAGACATGCTATAGCTGAAAGTGTTTATTGAAGCCCTGGATATTACAGTTCTACATACATCCTTACTTGACAATACTTTATTCATCGTTGTTCATCACTTCTATGATGCAATGTGATTTCACTTAGATTTGAAGCCCATTTCTAGTGTCTCCCGCCGTGATATTGCTGGAATATTGCTAATAGCGGCGTAAAACAATACTCAATCACTCTTTAGATTCGAGCATAGTGTACTGTTGTCATAAGAATCGATTTAGATTGATCACATATTTCAAAATTTATCCGTATATATTATCCTCTATAATATCCTCCTGAAAAATACACTAGTCGCATGTACATCAGAATTCAAGCGCACACATACATGTAATTGAAATTCGAAGGCATGTCCAATCCATTGTTCATATCGGTCAACTTAGATCTCAGAATCCCTCTTTTCCCCGCGAACATGGTTATCATAGGTAGCCGACTTGTCCCCGACGTGACCCTCGATGGTGGTGCGGTTTAGTGGCTGATTCAGTGGCAGGTTGTGGTAGAGGTTGAGCTGAGGTTTACCATATTTGTGAGGTGTAGCATACACGTTGCCAGGCGCCGAAACCTCCTTGCCGTCGCGAACATGGTTATCATACGTAGCCGACTTGTCTTCGACGTTACCCTTGGGAAACCCGGGAACAGATGGCTGAGAGAGAGACAAGTATTGATTACGGTTGAACTCGTGTTGTCCATTGGTGTGAGGCGTGTCATACGCGTTGCAAGTTTCTTTAGTTGCTTCTTTGCCCATCTCCGGTGACTTCACTTCCTCGTAGGCAGCATTGGAGAAAGATGCTGGCGTTACCGTAAATACAACACTCGCCGGTTCACTGTGACGGATAATATCCTGGTTCTGGTTAGGTGACATTTTCTTTCGACTATACATTCTCCACGCAATAAGAGCACCTACTACTACCAAAACCAACACCACAACGCCAAACACCGAACCTATAACGACGCCGGTTTGGCTTGCGCTGGATGCTGTCTGCGAAGCTGAAAAACAGATGAAGTAATTTGAACAACAATATTCATGCCCACCGTATGAGATGATAGTGTTTGAATTATATATTCTTCAACTTTTGCCACATGTTGACATTGTCATGGTAGCTTTTTGAAAATCCAAACTGTAGCTTTTGGCCCGTAAAACTTATCACTAGCTAATTGAATGCATGACCATGATGTTTGGTATTGTTTCCCGGCAATACTGGATATGCAGCATAGCTGCATGTACATACAAAGAGTACACTTTTTGCATGATTGTTATTTTCACGGGAGAATATTCCTAAGCTGAGTGATGACTGCATTGATATTTTTTCCAATAAAATTTATTTTAATATAAGTATTGTTCCTGATTCTTCACATTAAGCTCGGAACACATTTGGACATTTTTTATACGTACTTCTGTACATACCAACGGCAGGGGCGGCATCTGAGTCGGCCACCGTGTAGTGTACTGTCCAGGGCAGCCAGGTGTATCTTTTTCCATCAGCGTACACCAGGAAAAGATCCTGACCTGTGCTGACCAGTGTCTGGTTAGACTGACCACACCACTTTCCCAAGAAGGGTGAGTTGCAGGACGGACCTTGCAAAGTAACGTTATCTACAGTCAGCTAAGTGCACTTTTAAACACATGCATACATCCAACAAAGTCAGAAATATACTTAACCAACGGTATTAGGGGCATTCAATAAAGAAATCACGGGCAGCGACATTCCTAAGTGTTGAAATATACTCTTCCACTTGCAGACTCGTCAGTTGCTATTTGATTGAATATTATTCAGATGCTACGGTAAATTAAGGATCATGTGTCCTTACTGAACTATTCACGAGACAGCTAATATGTCATAACCTGTAGCGAGTAGGTTATTCTTAAAATTACCTTCGGATTTTTTTATTTGAGAAATGGAGTTTCCTGATCACAAACCTATGCCGTTATGAACAATGGATGACGTCATCTTTAATTATTCATTAATTTTTCAGCATGGAGAAAAATAACTATTTTGATAATTATTGAAAAGAATTTCACTTTTATCCTTGTCCCTATTGGTAATATTTGAATTGTGGGTCCATAAATATGAATATATAAATGGTACTTGCTGATACCATACCTGGCGCTCGGTATTCAGCGGCTAAACAAGGACTGGTCCGCTCGGAGTCATCTGACCTCATCTAATGCGGCTAACAATATATAATTTTACTCGCTAATATAAGTTGTAATGGAAGGGGCATGGGTGGGACAGTTAGCCCAATTTCGTTGTTGTGCATCCCTCAGAATCGGATGATCCTGGGTTCGAACCCAAGATTTATCCTCATTATGATTCTTGGATTTTTGGCGTCATACCATTGGTTACAGTGGTAAGCATCTGGGATCTGCATCATTTTAAGACGGCTGGGTTACCCGTGACTGCTCCGATGCTAAGATACCGACAACTTAGTGTCTGAGCGAGGTATCTGTGTTACACTGCGACATCGTATCTCAGTAGACTAACACTATTAAACCGGATAACTGTTGAAACATGGTGGGTTTTTACCCATTACTAATGGTCAGACATGTTACGAACATGTTTTCGAATGCACCCTGTTTTACCTTCAATGTATCTCTGGGTCATGAACTCGTGATATATATATATATATTTATATATACTCAAAGTTTGCTAAGGATCACCACTTTAAAAGGTAATACGTCAAATTGTGTGCGTCTGTCGAAATGGCCAAAGACAAAATTGCGTCATTATGAAGTCGTGTTTAATGAACAAGAGATGGCAGTCATGTGTCTGTCACACAATGCCAACACACAACAAGTGACCAACAATCAGTCAGATCACACGTATCAGTATCAGACTGAAACGTCCAAAAAACGCGAAAACAAATTAATGATCAAAAACAAAACTCTCAGTAGCGCGAATATGAACCACGTGATGCGATCACAACCTGGCATCGTCGTCTCATGCTCTCAATAAGTTCATAAATGGTTGCCAAGGGTTCCAGCCGAGTTCCAGTAGAGCTGCCGGACAAGGCGTCGTGAGAGGCTTATCTGCAGGTCTTTCCACATGCGTTCGATAGGGCTTAGTTCTGGTGACCGGGCTGGCCACTCCATACGGACAATGGTCACTTGTTCTAAGTAGGCATCATCGACCCTGACACGATGAGGTGCGATTGCGACAGCATACGGTCTCACGTACACTTCCAGAATGTCATCACTTTAGCGCACACCTGTCATCGTGCCCCGCTGTTGGAGATAGGTTCTTAACCCAAATCATAATTGAGACCTCTCCATAGCGATCATGTTCGGCTACGTTGTAGTCCTGAAATCTTTCTCCTTGTCTACACCACACTCGGGCACGACGATCGTCGAAGTTGAGACAGTATCTCGATTCATCAGCGAAACGTACTGGAGCCCAGTCCTGGTCTATCCGATTAAGGTAATCATCAGCCCAATCCAAACGTACCTGGCTGTGATGTCGGGTCAGTGGGTGCGAATGCATGCCCTCCGTGACCGGAGACCAGCCTCACGGAGACGAATACGCACTGTCGGAGTAGACACGTTAACGCCACTGGTGTTCAGGAGGTCATTTCTGAGTGTGGTGGCAGTCACAAAGTAATGACGTCTTGCTCCAATCAGGAGAAGCCTGTCTTCGCGCAGTGTGATGGAACGCTTTCGATCACCTGCATGTGGCTGGATAGCTGATCCAATATCGATCTAGTATCGATTACATGCCCTGCTGATCAGACACCAAAGACGTTTGCAACGTAACGTTGTGTTGACCCAGCTCCAAGCATGCATATGCATCTGCCTTTGACGTTAAGTACGTTAGGTTCATTCAGCTGTTGAAATCCTTAGTAGCAAATGTACCATGGAAATGGACGACCCGAAACCCATGGCTGTTAAACCGACCAAGAACAACTTGTCATTACTGGACCTCAAAGAGGCCAACAGGAGCCATCTGGCCGCAGAGAAACACGCAGTTTTGGGCAATCGCGACACCCACTGGGACAACCAGGAAACCATGGTTGTGGACGACCCGAAACCCATGGCTGTTACACCGACCAGGAACAACTAGTAATCACAAGGCCACGCAAGGTCCGCCAAGAACAGGTGACGTTGTGTTTCTTACCTGAGCTAACGCGATATTGAAATAGAAAAAGATCCATTTGGACGTTTGATCACTTCCAGAATAGAATGCACGCTCGTGTTAAATCCGTACACACTTTCACACGTTATGTAAGAACAAAGAAGCTTAACACAAACATTTTTTTATGACATAGCAAGAGAAATACAATATATTATCCTTTTTTCCATTTTTACTATAAAAAAATATTTCAACTAATAATTCTGACATTCCATCTACAAGTTGTCCTTGAAGAAAAATAATGCCCTTTATATCGATTATGAAACCTTTTGTATCACACATGTTTTAATAATAACTTTTTTAGGTGAAGCACATGTTGTGTAGCGATTAGATCATTTTTACCGGTGTTACCTACAGACATGGTGTGTAATGATTAGATCATTATAACAAGTGTATCACATGTTGTGTGTCGTTACGATCTTTGCTTCAAAGGCAACCAGACCGAGTATGCCTGTGTTGGTGGGAACGTACGAACTATCATGTCTGGTCATCGAGACAAACTACTTCACCTCACCAAAACAGCCAGGTAAACCTCACACTTGCCATTAACTATGTTATTTACAGTACTGTGTCCCCATTACAGCTTAAACAATGCAAATCTGTCAGTGCATAGTTACAGAGAGAGAAAAAATAATGGTATCATGGTAAAATCTCGTTGCACTTTGTACTGACCCTATGATTGATGTTTTTGTTTGTTGTTTAACACCGCATTTTGCCATAGTCCAGCTATATGACGAAAGCCTGCATATAAATGTGAAGTCTGAACCTGACAATCCAGCGATTGAACAACGATCCATGCAATTGGGTTGCGATATCATGCAATCAACCATGTCAACGCGCCTGACCATCCGGCCCATGTAGTCGCCTCTCATGACCAGCACAGGTTGCTGGGGATTCTTACCTGGAATCCCAAGTGGTTACTGACTATGAAAGAACTGCATTCATTTCTCTCCTGTAGCAATACTCTTGCTTCCTGCGTAAAAGTTATACGTTCATCCCGGGTATCAATACCTTCTCTGGATCTGCAAACTTGGTACAATAAATATGCGTTTTGATTCATTTCAGGACAAAATGTGGATGGCGATTAAGAACAGAATTGACAGTTGACTCGAACAGCAGAATAGAACTGAAAATGAATTTCCCATCGGAAATTAAAACAAGCTATGACGTGTGTCATGACAGGTAACTGGAAGTATTTGATGGTACGTAACAAATGTGACATTGCCGATTCTTTCATCATACTAGTCAAAGGTTATTAAGAATCACATTTTGATGATATCAAATAAATCATCTAACAAATAGAGTTTGAATATCCCGGTACACAATGATTGGGTTACCCTTATAGGACTTCAGTTTCATTATGAAATGTCAGAAGCATGCATACTGTCATGGGCACGAAGTCAAGTGCTTGAAAATATGTGCTTGGATGTATGACAAAATCGTTGCACATCATTATCAGGGAGCACAACGATTTTGTCATACATCCAAGCACATATTTTCAAGCACTTGACTTCGTGCCCATGACAGTATGCATGCTTCTGTACGGGTTTCGGGTCGTCCATTTCCATGGTTCCCTGGTAGTCCATGGTCGGCTTGTCACATTGGGTGTCGCTGTTGCCCCAAACTGAGTGTTTCTCTGCGGCCAGATGGCTCCTGTTGGCCTCTTTGAGGTCCAGTAATGACTAGTTGTTCTTGGTCGGTTTAACAGCCATGGGTTTCGGGTCGTCCATTTCCATGGTTCCCTGGTAGTCCATGGTCGGCTTGTCACATTGGGTGTCGCTGTTGCCCCAAACTGCGTGTTTCTCTGCGGCCAGATGGCTCCTGTTGGCCTCTTTGAGGTCTAGTAATGACTCGTTGTTCCTGGTCGGTTTAACAGAAATATCAAATGTCAAAGGATTATTAGCCTCGATTTTCTGCCGAAACTGATTCCAGAAAATCAGAGATGAGCAATGAGAGTTTTGAGTTATGAGCCAATCATGTTTGTGTTTGTACATTTGAAGTCTGTTTGTTCATGAATTGGTACTGTGTATTTAGAAAATGCTACGTTAACTTACGGTTGTGGTTAGGTATCCCCTTGTAGGCAAGAGTGAAATCATGGCCACCAAAAACGCTGGACATGTTGAAACGGATGCTCATCCTGGAGTTGGTGGATGTATAGGAAGGCGTTCGTTGGCCACACCAGGACTGCGTTGATCCGTTGCCTTGAATGTTCAGTTGAAATGAGTGATTGATGTATTTAGCTGCTGTTACGTCGTGTAAACTCAACGAGATATTACGAGATGAAATCAGTCTGGAGACTCTACCATAAAATTCACCAGTTCATTTATAGTTATGTTTATGATCATGTTTGTCTTAGAAATGCTTGGGGAAAATTATTGAAGATTTAAAGCTTTAAATGATCATTTCCATATTATATATTTGTTCACGGGTAATTGACAAAATTGCAAATTGCAATAATTTAAATAATTTGTTCTTCAAACATATATTCTACTACAAGATTTCAACATCATGTTACCACGGTTACAGTTTGTTTGTTTTTTAACGCCGCACTCAATCATATTTCAGCTATATGACGGCGGTCAGAAAAAATGTCTGGACCAGACAATCCAGGGATGCGATGGCACACAATCCATTAAATCTCCGAGCCTGACAACCGGCTCCATGTAGTCGCTTCTGACAAGCATATGTTGCATGAGGGCTATATTCTTACTCGAAATCACCTATGGACACTGTTACAGTTTTCAGATCGTTGGAACGTGAAGTCAATCGAAAAACCATGGAAGTTACTTACCAAAATCAACATCAACATGGTTTCCATAACAAGATATGTTTGACAGCAACACACGGACTTGGAAAACATAGCCATAGCCCGCAACGATATTCCACTGACACCGGCTTTGATATTAAAAAATATAGACATTGGGTCAATGGAATACACTTTATGAAATCAACAAATATGTTCAAAGTAATACTGCATTCCTTTACAAATATAACAATGAGAACACATTTTCTCCATACAAGAATGCTTCGTACCAGAAGGGGGGCTATACAAAGATATATAGACTCCCTGGTACCGGCGAAAATGTGATATTTTTATTTTCATCATAAGAGCAATGCAACAATGTGTTTTGTTATCACAGGGCCAAGGGTAGCTCAGTCGTAAAAGGCGCCGCAATTCGCTATGCTTAGTTGCATACCTTAGGTTTGCTTGTGGTAAGTATACCATATTCTCCCCGTTTTGTTTCCAGGTTTGCCAAAACCATACCCGTGCTCGTGGGTTCAAAGTGAAAAACGTCTACATGTTATACCTACATCACTTCGAGCTTCCTCCCACATCATACATACATGCTGTGACATGAATGAAATATTATTTAAAGCGGCGTTAAACCAAACACACTCACTCACCAGTGTAGTTATGCTCTTATAATAATGATTTGGCTCACACATATAATTCTACTTTACTAATTCTAAGATTGGTAGAACATTGATGTAAAGAGGAGATGGGTTATCATACGGTGTATGACATATTCCATGACACACCATTGTGTTGTAGGTATTGCATTGTATTTTCTATGGGACAATGGTCTTGTACCTCATATTCCAGGCGATATCAGGCGATGAAATGTTGGATTCATTTGGGTAGGCAAACAACGTCTCTACGCATCTGTTAGCTGAATCAAAGAGCGTGATCCAATCAAATTCAATAACTTTGTTATTGATACTTATTGTTTATATGCACAATAAAAACATATTTTTGAACAATAAAATCATATAATTATAAAGAGGTTAGATTCACTAGAACGTATCCAAAAGACATTTGAAATCTTATGGAAATATTGTGATATGTCGCATGGTGATATCATTATCATTATACCAAGATTACTGACATGGTGACAAAACATGATACTCCCAATAATATTATTTCCAAAACATTTAATTTGATAATCACTTAATGATAATAATAACAATATTCATCATCTTACATTTTAGTGTATATGTTATACGGAATTTCTCCTCCATCCCTTCAGCTATGACTGCAGTGACAACACAAGAACCATGACTCTCATACATGTAGTCTCCTGTACCACAGATCGGCTTGCCTTCTTCCCCTCGGCCAGTTACTGGTGGTGACAAACGTTTAGAAGTTCATGGTCACTGCATCAATATATACTCACAAAAAAAAGAAACGCAAAAGGGATAAAAATGGTTACTGAAATGGTATTATAGATGATGTTGGTGTTTTCAGGAAAGATTTGGGAGATGTAGTGTTATGGGTACAAAATGCAATGAAGAATGAGATGGAAATTTGATTCAGATGTTTTCAGGGAGAAAGACATGCAAAATTGACCAAAACGCCCGGCCCCATACAGCACGTCCCACCACAGCTTTCCTGCAGGCTAACAACATCCAGGTTCTGCCTTGGCCCTCAAGATCGCCGGATTTGAATCCGATAGAACACTTGTGGGACGATTTGGACAGACGTGTGCGTCAACGTCAGCCACAGCCACAGACTCTGCAACAGTTGGCACAAGCACTTCAGGCAGAATGGGCTACGATTCCCCAACGTGTGATTCAGACCCTGTGGCTTCCATGGGAAGGAGATGCCAAGCTGTTCTGGTTGCCAATGGTGGCCATACAAGATATTGACACCTTCATGACCTAGACCTTCAACATGTGACGTTCGCATCCTTGTGTTTTGACCTTAACCACTGTATCCATCTTGTAAACTTTCATCCTTGTCGCATTTTTCTTTATCAAATTAAATGTCTCTACATATTGTCACCGATTCGGGCATTGCGTTTCTTTCTTGGGGGAGTATATATACACCTTGAAAACGGATAATTATAAATATAACACGAACTTCCATGAATCTTTTGGAAACGTCTACACATGATCTTATTCTCATTTCGCCAGATGTCGAAGATACAAATGATACCTGCTAAGCAAATGGTACGAGAACAGCACATGTTTCTCATATCACACTGCAACATGAAGTAGTGTTTAACCCCCATTTGATCAACGCGTAAAAGAGTGTCAATTTTTAGCTTCAAATTAACGACGAATATCGGCGCTTTCACACATCCAAAACATTTTATATAAAAAAATCCTTCCTGTTTTCATCCAGTGATCATATACGAAAACAGGACGTTTTGTGGTTTGTAGTTTCATGTGATCCAAAAGAAACAGAGGAAGCGTGAAAGGCTAAACAAGTAACTTTCGCCAACTAATTTAAAGTGTTGAAAACCGGTACTACATACGAAACTGTTAACATGGTGAATGGTCCACGGTACAGTCTGAATTTAGCGCAGCAGGGCAATAAAATGCACATAAAACCCTATCTTTTTCACTTGACAGTTTTAGAGACAAACAAGCGGACATCCTTCGAGCGTTTTTATCTTCTGTACAATCACATTGAGGGGAATACGTATGGCTAATTAATATAAGGTATCGTCTCCATGAAGAGTTGGCTTCCTTAGCAGTACCAGGATCCAATTATCGTGGGTTCAATTATACGAGGATTCAACATCACGAGCTCTGTTGCGGCAACCCAATACTACCAATGCCCTGTGTTACTTAGAGATATGCTCGCTTGAACCTGGTACACCGCGGTGCAACTGAAATACTGTTCACTCAGTCACATTTAACATGTTGTATGTTAATATGATTAATACACATTGGTTGTTATTCTTAATGTTTCAATAGGGAAATCGAGAATGTTGCCTACCTTCTTGAATGTTATCGCTGCAGCATTTTGAGTTCCAGAGCAGTCGCCCTGTTGTCCAAAGTCGCCAGTAATATAAAATGCCATGTGGCTGTCATCATCCAAGGCAGTGAAGGTAAGCACCTTCCGCTCTGATCTGAAATATTCATCAAACATCGTGATAAGTAGCCTGTTCGTGAAAAGAGTGAGTGAGTATAGTTTTACGCCGCCTTTAGCACTATTCCAGCAATATCACGGCGAGGGACACCAGAAATAGGCTTCACATATTGTTTTCATGTCGGGAATCGAACCCGGGTCTTCGGCGTGACGAGTTAAGGCTTTAACCACTAGGCTTCCCGACCGCCCCTATCTTGAAAAGAACCATGTTTACACATGTATATGAGTGTAAGTGATTAGGATTGAACTCAAAGTGACCCTGTTCGTGGACGATTGCAACTTGGAAGAAACTCACACGTGCAGGTGTAGTGTTGACAGCAGAATCCCGTTGGTGGACGCTGGACGAAACACAACCGTAGGATCATAACAGGTGTGAATCGGAGATTTGCATTATTGACTAGCGGATCTCTGCACGGGTAAAGGGACGCAACTCTGCATTGTGCACTGCTTCGTTTTGGACCAGACTATATGTACTATTGCTACTTTATACCCATGGACGTTACATAAAATCGCTATGAAAAACACGCATCCAATTATCAAAAGGAAACACCATGTACCTCCATGTGTGATGAGGATATCCCGGAGAATCAATGTGCTGCTCATACCGGGTCACTGTGAAGTTCCGAGAGTCAAGAGAGCAACAGCCTGAATCATATGACAATTCATGTATATATAAAAGGTGGACTATGCTTTGGTAAACTTATTTAAGTCGTTGAAACACCACTCTAATTGTCAGGTAACACATCATTAGGTGAGAGAAAAAATATGATCTTGTTAACATTCCAGCTATGTCAAGCGGTCTGCAAGTAAAAGAGTTTCAGCTAGCGGTTCTAATGATGAGGTACCGAGCCTGTCCGCCCGTCCAAGTTATTCTTTGTTTCTTTGTTTGTTGTTTTACGCCGCACTCAGCAATATCCAAGCTATATGACGGCGGTCTGTAATGGTGTCAGGACCAGACATTCCAGTGATTGACATCATGAGCATAGATGCACGCAATTGGGATACGATGACATGCTTCAACCACGTCAGAGAGCCTGACCACCCGGTTCCGTTAGTCGCCTCTCACGACAAGCAGTGTCGCCTTTTATGACAAGCATGGGTTGCTGAAGATCTATTCATCCCCGGATCTTCACGGGTCTCCAAGTTGAGTGTTGAGGTTCAATTCTAACCCGGATCCTGAGCTATATTCCTTAGTGGAATGAACTAATGGTTCACTGGACATTGTATGCTAGATAACATAGTCCCTGACAATGATACAGTGTACCGGTAGAACCCACCCAGCCTACAGCTAACCATGCATATCAGCCAGAACAAAATGCATGGTTGTCTGTTAAAATATAGTCTTTGATATTACAAACCCGTTCCAACAGAGAGCGATAGCAACAGCAGAGTTTCTGTGAACTGCATATCAGTAATCTTGTCTTGACCACCCAAGCCAGCATCAGGAGACCACAGGAACCTGTTATGAGATCACCACTTTGAATATATTGTCTATCATTGTTCCCAAACCACTGTTTTTATATTCTCTGCGTTAGGGCAGTTGATCAATATATAGCCACCACCGTACGTTGTACAGTATGTGTACTATTCCCTTATCAGAACATGAATTCCAATAAATCAAGAACATGTTGGCAAGTAACACACGTTTGCAAACATATCAGTCACGCTTAGGTTTCCTTTTCGCATCTTTATATTTCCACATCGTATTGGACCGATCTAGTGTCAATAGATCGGTGGGTTATTGTCAATATACACGTTAGTGGTAAATCTTCACGAGGGAAGCGAATGTAATATAACAAACAATGTGCAACATTTAGATAAAGGCCCTAGGACATCAGATTTCGATGTCAGTTATCAATGTCGTGACGATTGTAATCCTAGTCACTATAACTGTGGTTGAAAAGCATACTATCATGTACTGTGATTAATGTGAAAATAGGGAGGGACCTTAGGCGTGAATCAGACCTGGCATGAGGTTATACGGTTCCCAAGATACACATTACACATAAAGTCACGATCCAATTAAATCATCCAAAGTATATAAGTAACTGCCTCGATATTTACCTGACAAAACGTGATGTGTAAAAACGAGTATGTATGTATGTATGTATGTATGTATGTATGTATGTATGTATGTATGTATGTATGTATGTATGTATGTGTTAATCATAATGATAGGAACTAATGTGGTATGGGGTATGGATTAATGCACCTGTAAAGCGACGTGTGTGTGTGTGTGTGTGTGTGTGTGTGTGTGTGTGTGTGTGTGTGTGTGTGTGTGCGTGTGTGTGTGCGTGTGCGTGTGCGTGTGTGTGTGTGTCGTTTTGAAACCAGAGGGCTTCCTACAGTGTCTTCGGAACTACATGTACATTTTGAATTTAGCATCAGGGAGAGGCCTCCCGACTATACCATATGTTTTGTGATCGGATTGGGTAACCTTGAAACTTTAGATAACCACCCACCAAGTAGTGAACACAAACTTTGCCAGTTACCAATGTAAGGGACTAACCATTTGATATTCGGAACAATTATAACGCCAAAAGCACTACCCTTTGTGTCAAACAATATCCCAGCAGCTCCAGCCTTTGGTGTCTACATTTTACTACTTTTGAGGTACAATCGAGCAAAAGCCTTTATTGTAGACATGTGGGTGACATTTCCAAACGTGACGCATCAGTGTCAAAATTCGTTTGGTAAACAATTGACATGCTTTTGCATGTGTTTGTGATCGGTGTCATCAGTGGAGCAGGATACACACTCCCTTTCACAAACTTTAGTAAATTTTCCAAAAATTTTATGGTAGACATGTGGATGATAAATGTGACAAAAATGTCAAAAATGATGTCTGATGCAATTTGTCTTGTACCAATGTTCCCGTGTATTTTAGGTGAACAATTGACATACTTTTGTCATGTTTGTGACGGGTGCCGCAGTTGGAGGACGATATCACCTTTTCGCGAACATCTAGTATCATCACTATTTGATAGTGATTCAGAAGCACATGCTCATGATATATTTGGAAATCGTACTCGACTGCTTTAAGCAGAGATTTCTTGTGACAGTGGGAAGCGAGTTGTCGTTTTTATTTACTTAGTCTTTGCAACGACATTTTTTGCATGATAGTACGTACGTGGAAGTATGCTTAAATATTTGCACACGATTAGATTGGCCGCCAGCTGGGGCCAGGGTTGGCAAAACTATGATAAACGGTTTAGGTTGCGCATGAGTAGATCCACAGACAAGGCATGGGGCACAATCGACGCGGAATTGTGGATGTTATACATGAATGTCACTCCTCAACCTGTGAACCGCAGTTTCACCACTTTAAAGCAGCCTTCACAATCTCAAACTGCAAACACCTTAAAAGTGTTTTTTTGCTGGCTTTTCAATGACCCTGGTAATTTTTGTCGCAGGCAACATTGCCGTTTCCCTCATGTTTGTTCTCAGTGTGGTGGGAGCCACCCATTCCCTAAGTGCCGATTAAACCAATCAGTTACAGGAAATCAACCAACCCCAGAGGTTAATACATTTCAGTTTCGCGACAGATACCTCTCAAAACGTGCAAGCATTGGGCCATACACCTATCAAAGTAGATAAGCTGTTAGCATACCTGGAGTCCTACCCATTGTTAAGTGATGCCGGTGTTCTTCATTGCAGTTTCACCGAAGGATTTCATTTACATTACACAGGCCCCAGGGAGGCTAATTTAGTTTGTAATAACCTAAAATCTGCTCAAGATCCCAATATGGAACAAATCATACTAGGGAAACTGTCCAGTGAAGTACAATTAGGCCGAATGGCCGGTCCATATCATAACCCACCTTTACCAAACCTGAAGATCTCCTATTGGAATTGTTCCAAAGAAAGAAGTAGACGGGTACCGCATCATCCACCACTTATCGTATCCAGATGGTATGTCGGTAAATGATTTCATCAGCCCCAGCCTTTGTTCTGTAACCTGTTCCTCTATTGACGATGCAATTTTGATGATTCAGCAGCTTGGTCCGGGGGCATACTTAGCAAAGGCTGACATCAAAAGCGCTTTCCGGTTATGCATGGTGCATCCTCATGATTTTCACTTACTAGGAATAAAGTTCTTACATAAATATTATGTCGACAAAGCAATACCATTTGGGTGCAGTATAAGCTGCTCAATATTTTTTTTAAATTACACCTTCATCCAGTGGATAGTTCAAACAATGTTAAATTCTCAAGGTGAGTTAATGCATTACTTGGACGACTACCTATGCGGAGGATCTGGAAGATATAAGTCTGAATGTCAGTTAGTCCTGTCAACATAATAGCAACTCGGAATCCCTATATCCAGTCACAAAACAGTAACACCAACAACATTAATCAGCTTCCTTGGATTTCAGCTGGACACAGTCAGAATGGAGTTAACCATACCAGCAGACAAAATACAGGATGCTAAGGATAAACTCAGGTTTGTCATGTCAAAATCCAAAGCAACCAAACAGCAAGTCGAAAGTCTCATTGGTTCACTAAATTACATAGGTAGGGCCATTCCCATCGGCAGAACCTTCCTACGGAGATCCATTGATTCGATTTGTGGTGTTAAGAAGCCCCATCATAATGTTAGGGTTACAAGGAATATGAAAGATGATTTTCAGATTTGGCTTTCATTCCTGGACATCATAATGGAACGTCATTATTCCTTGATCAATGCTGGATTACCAATGAAGCATTACACCTCTACACAGACAGTGCATCAGGAGAGTCATGTGGGTTTGGAGCATACTTTCATGGACGCTGGACCAACGGTTCATGGCCAGGACATCGGAGGACTTTAGGCCTAACACGAAACATCACACTGCGGGAATTCTTCCCAGTCTATGTTGCGGTTAACATTTGGGCTAATGCCTTCAGGGGCAAAAAGTTAATAATAAATAGTAATAACCAAGTAGTTGTTTCCATACTGAACAAGCAGTCAACTAAATGTAAGAATACTATGCAGTTTGTGAGGCAGTTTGTACTTCATTGTCTCAACAAAGGTCAGTATATTCCTGGTTTTAAAAACAGCCTTGCAGATTCCTTTTCTCGTTTTGATCTTCAGAAGTTTCGTCAGCTAAAACCAGAAGCCAGAACCAAACCGACATCAGTACCCAAGAATCTGTGGCTTATCTAAAATCCGAGGCCTTTGCTTTAATTAAAGCATCAGTGTCGAGCAATACTCAATACACTTATGCAGCTGCATTAAGGTCATTTGACAAATTTCGTCACAATCATAAAATACCTAAGTTTTGGCCTGTGCCGGTAGATGATATTTTATGTTACATAGCCAGTATGTCTAGGAAGGCCTTTGCAAGCTAAACTATAGCTAAACATCTCTCAGCTCTTGGCAAACATCACAAAATTAATAGCTTGGTCCGACCCAATTGAAAACTTTTTAGTTCGCAAATGCATGCAGGGATACAGAAATACAGCAGCTCTGGTGTCGACGCCTGATGCAAGACACCCAATCACAATTGACATGTTGAAGAGGCTGCCTAGTGTCATCCAGGCTATTTGTACATCAGGTTACGAAGCTTTTGTATTTGCTGCCATGTTTAACTTGGCATTTTTTGTATTCCTACGGATTGGTGAGATAGCACTTGTGACCAAGATGAATCAGGACAGAACACTTAAATTGGCAGATGTCGGTATCATTGCACAGGCAGTGCACATTAAGATTTGCTTTTCGAAGAATGATCAACAGGGCAAAGGCACAGCTCTGATAATCCCTGCTAAGTCTGATCCTACAATTTGCCCAGTCAGGTCATTACGTGCATATCTGTCTTTACGCTCAGCCCAACCAAGCCAGTTCTTCATCCATTTGAATGGTAAAGCCGTCACCAGATATCAGTTCTCCGCAGTACTCCGGAAAGCCTTACAGTTCCTCAACTTTCACACACAAAACTACAACACACACTCATTCAGGATTGGATTGGATTGCTACATATGCAGCAACACAGGGAATACCACATGAGCTACTTTGCACATGGGGCAGGTGGAAATCTGCTGCATACGCTAAGTACATTCGCATCAATATGTTGTAACAACTCATTTTTGACAGAAATATGGCTTGTCGGCTCCAGCCTTATCTACTGGGCTCACCGGAGAGCAGTTGCAAGGCCAGTGGGATTGGACCTGGGTCTGCAGAAGTATGGACTCAGCTTAACATGGTACGGGAGTAGGGGAATGAATTTTGCCATTTCTACAGCAAAATCTAAGGCGCAGTCCTCCACCAGCATGGCTCCTCCTTCATTTGGGAGGAAACGACCTTGGGGATGAGCCAACCAGAGTATTATTACAAATGGTGAGTCGGGATCTTACAAAAATTCATCACACGATGCCCTTCACGCAAGTCATATGATCAGATGTTCTGCAGAGGGTCACATGGCGGGGTATACCAGACGGCAGAGTAATGGAGCGCAAGAGGAAGAGATTTAATAGATTTGGTAGGAAAGGTGTACTAGACCTTGGAGGCCGCGTTCTCTGACTCAATTAAATTAACATACCAGACAGGGGTTTGTTCAGACAGGATGGTGTCGACCTGTCAGACATTGGCAATGACATTTTCGTCAACTCCTTGCAGGGGGTCTTGTGTTATTTGCTGGTTTGTCCTCGTCCAGGCGTTCATTTCAAAACTAGTGTCGCTCGTATTCAGTTCTTATGCTTAATCCTCAGGGGAATGAGCTTGCTATAAACCAAGCTCAGTGGCGGAGTCGTGGCAGGCAACTCAATTTTCTCATTAACACTCATTAACTGAAGTAAGTTCAGCCTCAACATGCGAACTGCACCTCATGTAGTGTACCCAAACCACAGAGGATGACAGTGTATGTAATGACACAGGATGGACTGCAGCTCATGCCTCACGTTGTGTTTAGCCACGGATGATGAACTGAACTGTCATCTCTATTCCGGCCCATTTGGTCATGTGTACATCCCGGTCCATTTGGTCATGATATGTATATTCCGGCCCATTTGGTCATGATGTGTATATTCCGGCCCATTTGGTCATGATGTGTATATTCCGGCCCATTTGGAGATGATGTGTATATTCCGGCCCATTTGGTCATGATGTGTATATTCCGGCCCATTTGGTCATGTGTATATTCCGGCCCATTTGGAGATGATGTGTATATTCCGGCCCATTTGGTCATGATGTGTATATTCCGGCCCATTTGGTCATGATGTATATGTTCCGGCCCATTCGGTCGTGATTTGGTAGTTACCCCATTGCGTCACGATGTGTACCCAGCTAAACCTCGGACGCAAGCAATGTAACTGCATTTCTGTGTACTGTCTAACACTGCTTGTCGCGACTTCCGCCTGTATTGCTGTGTAATAAAGCTTCGCCCGTTTTTTGCCACTGAAGCATCGTGTTATCTTTTGTATTCTTTCATTCACACTTAAATTGGACTTACGTGGACTTTATTATTATATATCCACCCAGTGAACATTGATATTCATGTGGAAGCGACAATCTTTTGGTTTTCCCGCTATATAAGCTAAATTTTGATCATGAACCTACATTATTACAAAAAGAGCAATATTTCATTCATAAATACGCGCCTAAGTTAAATGTAAAGGCGGACGTTATTTGTACATTGTTACCTTGGTATCGTGACGACATAGTACTCCTAAATGTTATGACGTCACGTAACGATATGTTACAACTTCATTTCCGTTATTCAGTTATGGCCTGATAAGACTCATACGTGGTACGAGCCAATTAAAAGTGTGTTCAATCTTACTCCACTTATTTACTTATTACTATATTGTGCCTGAGAGTTAGATCTTTACTGTGCGCGCTCTCTCTCTCTCTCTCTCTCTCTCTCTCTCTCTCTCTCTCTCTCTCTCTCTCTCTCTCTCTCTCTCTCCCTCCCCCCCCCCCCCCCCCCCCCACACACACACACTCTTAGCTGCCACTTGGAAGTATTGCTCTCTATTGTGCGGGTCATCCAAGCAATGATCTCTGAGAGTCCAAATGACGTCAGCATTGAGGTTCTGTGCCCCCATCACATACATTGCATGTACAACACCATCACATACATTGCACTGTCGCCTGACTCGGCGATTCTTTATCACGAACCTGTTACGATAGTGACCTGGTTTTCTGACTTATATAAACACATCCCTACTCGGGCAACCTCAACATATAACCTCCTTGTAGACTGATGAAACACTCTTTTCGGAACTCTTGGAACATATTTGAAGAATAAACTAAAACGCTGAGTAATCTGCAGTTACATGATCCCTCTGCTGCTGGTGCACGTGGCCATCGCGAGTTGATCTTTACAAGGTTTTTTTGACGATTTATTGGCGCTGAACGAAGCTATTTATCAATATCAAACAAGAAAGCAGTTCCTTTTCATCTTTATACCAAGAGAGGGCAGTCATATTTTACTGGAATCATAACACTTTACGTCAATGTACTTCTTTAATAGTTTTGTGACAACTAAAATATAATGTATACGTTTTAGCACAATTTGTGTACAGTGTGCATGCGTGAATGTTGTTTACCCCACAGCCACAAACAACTGCTGTATCACGACGGCATATGAGTAATTGAATTCGATTCAGCGAAACAAGTGGATGATAGCATGGCACACTACGTCATTTGGTACAATGGTATAAATGTACAATCATTTCGTACACTTTAAATAAACAGATACCCATTTACTTGACTCTTGGTTACTCGACATTCCCGTGTATGGTGGCATCTTTTTAATTTCAAGTCAGGAACTATTTTGTTTTACTTTGAAAACGTTTATTACATTATATTCCTTATTTTTTATGAAAGTCATTGCATAGCAAATTAATGAATAAATACGTTCAAAAGGCAGGCATTGTTCGGTCCTCTACTGAATGTTGTGGACGAGAGAAAACTTCACACATTTCATGATTAAATAATACATTGTTTTCTGATACATTCGCAAAATAAACACAATTAATTGTAGCAATATTTATTTCTAAGTTCAAGCGCACACACAAACACATGTTCAAAGTCCAGTCCGATCCGTTCCATCTTCGGTCAACTTATAGCGGATATTCTTGGGGAGGAATAGGGATCACGGAGACTTTTGTTTAATATATAAACTGTTCACGAAAATCATGGAAACAATTGATCAGGCTTTACACAAAGTCGTTTATTGGGAATGCTGAATGTTCTGTAAATTTATGTGTTTTGAGTAAAAAACAAAGTTTGATTCCTCCTTTCAAAGACAAATATGGAAATATTGAAGTTAGCATATCCTTTCAGTCATTTAGATCTCAGGATCCCCCTTTCCCCCGCGAACATTGTTATCATACATGTAGGTAGCCGATTTGTCTTCGACGTTACCCTTGGGAAACCCGGGATCAAGTGGCTGATAGAGAGACAAGTATTGATTACGGTGGCACTCGGGTTGTTCATTGGTGTTAGGTGTGTCATACACGTTGCAAGGGGCTCTAACTGCTTCTTTGCCTATCTCCGGCGACTTCACTTCTTCGTAAACAGCATTGGAGAAAGATGGTGGCGTTACCGTAAATACAGAACTCCCCGCTTCACTGTGACAGATGATTTGGTTCTGATAAGGTGACATTTTCTTTCTACTGTATATTCTCCACGCAATTAGAGCACCTGCCGCGGCCAAAACCAGCACAACAACGCCGAACACCGAACCTACAATGGCGCCGGTTTTGTTGGAGCGGGATGATCTCTGTGAAGCTGAAACAAAGATACCGCAAGAAGTTGATAAAATTCTAAATGTACCCTTATTGCCTTCCATGTTTAAAAACCCAACTACAAGATATATTTCAAAATATGTCCGAAAAATAATTGTACGTTTACTTGAGCTCTTTCACATACATAAATGCAGATGGTAGACACACGTAAGGATCTATGTTGAAGTTTGACATTGTTCGTACAGTTACATCATATTGTATTGATCTTTATATTATTGATAACAAATTACCTCTCGTTAAAACAGACCAAAATACTTTATATTTTCAAGAAAGCAACTTGTGCGTTTACAACACTAAACGTACCAGCATCAGGGACGCTGTCGTCAACTATGGTCTGGTAATGGACTGACCAGGGCAGCCTTGGGTAACTAGAACCACCAGTGTACACCAGAAACATAACTTGACCTGTGCTGACCAGTGTCTCATTAGATTGACCACACCACCTGGCCAAGAAGGGAGAGCTTGAGGACGGACCTAAAAAAGCAAATTGCACATAGCTTTTTAAAGCATGCATGCATATTCTCCTTAACCTTGAAACAATGATGAATTGCGGATAATACTATTAAATAAAAGATATCAACATGATATTATAATCAGCATATGACATGATGTTACATGGTGTTCATATTAACGCACCAGCGAACACTTCCAGGTACCTGCCATAACACATGTCGGAGCTTGTTATGTCTGAGGCCACGGATTCCAGGTTCAGTTCTATTTGATTTTCAGAATCTGCAAGGACTGAAGTCGTCACTCTCCATCTACATGTTACTCTGAAAATAAGTAAAACGTATTCATACAAGTAAACAGGCTTTGTGTCTAATTAATCATTATAAATTCAAAAACTGATTCCATGCCAAAATAGTCTGCTCATATATTGGTTTTGTTTCCATTAAAACATCTTAGTTGCCTTTGGACTTGCGGGTCTATTAAATATTAGGGTGGTAATTTATATGAATATTTACCTGGCAAGTGCAGGTATAACCAACACCCGACTGTGAACACCCGACGTGACACTGCGTGTGACCTCACTGCATGCAGGTTGTGCTTATATAGAAATATGCAAAAAGAGTTCTTCAGCACACAACGTTCAAAAACTAATCATAACGGTATTCATCTGGAATCAGATGTGTCACAAAATGCAAGAATTGATTCATTGCAGAACATTCATGCCATTCTTTGGTTTCACATTTATCTTTATCTTTCGCAGTTTAACTGTACATAGAGTTTTCTCTTATGAGTGATTCCGGGGTAGGTCTTCAGCAACCCATGCTTGCCGTAATAGGTGACTATGCTTGTCGTACAAGGCGACTAACGGGATCGGGTGGTTAGGCTCGCTTACTTGGTTGATGAATGTCATCGATCTCTATTGCGCGGATCGATGCTCATGATATTAATCACTGGATTGTCTGGTCCAGACTCGATTATTTACAGACCGCCGTCATATAGCTTGAATATTGCTGAGTGCGGCGTTAAACAACAAACCAACCAACCAACCAAATCATATGAGTGAGTGAGTGAGTGAGTGAGTTAGTTAGTTGGGTTTAACGCCGCTTGTAACAGTATTCCAGTTATATCGCGGCGTGTCAGCTTAATGTGGGAGGAAAGCCCAAAGTGATGCAGATCTCAGACGTTTACCACTTCGGTGAAACCCACGAGCACGGGTATGGTGCTGACAAACCTAGAAACATAATCGGGGCGAACAGGGATTCGAACCAACAATCATAGGTTTCTGGCGTGCCCAAGGGACGTAACTCTGCACAGCGAATCGCGGCGCCTTAGACGACTGGGCCACCCGTTCCCCCTTTTCTCTTATGAAATATATTCCAACTTTAGATTGTATGTTGGTCTCACATGCGATATTATGCCAGCCTGAAGTCAACAGCCACAGTGGAACAATTTTCTTGGTGTCAAGATACTACTAGCTATAGTGTTTTGTCTATCACCTGGTGAGCTTGTCATCGACGGCCACGAGGTTGTTGATGGTCTAGTTGTTGTTCCAGAAGGCAACTGTTCTACATCCTTGTACTTCAAAGAGAAGATTGCGTTGCTCCCTTCATAGAGGTGTGTAGCGTTGAAGAGTACGGCCATACATGATCTTGAACTGAACGTATAATTGGCCCTACCATCACACCAAGAACCTAAGTATCTGTAGCTGTGGGTATCATCACCTTCAAGTTTGAAATGGCAATATAGTGTCGTATAATGATAACATTAAAGTCGAGCAAACTTCTACAACAAAACAATGGAGTCACGGATTTACTACTGAACTGCAAGTTGATATACGTAGTACTATGGTATTAGACGAATAACAGTAATATTCAAACAGATGTAGTATCATGCTTGTACACATGTGCATACACTATGCTTATGTCACACATGTCAAATAATGTGAAATGGCCAGATTAATGTATGAAATCGTAACTTACAATCATATACTTGGATGACTCCATGCGAACATCTCAAACCTGGATAGGTCTCAATTTCAGTATACACATATCTGCGAATGCCTGTCTGGATCCTCCATTCCCGTGTCATTCTGGGGATTAAACGTGCCATTACATTGTCGTTGTATAAGACGCTGAGTCGCTTAATCAGTCTGCCGAAGCTGATTCCATTGGGTGTAAAAGGCAATATAGTGGTGAAAACTAAGTATGGATCACCGAATATCATTGCTGACACTGGGAGTTGGTAAAAATGGAATTTAAGGATACTTAAGACAGACGTTTGGTAAAGCCACAGCGTTGCAACATAATGTGAAGAGAAAAGGCCATAGTGGCGTCAATCGAACTCGTAGCATCCTCAGTGCATTATATATCTATTCTATTGAGATATCCAGGGCCCATTCGCCACCACAGCGTCTTTGTCCTATGAGTCCTATCCATATGGTACGACGAAAATACTTGTCCTTCAGTGAAAGTACTCTCATAAGCGACAGAAATTCTGAGCTTCAAATACATGTAAGTTAGGAGAGATTAAGATGATGACATCACTTCTGAAACGACGTAATTGAGGCGAATGGTTCTGAGGTATTTGTCATGATAGAAAGGTTAATCGAGAATAACGTTATAGGGGTGTATTCCTTCGGAAAAAAAACATCCGAACATGATTTGAGCCTGACAAATCAATGTCACATTATCACGTCGAATAATAGTAGATTATAGCATTAAACCTCCAATCTGAAAGTTTTTTATGGTGACCACGCCACAAGTACAGGATTTGCACTCTTGTGTACTGTCGACATTACACCTACTACTTTGTAAACAAACAGTTTCCTTCATCTCATTTACATTAGGTTTGGATAACAACTGTTACTAAGACATGTTTATGACATTTGACATACCTTGGAAAATATGGATACACAGTGAAAAAGTCATTGTTTGTCACTGTAAAGGTCTGCATCAAGCTCGTGGAAGGAAGGTAACTGGGGCACGACCACCATGCTACATTTGTGAATAAACATAAAGGTTTCTTATAAAATACATGAACAACATCGTCGTGATTCTAAACTAAAGCTAATTCAGATTGGTGATATTATATAATCATTTTAAAACAGAAGAGTCTAAATATTTCTTTTGCTAAAATAGGTTACTAAGAATTAAAACATGTATAAAACATACTATGCTGAAATAGGAACACTCAAGAACGTTCTTACACCAGATACTCTTGATTGCAGAATTGTAATTTAAGTAACAAGGTCGGGTTGTGTTCCATGACTTTGTAACTGTTCTGTACTGTATAGTGACAGAGCCACTGGTTACACTACTGGCGTTGAACTTGATCATCAAAAAGGTCCCCATTGACTGAACGGAGGGTGTTGAGTGCTCGCACCAGGATGTTCGCAGGTAAGGTCCTTATAGAAAGAACACAATGTGAGGTTTATTATGAAATGTACATGGATCATATTATCCCTGAGTGTAAAAAGGGCCGATAAGTTTAAGATATCTTCGCATCTGTAGTTTAACAAAACACCGTACTGACAGGCCAGTAAAAGCGACACGAGATCAGATTACTGCATTGTTGAGAACAATGTGAAACGACGTCATCCTTTGTTTATGACCTCATAAATTGAAAACATTATTTTAACTGAACAAAAACTTAACTTTAGTGAAGTTTCCCACTATGGTTGGCACTTTAAACGATTTTCAAAGTTTATTCTACAAATTATAATGTACATTATAGTTAATAAATTTATCCAAATTATGAATTACGGATTATCTGTCCTTCGTGATTGAACTCTATGTGTTTTTTCTTGTTAAAGTTGGTACATTTTCAAATATTCTTAAGTGCACCTTCAAAACAATAACAAACTGAAAAGGTATTCAAATTTGAATTAATCCACATCATTTGGACTGAGTAAACATTTCGTGACATTGACTGGAAATAATACAAATCTTCTCTACTAATGTTTGACGAGAAGATTTGAAAATAAATCAGTCTTCCACAATTTGTTTTCATTGGATAAAAAGGACCAATAAATACCGTCTTATCTCTGGAATAATACTTAGTGAGGCTTTAAACAACAAACAAACCCACGGGTAATCGCCAGCAATCTGTCTATTCGTTTTGGTAGACGGGAGCTAAGTCACTTCTGTGCTTTTGTATTTGTTTTCAAATATCAATTTATATTAGCCACGAACCTTCGACAACTTGAACTGTATCGTTAGAGCAGGTAGAAGGCAGCGACGATTGCAGAACTGTTACCAACACATGGGAATCATATGTGGTGAGCAGCAGGTAACACTGTCTATGATAAAAATGATAAAGGCTTGTCATTAAAAGTATATGATACAACAGTAGTACAAACAAATCTCTAAACATATTCATGATCCCAAACTTTTTTTGTATAACAGTTGAAAACTATACCTTTCGCCTTCTTTATCTTCTCGTGAATTCTGGTCGGAGGTGACGTTTAAGTTAAAAGTGAGTGTTCTGGGCAGGTAAGCAGCAGGAAAAGAAGATCTACACTTGCTGATGAATCCAGCTGCACATACATGAATACTTCATCATTATTGTTTGCAAGAAAAGATTTTTCGAAGTCGTAGCAAATCCTAATTACAGCACAGATCAAATATTAATATACATGCCTTAATATTAATGTACATGCCTTGCAATATATGAGCTTGTCTACATGTAGCTCTCCGAAATACATAATGTTTATTAGAAATGGCATCAGTATAACATACAACTAAGTAAGGATAAGATATCTGGATGAATTGGTTGTTTGTTACTATTAACAAACTTGTTACACGTGGATTCATAAAGTTTGTTTGTACGAGTGAGTGAGTGGGTTGGGTTTAACGCCGCTTGTAAAAGTATTCCAGTTAAATCACGGCGTGTCAGCTTAATGTGGGAGGAAAGCCCGAAGTGATGTAGGTCTCAGACGTTTAACACTTCGGTAAAACCCATGAGCACGGGTATGGTGCTAACAAACCTAGAAACATAATCCGGGCGAACCGGGATTCGAACCGACAATCATAGGTTTCTGGCGTGCCCAAGGGACGCAACTCTGCACGACTAGGCCACCCGTGTCCTCTTGTTAGTACGAATACGAAACTGACGGGAAAAGAAAGCATACACTTGAAACATTACTAAGCTGCAAACAGTCGCTGAAACACTGCACCCAAAACACAATTATGATACAATTTATCAAAAACATCACCACCATCAAACATGAATGTTTACTTTCTTTTGTCCGACAGTTTATATACGTACTACTCCAAGTTGGATAAGAACACAGCATATTGCTTGAAAGTTTTGCTTTGCTTACGGCTCAAATCTTGTACTTCGGTATAATTAATGGTAAAGCCATGACCGTCAGCGATGCTGGACATGTTGAACCGGATGACCAGCTCAGAGTGATAGGATGTGTACGAAGAGCTTTCATTACCACACCATGACAACGTGACCTGATCATCTAGAAAATTCATATAACATGATATAAATAGTCATATATAAAGAATGATACCGGTAGGTTGGGCCGTTTTCACGAACACCTGGTCATCACCGATTTTTGGTGATCCATTCATAGAATTTCCACACTATTTTTCGGGTTACTCACAATAGAATCTGTTTCTTGAGATAATGGAATAGTTTATTCCCTGGAGTTGACGGAAAAGCAAAAAGAAAAGGAATGGTAGAGTTTCATTAGAAGGCAAATAGAACTGTGTGCGTTGGAGAGTTCGTGCCTGTGTTAATTTTATTTAAAATTTCAAGCTGCAGTCAGCAATAATGCAGCTACAATGGCCTGAATCTAATCGATCCTGGAGCAGGCGAACCATTGGTTGATATCATGAACCACTTTCCACGTCATCGGTCCCCGAAAACAAATAATCACAAAAATCACAAAAGTCACAAAGCCTGACCCATTTTAGTTGACTCTCACGATAGATATAGGTTTCTACATGTAGGGACCAATTTTCTACCCTAGAACCCCCCAGGTTGTAATACATTTTTTATCCATGACATAACGAAAATATCATTAGGTTACAACTTTAAACAAATGTAAATAGGATGGCCAAAATGTCAACTGTTAAAGAATTACTTTGCTTTTAAAGTATTTGATACACAATGAAACAAGGGAATACTTACCAATATCAACACTTATTTTGTTTTCAGAGCAAGGTGAAGTGATATTGGATTCCAACAGCTGAACACGGACATTGTACCCTGGTCTGCTATAGATGGTCCATCGGCAGGTTCCTTTGAACAAGCTGGAACTGATATTGATGAACATATATGAGGCCACACCTCGTTAAGAGGACACTGGACATAAAATTATAAGCATGTGTTTACATGCTGAGCGAGTGTGGGTGGGTATGGTTTTAAGCCACTTTTAGCAATATTCCAGAAATATCACGGCGGGGGGCACCAGAAAATTGGCTTTACACATTGTACCCATGTGGGGATTCGAGCCCGGGTCTCCGGCGTGACGAGACAACGCAATACCGAATACTATTTGTATGACATTACTTAGAATCAATCAGGGACACTAAGAATATCTCCACCAAACGTTGAGCAGTAAATATTCTGGGCTTTCTACTTTGACTCGGAATCTCCATAGTAACACGTGGGTATATGAAGCCCAGTCGCCTATGGCGCCGTGTCACGAGAGAGTAAGATAGAAATATCATTGAATATTGATTCATACCCATTCTGCCTGAAGATGTCAGCCGACCTGAGAATGGATGTAGCTTGCGATGCCTGGAACGTGGTATTGCACTGGTAAACTGAAGGGAGAGATGCATACAACATTAAAAGTAAACACGTCACTGAAACAGAAGAAAAATAGATTTAATATGTATGTTTATGTTTTACACGTAGATTGTGTTGTACGTTCAAAAATATGACATATCGATAGCCTCTTTTCTTGACAAAGATGACAAAGTTTGAAACACTCAAATGTATATTGCAATGAAGAACATATTTAAACATTCCATCTTACGTGCAGGTCTTAATATGTAGGAGATACGGACGTCCTGCGATCCGGTAATGACTGCAGTGACGACTCTTCCACGACTTTCATAGACTCCGTCACCACAAAGAAACTGCCCTGTTGCGTCGGTGGCTGCAGGTGCAAACGTAAAGACAGTCAACATTCATTTTCACTTAGAAAAATGAACCAATCTAGGTTGATACAAAAACTCTAAACTTTAAAGGAACACATATTCAAGTTCTGTCGAACTGTGACGAGCTTCAGATTGATAGGAATAAACCCATGTATTTTTATGGCTTATGAATGTGAAATGTTTTATTCCCTTGAGTTATTATCTAAACCTACCTTTTAGCAGGTAACGAACTAACCACTTTGGCTTTTATTGTATATAACACATGTTCTTCAAGTGCAAATTCTGCAACCCTCGTTGTGGTACTGTACTGTGTTCAGTAGATCGCACTCTCAGATACGTCTTATAAACTAAACTTATATAGACAACTAAATTTATGAAGATTGAATTAAGATCGATGTCGTTTAGTGCAAATCGTCATGCATCGTCAGTATTTTGTATGGTTTTTGTCGCCAGTATAATTGCAATATGCACAATTAGCACATAATAGACACCATACATACATACACCTAGCATTGAAGAATACACAGCAATACTTGGGCACGGGTGGCCCAGGCGTCTGAGGCGCGGCAATTCTCTATGCAGAGTTGCGTCCATTGCGCACGCCAGGAACCAATGATCGTGGGTTCGATTCCCAGTTCTCCCCAATTATGTTTATAGGTTTGACGGCACGGTATCCGTTCTCGTGGGTTTCACCAAAGTGGTAAACGTCAGAGACCAGCATCAATTCGGGTTCCATTTAGCTGGCAATCCGTGGTATAACTGGAATACTGTTAAAAGCGGCAAGCAACCCAATACACTCACTCGCAGCAATACTATGAGGCCAAGAGTGAGTCAGTTACTATTAAGGCATTTTTAAACAGGAGTTGGGTATGTGGTCCCTATATTGATGCAATTTGCTCTACTAACACCGAGCAGACACCACACCTACATACACTAATCATTAAAGAACATTAATAACAGCGATACTATGACGAGTGGATCAGTTGCTATTAACGCATCTACAAACAGTAGTTAAGTCAAAGCGTGTCAGTGGAAAGCCCAACTTGATACATGTATTTGAATTTACCACTTTGGTGTGTAAATGAGTGAGTGAGTGAGTTAATATTTAACGTCACATCGGCAATATTTCAGCCATATTGTGACGAGAAGTTAGACATTAATAATACAATAATTTAAACTTGATAAAAACCTGTCATCGAAGGACAGTACGATAACTAGCATATCACAGATTAGAGTTAAAACTAGTTGAGGCACATTTAAAAGAAGAAAGAATGACTCGACAACACAATATAAAAATGGGCTAGAGATCGTCAGTAACTAAAGGGAGATCACCATACCAGGGACCATGGGGACTTACAGTACCTTTGCTTCCTGCATGGACCCTGGCAGGATTTATATCATCCCTTCAGTCACTGGCGATAGTATACCAGTAAAGCCTTGTGTTCAAATGACGAAATTACTACGTTTTAAAAGTCTGGTATGCATAAAAATACTTCGAATGATTTGGGACGTACATACCCTCTTAGGGGGACAATAATTTTACACAATGTCAACCCCCTTCGAGGGTACAGCCACTCACAATCTCAGTTATTAATTAGCACTACCAATTTATAAAATAATACATTCAGTACATCAAAATTTATAGACAAGTTCGATTTCTTTTAAAAAGCTTAATATTAAATGCGAATTAACATCAGTAAAAAGGTCCTTAACTGTTTTGACACTGAAATATTTATCCCTTGTGATGGAAAAATTGGTATGTAAATAACTGCGATAAAAAGCAGTTCTATAATCATCAGAAATATCTGCTTAAAGCAGTCAATACGATTCTGTGTGTATAAATCACTATCAAATAGCGATGGTACTAGGCGTGAGCGGTTAACAGTACAACTCTGCACAGTACACTGCGTCACCTCAGACCCCCCTTGTCACTATTATGTCCATTGTGTCAAATTGCGCAAGTTTCATGAAACAAAACAAGTATGTTTTTTTTTTAAATTACCCACCAATACAAACAAAAAAGAATATTACACTATAGTGTGCAGAAACACATGAAAGTGATACGATGATATATAAAGTGAGGTGAGGTAAAATGGGGTTTAACGTCGCGCCCGTGGTGCTAGCCTAGCCAGATACCATACCACAGATACCCCCTCAGCCGGCTGGTCCATGTTTTATCCTATTAATACCGAGTGCCTGCGTATCACAGAAATTCCGCTGTATCCACTATACAACTGAGGCAATTCTATGACATAAGCTTAAACACACTGGCTCTAATAATGGAATCAATGCCAAGCTCATCGTCATACACATCATTTATCCTAATGATGCCATACAAACACCATGGATTGTATCAAACCAAATACCTTCTTTGATTGTTATGATAGCGTTCTTGTCTGAACAGTTGCCCGTTTGTTGGGACTCAGTAGTGATTGTCAAGACAATATGGCCGTCTTCATAAGCTGACGTAAACCGCAATGCAGAATCTGATCTGAAATGTGCAGAGATCAGAAAAAGTAAGTGCACAATTTAATACAGTGTGTAATGCATAAAGATGCAAGATTTACAGTTTTCATCCAGGGAGAAAAATGTTTGTTTGACTGTTATTTGACGCTGCACTCTTATATAATCTAAATGTGAACTGAAATACACACATTCCTATTAGTAATCGCCCTGAAAGCTGGTTACCTAACCAACATGGTTTAACGGTTGATAGTTCGTATGTGCGATTTGTTTGTTTATTTGTTTATTTGTTCGTTTATTATTGGCGTCACTGCAGTTTTTCAGCAGTATGACGTACGGCGCCCTGTATATAATCGAGTGAAATAAGATGGTAAAATTAAGTGGTTGATATTGTTAGCAACAATCCACGCCGTCAGGGTACGAGCACACGCTATCAACCAGGCCTCCGAGCCTAACCACACGATCCATTTGGTTGCCTCTTACGACCATCATGTGTAAAGTCAAGGTACAAGGTGTACTCAAGGTAAATGATTATTACGTTGCTGTATTCAGTTTCATCAGGGAGTGTCAGATTGAGAGGAAAGCCCAAAGTAACCCAATCAACAATATTTCAGCTATATGATGACGGTCTGTAAGTGAACGAGTCTGGACCTGACAACCCAGTTATTGACATTATGAGCATTGATCCACGCAACTGGGATACGATGATATGCACCAACCAAGTCAGCGAGCCTGACCACCAGATCCCTTAAGTCACCTCTTACGACAAGCATAGTTGTCTTTTACGGCAAACATGGGTTGCTGAAGACCTATTCTACCCCAGATCTTCACGGGTCTACCACCTTGTGCTCATTTGGATAAAATGGAAAGAAACACTTCAAACGTTCCCTCCCTTTCAAACTGTTAACAAATAAAATCCCTAATAATACCTATTTCATCCTCAACATGTGAAGAATACAAAAGACAGTATTTCATTTCGAAAGTAGAAATTTTGAATCTTTATAAAACAATTATATATGTACTTTAAATCAAAGAACAAGAGGACATTTCTAGGATGATATTTATACAATATGACAATATGATGAGGGTAACTGTCTCCTTTGGGTATTCGTATTGGATATCACATCAAATGTTCTTGAAAGAAATCTTACCCCCAAGTGTGGTTATTATTTGCCGAGACATTAATGTGCCTCTCATTGTGGTCAACGTCTATGTCTCTCTGTCCATACGTTGAACGTAGTCCTGAAAAAGAATTTATAAGAATGCAAGATTTGCCCTGAGTATAACCACAGCACCATAGTCCTTGCATTGTTTTAGGCCGTGTTAGACAGAACAGCATGTCATTCATACATGTAACAACTACACTTTGACAAGGGGCGGTCGGGTAGCCTTGTGGTTAAAGCGTAATAAACAGCAATGTCACGGCGGGGGACACCAGAAATGGGCTTCACACATTGTACCCATGTCGGGAATCGAACCCGGTTCTTCGGCGTGACGAGCGAACGCTTTAACCACTAGGCTATCCGACCGCCCCTCATTTAATTAAAACATACACGTACATACATATATGTGTGGAAAATATATGTTATTGCACCAACAAGCTTGAACAGCAATGACCAGGAAATTATCAATATAGTTACCAGCAGTGATGAACAACACAAGTAAATGGGCTGTAAGTCGCATCTCTGTCGTCTTTAGTGCTCCACCTCGACCGAGAATAACGGTCATACGATAGAAAGACGTAGTCCACGCAGAATGTTTCTCTGTGTGTATCTGAGACACTTTCAATACAGGTGCAGGTCGTAATGACCGCTGCAGTGCAGGGGCTTAATGTAAAGCGCTACATGATTTACAACGCTGTTATCTCAAGCCTAGTTTATCAACTTTGACAGTCATCGCATGTGGGTAAACAGTATTGCAGTCACAATTCTGTTCTAGAGCAGGGCTCCCGACGCAATATCAAGTTGTATTTCGCAATATAAAGGTGCACCATCTACTTTTCAAGGATAGTGGGGGAGATAAGCATTTTTGTAATGTTAAGATTATATTTTCGAACTTTGTCAGCTGCTGACGTATTTTGCTTTGAAAAAATATAAAAAACTAATTGAATTCTTTGGACATTTTTGGGGCTTGGTTAATTTTTTACATCACATATTTCATCCTCCTGATATAATAAGTGTTGTTTCTTTCTGTTTTATACAAAGAGTTGGTGAGTAAAATTGCAATGGTACGAACTAAATGTACCAATGAGGCAGGAAAGAATTACGATCTCCCCACAGGCCTCTCAGTAAAATGTGTGTGTGGTAGGTCGTCAGAAAGCTAAAAGCGTGTCGGTAGACAACAGCTCATTGTACACGATATAAAGAATCATGTTATGTATTGTTGCATATAATGCCTGAGTGAGTACGGCAGTATATGGGCGAAATATACCGCTAATGATATTGATCATGTACAGTTCTAGAGTGACAAATTATACCCTTGTTTAATTCGTTTAACTCATTTCGGAACTCACGAGACAGACGCAGCTTTCAGAGATAACGATCAAGTGAACAAATATTGATCTTTCTTTCCGTTGCCGTGACTCTCGTAAGCGTTTTGAAATGTTGACCCATGGATTCAAAGTCCTAGTTTATCCGTTCAGTTGTTGAGTTGCATAACTTGCCTAGAGTGTGTTGAAATTCTATTCCATAAATCAAGACACGATTGTCGACCCAAGGTCAATTGCCAGTCATTTATGTTCTCTGATTTACATTTCGCAACACTGGTATATGGTGGTCACGTATACGAAACGTGAATTTTAATAGCCTTGTTTGAAGAAATATGTACTGTCCTAACAAATAAAATATTATTCCTTTCTGTGTTTTAGGTCATTTAACAAACATGTTTTGATGTACAGAACGTATAATATGTCTTTCACAAATTACGCTGTGTGCATATGTACTTCATTTCCCTGTATGTCCTAATGCTGTTTCCGCCTCCGTGGTTTAGTGGGCAGAGCGTCTACCTGGAGAGCGGAAGATAGGGGTTCCGATCCCTGGCCGCGTATAACCAAAAGATGTATAGAGATGGTACTTGTTGTTATCTTGCCTGGTGCTCGGCATTATGGGGATAACACAAGGACTGGTCGGCTCGCAGTCAGTATTTATGTTCTTAAGCGTGAGGTTTAACCCCATTTCACTTCACCTGAGCTAGTGCGGCTATGAATATACATGCTTACTCTCTAAGTCGTACTGGAAGGGACACGGGTGGAACAGTTGTCTGAGGACTTCCTATTCGTTGTTGTGCATCCCTTAGAATCCGATATATGTACTAAAATATGTAACTTCTCGTCACTATATGGCTGAAATATTGCCGATGTGACGTAAAACATAAACTCACTCACTCACTCACTTAGAATCCGAAGATTGTGGGTACGAACCCAAGATCATCCTCATAATGATCCTTGGTTTGTTGGCGTCATGCTATTGCTCGTTGGTTACAGAAATGTGGTCGGGATGGTAAGCGTATGTCCTGCCACTGGGCTGCTGGTCCAAACATGTGGCAGTTGGGATGATGATAGTGATATTTATTCTGTGTCAGATGATGGGAGGGAAGCTGGAAACAAGTGACCTCCCTCCACAAGAGTTCATGCATTTATGAAACACTTACCACAATTTAACTTGAGCCAAAAGGAAATCTTTACAATGTACTGTACAGAGGGTAGCACGTGGTTGAAAACCACGTGTTCAAAAATGTAACAAAAATGTGTAGACAGGCAAATATTTAGATTGTTATTACACGGAAACCACAGCCTATGTTTCTATCGATAGATATCTATATTGAAGAAAGTTCCGCCTATGTACATTCAGTACATTATTTTCAATATAAATCATCACCAAATGCTATTAATTCATATTATAGTGTTTATCAATCCATTGTTTTCTGACACTGTTAGCATAACATGCGTATGGTCCAAAGTTTCCATGCTAGTTTCCTAGCCTTTGGTTGTTACAAATGATAACGTAAACATGTCCTTTCACAACGCTAAAATACTGACTCCTCAAATTCTCATACAAAGGACAAATCAACAGAAAAAATGTTGTTCATCTTTGATAACTTTCTTTAAACAAACATTTTTACAGTTTAAAACAAAATCTTTAGTCGTACAAAATAGTTTCCCATCGTTCAGACTCAATACGCGGTTATCCCCCGGAAATCAGAGATTAACGAGATTTCGCTGTCAATATGATGTTGATCATGTTTATACCATTGTCATTGCGTATTGCGCATATGCTTATGTGCTTATGTTGTCGCAGTTGATACGCGTTCAAAGTATACCTGCGGGGGTATCCTCGATGCTTCAAGCTCGCCCAAAGCTTTGACATCGGCCGGATATCGTATGGGTTATCCAAAGTAGGTTCGTCATATTTCATAAAGGTTGTTTAGGGAAGTGGTCTTAAACAAGTTTTAACATGAAAAAGGCATCAAATGACAGTCAGGTATGATTTAAACATGAATGTTGAAAGTATCTGTCCGGAATCCGCAACCATAAACACCTCATATTTTCATGGCACACAGCTTGCAGTAGAGTGAGTGTAGTCCTGTTAAACAGCGTGATGTCAGTATGGACGAGCAACATCTTTATTACCGTGTTACTGTGGCGACATTGCGGTGTGATAGGCTTCATCACTTGCGGGATAAGGTCTTATTATTACCTTATAATTATTTATTTGAGAAAGCTAGGTCAATATTGTTCAAGGGATGTCACATAAAACCGTCTGTGTTGTCATTAACAGTGACATCATCTTCAATATTTTGCGATAATCGGTTGATAATGGGTCACCATGGGTCCCTTTGCAACAATGAAAACAATGGACATTGTGTGAACTAGCTTATCAGCATGGAGCAAAATAGGTTCATTGAGAACTACTGAATAATATTTCACCTTTATGCGAGTCCCTATGGGTAATGCTTGTATTCCCATGACTATATACATGAATATTCAGGTAGTGTGTAGATGGTTTAACATACTAAACATCATAAATACAATTTTCTAATAAAAAACGTTATTGTCTATTAAGTTTGGTTTAATATACTGTTTAAAAAAACTGAGGATATCGAAAATCACGCGCGCACACACATGCGACAGTGTAAGTGCAATTATTTTAAACGCGACGTAAGGCCACGCTTCACTTTCTAGAAAAACAGGGTGTCTCATCTGTGCTTCAATACTCATGAAATCAAGTTACTGTTATGAAAGTTCCAGAGTTGTGTCCCTTTGAACACAACTGTTTGAATAATATAGTTTCAGCAAGATTATCAATCTATTTATGAAGGCCAATGCAATTTATGGATATCAATGTGAAATCATATAGATATACTTACTGTGAAGGGGTGATCATATCACGAGTGTCATTGGTTAAAATCAACCGTACACAACGACCTACAACACCGTGTGCGAAATACGCTCCAGTCGGAAAGCGCACGTAAAATCCCCTAATATAAGTAAGTAAGACCTACAACATTTCAGGACAAAGAGGCATATATATATATGTTTATAGCAAAGAGGTGAGGTCGTGAGGTGAAATTGGGTTTAACGTCGCGTCCAAGATTATTGCACTTATATAACGACGTGTATGCACGTGTATGTGTGTGTGTACTAGTCCGGACTGATGCCGATTTATAGTGCTAGCTCACTGAGATACCATGCCGCAGTTTAACATGAATACCCCAATCAGACACAGTATACTGGCTCCGAGCCGACCAGTCCTTGTTTTAGCCCCTTAATGCCGAGCGCCAGACAGGGTAACAACAAGTACAATCTTTTAACGTCTTTTTGTATGACGCGGCCCGGGATCGAACCCTGGACCTTCCGCTCTCCGGGCGGACGCTCTACCACAAGACCACGGAGGCGGTCTTATAGCAAAGAGAAGCGTTTGGCACCAACTGAAAAGATCGTCATCCAACTGTTGTCTGATGGCCACATTTCAGTTCGATGCCGATGATGCAAACAACGTAGACACTGGTGTAGTAGGCGATGGTCACATGTATGATGTACCCAGTCGAATGCAACTTTACCCTAGACTTCCATAAAGGCGTGGTCGTTTTAATGTCGGGCAGGTATGAGGATCAACATGACGGACTCAATACAATTACACATCGTCCATGGGTGAGGTGCAAACTAGGTTTAACGTCGCGTCCAAGATTATAGCGACGTGCATGCACGTGTGTGTGTGTGTGTGTGTGGCTGCTTGTACTAGTCCGGACTGATGCCGATTTATAGTGCTAGCTCACTGAGATACCATGCCGCAGTTTAACATGAATATCCCACTCAGACACAGTATACTGACTCCGAGCCGACCAGTCCTTGCATTAGCCCCTTAATGCCGAGCGCCAGACAGGATAACAACAAGTACCATCTTTTAACGTCTTTTTGTATGACGCGGCCGGGGATCGAACCCCGAAACTTCCACTCTCCAGGCGGACCCTCTACCACTAGACCACGGAGGCGGTCACATGGTTCATGGGAGTATCCCAGGACAGTTCAACATAAACATATACAACATACTAGCATCTATCGTGCTACCCTTTGCATTCAACGCTGCCGACATTTTGTCTCACAAGAGGACAATGTACGCGTCTACCATAGTCGTATGTTGTCCCCGTGAACTTGCATAAGAAATACATCACCACATTACCATGGTCGGAACCTCGATCTGTACCCCATGGAACACGTGAATGACATTAAATGGAAAATGTCTCCACCTACAGACTGACTGATATAGAAGATTTAACGTGCGCTTTCCGACTGTAGCGTATTTCGCACACGGTCCACCTACAGCCTACC